AACCGGATGGAAGGTTGATTCATTTACAGTTCAATTCGAACTAATAACTAAATAACGATCCTCGCATTTCTGATAGCACCTACAAACGTCAAAATTTGCCATTTGCCAATTTGCACACAGCAAGGTCCTGCACAGAAATATCTTTAAAAAAATAACCTGCGAGTTCAGAACCCCAGGAGAAACTCCCTCCTCTTTTCCAATACTGTCACGGGATCTTTTAATGGCTACCTGAACAGACAGTCAGTACCTCAGTTACATCATAATAATAATAATCCTTACACTTGGTATGGGACCTTCCCACATCAGTCGGATGTCTCAAAGCACAGGATAAAGTATAATGTCTGTAGGGTTTTTTTTGCAGGTGAATGCAGCAGCCAATTTGTGCACAGCAATGTCCCACAAGTAGGCGTTAGGTGAATGACCAATTTTATTTGGGGAATTGTTGACCAGGACACCGGGAGGAATGTCATTGTGGAGGCAAACAGGGCAGCTGATTTGCGCCAGGAATAATCCAGACCAACAATAAAATGAGCCAACCAATTAGTTAGAAGTTTGGGGTAAGGACAAAAAATATATACAGTCAATTCACTTTACAGTGAAGCATCTTGAGACGCCTTGAAGACACGATAAGGCACTATATCAAATGCAAAGCAAGGATTATTATTAGTATTCTAACCAGGTAAGATAGGAGGAAAATCCACTTTTCTTTACAAATAGCAAGGAGGAAAGTGGGAGATGGCTTTAAATCGACCGAACTCACAAAGTGGATGCGACTTAAATGAAAGACTCGATTGAAATACGGATGGTAATTGAAACGTTTCCTCACCAAAGGAGGTCACTTGGCACAAATGTCTGCAATGCTGTATTATTGCACCTTTATTACAACAATCCTTGCATTTGATATTGCGCCTTAGAGACGTCTCAAAGCGCTTCACAGAATGAGCTGTAAAGTGAATTGAATGCATATTTTGTGGGCGAAACGCCCATTATTATTATTTGTTTGGGGAAAAAAAATAGGATAAACTGGAAGGGGAAGCTCCACAGATGGGGTCAGCTCGAATACAGTGAGAAGAAAGCAACCTCAACCCCCTCGCCCACCCCCTCCACCCCCACCCCCCCACCCCCACCCACCGCACTCGAAATAGCCCAGTGAGGCAACCGAGCAGACATGAAGAGTGGATTAAGCGATCGACAACAGCAGCAGCTGCGGAGTGAGGGATGTGTGAAGTGCTCACCCTCTTGGCCAGCAAAGCTCTCGTCTCTGCTGGTGTCAGCACTAAACGCTGCTGCTCCACTGCAGAGCCAGTCAGCAAAAAGGGAGCACTCACTAGGTCACAGATCTGTGAACAGGTAATATCACCAGGTCAGAGCTGTATGAACAGGTACAGGAGTAATTCTGTCCCCATTCCCTCCCTCCCTCCCTCCCTCTTCCCTCACTCATTCTCAAACCTACTCAAACACATCATGCAACCTTAGCCCTAGTAGCAAAAAGGATACCATTCTGTGTGTAAACGTGTATAGACAGTAATAATAATAATAATAATCCTTGCATTTGATATAGCGCTTTTCACGTCGGGAGGACGTCCCAAAGCGCTTCACAGAACACACTGTAAAGTGAATTGACTGTATATTTGTGGGCGAACGCGGCAGCCAATTGCGCACAGCAATGTCCCACAAACAGTCGTAGATTGAAAATGACCAATTTCTTATTGTTTTTGGTTTTGGAGGGATTATTATTAGGCTCTGTGTGGAGTAAGGAAACTTGCCCAAGGTTTCGCCCTCTGCCTGGAATTGAACTCAGGTCTCTCGCTTGCAAAGCGAGTGCTCTAACCACTGAGCTACAGGACTCCACGAAGTAGTAGTAGTAGTTATAGCGCAGTGGTTAGAGCGCTCGCCTCGCAAGCGAGAGGACCTGGGTTTGATTCCCGGGCAGGGCAAAACCTGAGGCAAGTTTCCTTACTCCACACGCATGTTTACCTCGCAGTAAGTAGGAAACCCGGTTGCTAGTCGGTTGGCAGATCACTTTTCCGGGGGTAATAATCCCTTTAAAGAATAAATAAGTAATAATTTGGTCACTCAATCCACGACTTCTTGTGGGACGCTGCAGTGCGCAATCAGCTGTGGCGTTTCTCCCACAAAATATACAGTCAATTCTCCTGTGAAGCGCTTTGAGACGTCTCGAAGACGTGATAAGGCGCCGTATCAAATGCAAGGAATGCTATAAAGATACGTCCACAGTGGTTTTTTGTGCTGGAAACACAATTGGTGCACAGAAATTGAAATGATTGCATGTAATTGTATTAAACATTAGATTGCCTTTTGTTCAAGTGGAAAATACATTGATTGAGTGGGTGGTGTTGGGACTTTCGTCATCTCCCACCTCGATTTTTCCAAAGCAACCCTTGCTGGCCTCCCCAGCTCCACTGTAAACAAGGTCCAAATGATTCAAAACTCTGTCTCTTGTAACCTCACCCGGATCAGGCTCCGCACCTGAATCACCCCAGTACTTGCCAGGCTCCACTGACTCCCCGTTGCAGAACCGATCGATTTCAAGATCCTCGGCCTCGCTTTCAGATCTCTTCGCGCCCTGGCACTTGCCTGTCTCTCTCTGATCTTCTCACAACCCACTCCTCTGCCCAAAGCATTCGCTCAGCCGGCACTGGTCTTCTGCATGTCCCTTGTCCCCTCTGCTCCACAATTGGCAGCCTTGCTCTCAGCCACTACGCCCCAAATCTCCGTAACTCATTGCCTCAATCCCTCTATCTTGCCCCTCTACGCCCGTCTTCAAATCACACCCTTTGCATCTCCAAATGGGCTGTTGTATAAGTGACTAGAACTGCAGAACAGGCCCTGGGGTCCCCAAGCCTTGGTTCTTGCCAACCTTTCCGGAATGAGGTAAGCGGGATGTGCCCCTCCAGGGAGAGAGTGCGCGTTCCATTCCAACAATCCATCTCCATTTGGAGGTGGGATGCATGGAAATCTCAGTTTGGTTTGAATTCTCTTGAAGCATGGCTTGGCTGGAACCCCAAAAAAATAAGTCAGCAAAACTGTACGATTCTACAAAACAAACAGATAATCGCCTGGAACGGTGGCTTCCATCGGTCACCTCCACCGCTGCAATGGACACCCGGTACCTATGACACACCCACATTGGCACTGTAGACTGGTGCTTACCCAGTTCCCATGCTGCAAGGCTGAGGGATGGGCTCTGTTGAGTGTAAAGTGCCAGGGTTGCCTAGTTTCTCCCTTGCAAGTCTTGAGATTCCAAATCCATGGAGAAGTGCCAAGCGCCGCCGAGGCCCAAGGCAAGCAGTGTGTGTGTGTGCGTGGGGTGGGGGGGTGGGGGGGGCGGAGAGGGAGGGTGGGGGGTTAGAGGAAAGAAATGAAACTTGAAGACTGACCCAAAGCAGCTCTCTCACATCTCCTAGTGGCCAGTTGCTAAGCGGCAATAGGCAAAGGTCCGCAAAAAATGTCACAGAGGCAAGTGGGCAAGAGATAATGTGTGAACAGCAAGAGATGGTGCGTATTTTCATCTTTGTATCTCGAGCAGAAACAGACCATTTAGCCCATTGAGCCTGTTCTGCGGTTCTAGTCACTTATACAACAACCCAGCAGTAAGTAGGAACCTGGTTGTTCGTCGATTGGCGGATCCCTTTCCTGGGGGTAATAATGCCTTCAAAAAAATAATAATAATAATAATAAATTGTGGGACACTGCTGGGAGCGATTGGCTGGCGCGCTTCTCCCACAAATTATTCAGTCAATTCACTTTACAGTATATTCTGTGAAGCGCTTCGAGACAGCTCGAAGACGTGATCAGTCGCTATAGCAAACGCAAGGATTATTATTATTTTATAACAAAAAAAGTTACATTTGTATTTACCTCCTTTCACATCAGGAGGTCTTCCCAAGGCACTGGACAGTCAGGGATTTGGATCTATAATCTATCTATCTATATATATACATACATATACACACCTGCCAAACCAGTTCAATATGAGATAGTACTTTGCTCCCACATTGCCTCTACACTAGAATGTATACTGGTTGATGAGCTCTCCATCCGTCTTCCACTTTATCCTCCCTCCTTCCCATTTCTCCTTTTTCTTATTCCTCAATTTCATTCACTGTTTGTGGGACATTGCCGACATAGATTTATTCCACCGTTCAGAGTTCCCGCTCACCACTCACTCCCATTGAAGACCTTTCCCTTTTTGACAGAACAACTCTGCCGAAAGATGTAACCTGGGACTGAATGGTTTCTCATCGATGGTTATCACTGGTTCTATGTTTGCTAGCAGTGGCTGTCCTGAACGTCCAGAAGCATTTATACAGCTTGAGGGGATTTGAAGTTGACAGCTCGGCTAATTACTGCTCAAATGTAGTACGAGACCAAATGCTTTTGGGTTTATTAGAGATCAGTCCCCACCCCCCCCAAGCTTCCCATCCTGTCATCTCCCCTAGTGCAGGAATGTGAAAATTATCTAATGACAGTAATCTGATGCAATCTCTTGTCATTACTCTCACTTTCCTTCCCAAAGCTCGACGATTCACTGCCTTGTCGTCTGGTAATTGGTAAAATATTACCACAGTGACAGCTCCTGCAGACACTAGACTTGCCAGTAATCGCGCAGTGCAGGGCACTGAGCTGCTTCCACCAAATAGGGAGCTAGGACGACCTCCTTTGAACCTACCAAACCAGCTGCTCCCCTCGTTCAGCGAGCACCAGCTGGCTTCACGTCCCCCGCTCCATCTGCTCCACCATTGGCGGGTCGGCTTTCAGCTATTCTGCCTCTCCCCGGCCACCCCACAACCCCTTCCTGGAACTCCATCCTCCATTAGTCCACCCTCCCCACTGCCGTCAGCTTGAGGGGCTTATCCTGCACTCTGCAGGGCTCCGAGATGTCCTTCCGAAGTGAACGTAAATGTGAATGTATTATACCGTAGAAAAATGCAAGCTCTTCCTTTCTTAGCAGAGCATGAAGACACTGCGCAGCTCACCTGAAGCTGTCTGGGTGCTGAGCGATAGCCATGTTGATGACCTCTAAGGCATGCTGGTGGTGTTTTTGAGCAGAGAAGAGAAGGGCCAGGAGGTGGAGAGAATGCATGTCGTCATTCCGGAGTTTAAGGGCCACTTGCAACTGCTCAATTGATTCAGAGATCTGAAACAGAGGTGACAAACCACATTCAGAGTAGCGTGGCACTCAATGAACTGAAATACCCCAGATCGAACTTCAACCAACCTCAAAATCCTACAAGGTGGATGGTTGGGACTTTGAGCTCACAGGGTCAGACTCGCCACTGTCAAGCGCTGTGGGACGTTAGCTCGCGTGAAAGGCACTAGACAAATGCAAGTTGTTGGATACAAGCCAGCTGTCAGCCTGGCTCAGTTGGTTGACCCTCTTCTCAAGAGACACAAGCTTTGTGGATTCAAGCCCCACGTTGGGACTTTGAGCTCACAGTCTAGGCTGACACTATAATGAAGTCCTAGAGATGTGCTGCCTCGTCAGAGGGGCCACCCTTCAGATCGTACGTTAAACTGCAAACTAGACTATGCAGAACTGCACACCAGGCTCCGCAAACCTATCACCCACCCCCACCGTCGCTCAACTCCACTGGCTCCCCATTCCTCCAGCAGATCCAATTCAAGATCCTCGCACTCACTTTCAAATCCCAATCACCTCACTCTACCTCTGTGATCCCCTACAACCCAGCGATCGACTGAACGCTGGGCTGCTTCATGTCCTACCCCCTATCCGCTCTATCAATGACAAGCGAGCTGTTTCTGTTGTTTTGCAGACTAAGTACGTTTGAGAAAATATTTGATTGTCCGTATAAATTAGCCTGTGGTCTAACATACCCACCTGCCTGTTGAGGGCCAGCTGTAGAGACATGTACAGAGCTATCTGGTGATCATCAGCATCCAGGCTCTGGGCTCTGCAAAGATGAACAACACTAAAAACTTGACGCTAAACTTTAAACAGTGAAAAAAAGAAAATAAATCAAAATTGCACCTTTCGGGCAGACTGCAGAAAGCCAGCCTCCAATTTTAAGAATTTTCCAAAATTCTGCCCAATCTTAAATGTTAAAACAATAATAATCCTTGCCTTTGATACAGCGCTGTATCACATCTTCCAGACGTCTCAAAGCGTTGCACAGAATATACTGTACAGTGAATTGACTGTAGATTTTGTGGGCGAAACCCGGCAGCCAATTGCGCACAGCAGCGTCCCACAGTCATGGATTGAGTGACCAAATTTTTTTTTAAAAGGGATTATTACCCCCCCGGAAAAGTGATCCACCAATCCACGAACAACCGGGTTCCTACTTGCTGCTGGGTAAACAGAGGCGTGTGGAGTAACGAAAAATGCCCAACATTTTTCCCTGCTGGGAATCGAACCCTGGACCTCTCACGAGCGAGGCGAGTGCTGTAACCACAAAGCTACACGACTTCACAGTGATTCTTACCGTCTGAGTGTGTGTATCGCTTTCTGATTCAGTGTGTCTCGATCGTTCTTCAGTGTAGCTGCAGAGAAATAACACATGGAGGAGTGGGATAAGGGCAATTCCTCTAATGCAAAACACAACTGAAAAAGATGTCCTCTCTGAAATGTGAACCACCAATCTTCCCTTCGGGTGATTTTTTCTTAACAGCAACATTAAAAATTGACTGCTGGAAAAGAGTTTATTTTAAGACCCAACGAGTGTGGCACAGTAAGTAAGTGTATATTTTCTGTCATTCGATTTTCCCTTAGCCACAAAAATAATAATAATAATCCTTGCATTTGATATGGCACCTTATAACTTCGAGACATCTCAAAGCGCTTCACAGAATATACTCTAAAGTGAACTGACTGTATATTTTGTGGGTGAAACACAGCAGCCAATTGCACACAGCAGCGTCCCCACAAACAGTTGTGGACTGAAAATACAAAAATGTACTGCAGATTGCACTCTGTCCACTTCGCTGCATGTTCTACTGCACCTGCAGACTGAGGGAAAGGAGGAGAGTGAAAGCAGAAGGGAGGGGAAGATAGAAAAAGGGAAAAGGACGTTTATTTTATGTGAAAGTTATTGCTATTACAATTATTCTTTTCCCCTTTTCCCTGAAGCAGCATTTTACTCACCACATTAACAGGGCAGAGATGTTTTATTATGTCCCTGGCATCTCGACAATATTAGAAATCAGTCTTTAAATTTGGTGCATACCTATTATACAACCTGGAATAATCTTATTTCAGGCAGTCTGATCAATAAGCTATGACAACTGAAGGTAGATTGGATGGAGTGGTGCAGCATTAATTAGATTCAATGTATTTTGGATATGAAGGAAGACTGATGAGCTGAGAAAGGCGTTAAAACCTGACACAAATGGATTATTCATTTTAGCCTCAGAAACCTTTGGATTGCTCCTTCAAAAGGCTTGCTTTGTGAAGGCACTTCCTGAATGAACCTGACTTAGAGCGAGCCAGCAGGTCTCGAGTTCAATTTCATTCTGCGCTGACTACCTGAGCCGATCGCCAGGCAGGGAGGAGGGAGGGAGGGAGGGAGGGAGGGAGGGGAAAATCATCCAGAATCCCTGCTCCTGATCCCCAAAATATCTCATGGTCTTAGCCTTAAGACCATTGCTTCCTACACAAATTGCATTTGTACAGCACCTTTCACATCAGGAGGACGTCCCAAGGCAATGGACAATCAGGGATTTGGACCTGAGCAGGTGGTTTGGGATCAGGAGGAGCGGAGGGTCGGGAGAGTAAGGGTAGGAGGATGATCGAAGACGCGGTGGAAGAGGAGGCTCTTGAAACGGTGCGATCAAAAGATTTATTCATCTTAATCCCAATCTCTGAAGGGCTGCTATTTTCAATGCTACATTTAAACACGTGTTCTCGTGCCTTTATCTCCTCGCCAACCCCCACACAACCCCCCCACTCCCCCACCCACTCCTCGCTCGCTGTGAAGGACGGAGGCTGCAATGTACAATCCAAGCTTTCTTACCATCTGAAGCCTGAAGACTGTAGACCAGCCCCAAGCCCAGGAAGCCCTTGGCAAGAAATTCGTCGGTTTCCTTCCCTACATCGGTCACCATCCTGCAAAATCTCTCTCCTTCTTCAAGCTGTGCAAATGCAAAGATATAAATTCACTGACGGGGAGGAGGAGGAGGAGGAGGAGTGGGGTGGGGGGGGGGGGCGGGGGAGGGAAAGCAGTAAATTTATCTCATTCTGTAAACCAAACGCTGAAAGAGAAAATGTGCAATTCGCGCCCCGTCGAACCCTCTCAGCATGCTTCAAGGTCGTTGCTGCCAAGTGTAGTGACTGGTTTTTTTTAAGGCAAAAAATTAAAGAGCAAGTCTCTTCGTCCTTACTTCCCTCACTCATCGCTCGTCCTCTACCACCCCCACCCCCACCCCCCGCCCCCAACCACCCCAACCACCACCCCTCCCCACTCTCTCCAAAGCACAGCATCTTCAAGGAGCTCCAGGCAAGGAACTGAAGGTCGACCGTCTCTATAGCAACCCCTTCCTCGAGAATGGATGCTTGAAAATGCAGCACTTACCGTTTCTGACCTTGGGGGAAGACCAGGCTATCCTAACGCGTGCTCAGCACGTGTACTAACATTCTCAAAGAACACTCCCCGCTCTCCCCCAACCCCAGCCCCACTCATTGATAAAAACAGACCATGCCAAATATTCCGGATCATGGCTTCCTAAAGGGACCACCGATTCTTTCTTTGACGTGCTTTTTTTTTTTTGCTGTTTGAAAAATGGAAACCGGAAGAAAACCCCTTCGGCTGATTTGGGCAGAAAAGCTAAGTTTTAAAGCATTTTGGGGTCCGGAGTTGCTCACAGGCGTTTACGATTTTGCAGGAAATTTTGGGGGGGGAAGATTTCTGAAATTCAGTCTTACCAATCCAGTCAAATTGATCATTCACTTCCGGGCTGTGGGTGGGACGCAGCTGTGTGCAAACTGGCTACTGGGTCCACTTACCCAGTCACTACACTTGGAAAAAAAAACCTTGCATTTGTATAACTCACACACCAAGTCGCCCGCCAGAGAAACCAGCGCTCGTTGGAAGCAAATAAGAGCAACAACCTGTGGTCGGGACCCCAGTGGTTGCCTCGGGAGGTGTAAGGTAAACCCAGTACGAGATTCTCCCGATTAGATTGTGGTGCCCGAACAGTGCAGATCAACCATAAAAATATCACTTCCCTCCCTCAATGAACAGTGGGGTCGGGGAAAAAATCCCACACAGGAAACACAGCTTTGTGTCATTACTACGCGATGTTAAAAAAAAGGTTTTCATGGAATAATCTGTTGCCATGTCTACCTAATCTCCCTCCTCCATCTCTGGTGAGTAAAAAACTCAATGATTAGATCTGCTGGTCGTGACCTGAATTCATTGAGTGCTTAGAGCTGCGCTCAAAGGCACTTGAAGCTGATTCCGCGTTTGACCCTTGGCATAGACTGCACCAACACGGGGTGGGTGGGAGAAATGCATTGCCAGTATCATTTGTTCTCAAGACCCTCCTCTTCGACCGCGCCTTTGGCCACCCTCCTACCCTCCCCGATCCCAAACCCCACCCCCACCCACCCCGCTCGGGTCCGAGTCCCAGGCTGTCCAGCGCCTTGGGACGTCCTATCGATGTGAAAGGCGCTGTGTAAACGTGAGCAGTTGTTGTTTGACACTGTGCCTACATTATGCCAACAGCCTCACTTACAGAGTTGCCAGGTCGCTGTCATCACGTCCTGCACGTTGCAGGTGTATGTGTGTGTGTGTGTGTGATGCAACAGGAATCGCTGTTGACATCACTTCCGTGTGACGTCCTCGTGCGCTTTAAGATGGAGCGTTTTACAAATGGGTCTTCCCGTAGCGCCCTTCACACAGAGATAAAACGTCATAAAATGTACTCGGTGTTTGAGCTATTAAGAGTTAGCAACTTCCAATTGTCGAACGTCGCATTTTCAATCCCGATTAGAATTTGAGACCATCTCATTTCAATGGGGATTATATAGAGTAGATAGCTCCCATGGAATCGCTGGCACCAGCGCAGGATCAATGGGCCAAATGGATGGCATTTCTATGATTCCATCTAAGAAGGATAATGCATTATTAGAAATGTTTTTTTTTCACGAACTACTCTATACAAAACAGCAGCAGCTGGGAGGATACATCTGAATCTATGCCAAATTTTCCTGTCTTTCATTACAAGTCGTCTCCTGAGGTGGCAACCCAAAAGCACCATTGACCTCCTTATGCAAATTCTCCTCTCTCCTTCCGTCTCCTCCATCAACACCCAGAGCTTGTAAGCAGATGCCATCAGTGCAGAAAGGGGTCATTCAGCCCATCGTGTCTGTGCTACTGCTACCTGTATTATCACGCTTTGTTATTCCACTCCACATTCTCCATAACTATTCTAAAGGATAGAGGGATTAAGGGATATGGGAATAGGTCGGGTAAATGGAATTAGATTAGCAGATCAGCCATGATCTTATTAAATGGCGGGTCAGGCTCGAGGGGCCGAATGGCCTACTCCTACGTCTTATATCGGGTGTTGGTTTGGTTCAGTTGCTAGAGAAGGGAGTTCCTTCAAGTGCTGCCGTTGCAATTATCCTCCAGGTATATTGACTGTCTGTGGACTTTTCGGTTGCACAAATGTGGGTGCTGTGCTTGCCTACCAATACACAGGCACTACACTTGACAGTAATTACCCCGCGAAGTGCTTTGAGACATTTCACTGTTATATGCGCTTTATCAAATGCAAGGGGTTATTTATTACATTTAATATTTGCACTGCTCTGGTGCTTTGTTTATCCTGTCCTTGATACTTCAGTTTAAAACGGAACAGGTGAACTCCTGCTGAAAGATGTCAAAATGCTCCCTCTGCGAGCAGGCACGTGACTGCAGCAAAGTAGCTCGAGGTTAGTGTAGGTGACTATACGAGTGGTTGCGGGGGGGAATGGGGGTGCTGGGGGTGGGGGGGGGGGTGGTGGGAGAGTAGTGGAAGCAATCGAAAGCTTTCAGCAGTAGCACTGACTGATGCGCTGCCTGAATATATTGCCCCAGAAACCCAGACTGGAAATCAGTCGGAGGGAATTTAAGAGAGATATATGGAGGGAAGATGGTATGGGAGTGGGGTGGGGGGAGAGATGGGGGTGGCTTCAGCGAGGGCGGGTCTGCCGTTAGCTGCAGCAGGGAGGAAAAGGGGGGTTCGGGGGGGAATTGGGTGTGCAGGCCACGGAATGCTCTGCGGTCGAGATGGCTCAATGGGTTGAATGGACTTCTCCTGTGTTTATAACACACACACACACACGCGCGCCTTCCACCATTCGATACTGCAGACCCAGATGCCTCCAAAAGCAGCTGGTATTAAAATAGCAGAGTACTACTGACTGAAGCACAATTGTGGGGTGAAGGGCAGATCACGGACACAAGACAACATGACAGGATTCCTTCCACGTCCATCCCAAGTGCTGAAAAGGGAGCTCAGCTGGTAACGCTTTCACACCACATTTTGTGGAATGTTCATTTTAAAAACGGGTGTATTTTTTACTGGAAGTAGTGATCAATCGTAGAATTGGCTTGTGCGAAAACACAGGAGCAGGGGCGTACAGATGAATGTGAGCACATGATAAGCCTATCCAGCTCATGACTCAATGTTAGGTGTAGATACACTCATGTTTGAAACACCCATCACCAAGCCTAAGAGTTTCCAAACCAGATAAGAGTCCCACATCTGTAATGCAACCTACACACTGCATACCTAATTCCAAAGTGCATTAAGTGCAGGTTGAAGAGAGCCAAGGCTTGGGGCAACTGCGTGTAATGTTGGGGTAATTGCTGGAGATCAAGTAAAGGCACATACCTTGCCATTGAGAATGCTGTCTGGCAAGCTTCCAGTCTCTGATTCAGCAAAGACCTCCTTACCCATTAGGGTTTGCAGGGTTAACAGGAGCCGAGTGGGAAGAACCTCGGTCCTCATTGACCAGTCCTCTCCTACAAGCAGATGAGCCAGGCGGGCAGGCTAGCTGGTCTATAATCAACAGTACCCTAGATTTCTGCAAAGCTGCCTGGCTCAGGACCCAGACTACTGCGACTATCATCCACCACTGTTTGTGGGGACGCCGCTGTGCGCAATTGGCTGCCCCGTTTCGCCCACAAAAGATACAGTCAATTCACTTTACAATATATTCTGTGAAGCGCTTTGAGACGTCTCGAAGGTGTGGTAAAGCGCTCTATCAAAGGCAAAGATTATTATTATTATCACCATACAGTTTTGATTCCCACATTCCGTTACCAACCATGTCACCGTGGAGCCAACTCAGCCCCAAGGAAACCCGCTTTCTCATTTGCTTCCCCCTTCTTTCCCCCCCCCCACTCCGTCACTATGTACCTCTGAATGGTCTTAAGAGGCCTTTCTCCCTGTGACTCGCTAAACTCATACAGTAAATGGGAGTTGCCGGCTCCTGGCATTGAGCCAGGCACTGCGCAACCCTGCAAAGGGAAAAAAATCCACTGGTTTATGGATCTGGTGGTGATGCAGAAAGACAGCAGCAGCCAAAACTGCAGGACTGAGGACATCTGTCCTGTTCACCTCCCCTACCCTCCCTCCCTCCTTCCCTCCCTCTCACCCACCCACTCACTCACTCACTCACTCAGCAGCCTTCCAACCACGCCAGTTGTTACACAGGCTCAGCTTAACAGTGACTGACCAGGGACTGTTAAGTCACAGTTTACTGCAGTAACTGGAACCTGAATCAAATTATAATAGAATTCTAATTACATTTACAAGGAAGTAGAGACCACTCCTGTGCTACTTTCCCAGGCACTGAGCTCCTTCCCACCTTCAAAACCTTCTTATAAGCTCCTCTTTTTGCACGTGCCTTTTGGTCAACTTACTCTCCGCCCCTGCGCTGCGATTCCCATCGTTCTCTGCAAAGCATCCCTTGCCCCCTTCAAGGCAGGTCTCAAGACCTTCCTCTTCGACCGTGCCTTCGATCATCCTCCTATCCCGACCCTCGCTGACCTCCAACCCTGCTGATCCCAACCCCAACCCCCTCACCCCCAGCTCGGGTCCAAATCCCTGACCGTCCGGCTCCTTGGGACGTCCTCCCAACGTGAAAGGACGTGATTTATTGTCGTCCCAAAGAGACAACCCAACGTTGCACTTGAATTAAATCAAATGGGTAAGAAAGGTAGTGGGAAAACAGCACTTGGTGAAATACTGAACTTGACCAGCGATCCTTTGACAGGAAGAGAGAAGATTCTAATACTGATCCTTGCGTTCAACACAGTACCTTATGCAGATTTCCCTGGCCAGCGACAGCGGGTTTAAAGGAGCCGTTAGGCAAAACCTTTCTCCAGCTAAAGGTTTCCTTCGTCGCAAGTGGTGACCGGGGGGGGGGGGGGGGCCTGAGACAACATGGGCCTGACAGGGAAATGGATCACACTTAAAGAGGAAGAACACCACAGAGACAAAAGAGGAACTACGACTCCTTCGCACCGGCCTTTAGGAAAGTTTGCTGGCGAATGGTTTCCCGATGACGTGAGGTGGGGGGGTGGTGGGGGAAGTCTCGCAGGGTAATGTTGGAAATTCTACTGCAGGAACCTCATCTGCAGGCAGCAGTGCCCGACTGCAGATACTGTCAGTGGTAATTAACCTTCCCTGCTCTAGCGGCTGCCTCTGCAGCACATTGCTGATGCACTGGTTCCAGGCTCCTGCCAATACAGCAGATGAAGTGCTGACGGGGCATTTGAATGAGAGCCTGACGTTCTGCTGCAGGCTCAAGATAAAGGCAGTCGGATGGACAATTCTCTCTCTCTCTCTCTCTCTCTCTCTCTTCTTGAACAAAAAAAAAGCATTTGGTCGTGCTGCTCACCTTCAGCCGTGTGGCTGATCTACTGACCGTACAGAGTGATTGAGGGAATCATTTCATTTCACACGTGGCTGTAAAATCTGATATCATGCAACCTGGATGCATCAGGTTAACCACTGCACCTTCCCAATTTGTGAATCACAAGTTGCAGGCTTAAAACTCCCCTGAGACACGGAGACGAGAGTGCTACCGACTCGGCCAGCCTAGCACACAAAAAGAGACAGTCGAGAGACAGACCTGATAGATGGTTGAAAATTAAGAGCGCTTTTCATCTGGCAAAGAGGAAAAAAAAGCTATTTCAACCGGTCACAACTATTGGACATAACTTCAAACCATCATTAAAAAAAATAACAATGGGAGATGTCAAGAGAACTTTTTGGGGGGAAACACAGAGGGTTATGAGGGCAGGGAACACACTGCTAAAAATAGTGGTTGAACCAGAATCCACAATAGCTTTTAGAAGAGAATTATACAAACATCTGAAAAGGAAAAATATAAAAGGGTATTGGGGGGGGGTGGGGGGGGACGTGTGGATAAAGGCAGGGAATTGGGATTAAATAGACCACTCTTATGATACGTTGCTCCCAAGCCCTTGCAGTGTGTAAAAGGGATTAGAGAGAGGACTTACCCAGTGCAGAGAGGTGATGCAGACCTTGGCACCCATAAGAGCTATGCTTGGATCATCCGGGCGGAGCTTGGCACATTCTCGGAGCGCTGAGACAGCCCAGACCGACTGCAAACGACACAGATAATGATGCAGTGTTAATGGTCATCTCTTGCATTTACTTGGGATTTGCACAGGGATCTTGGTGAAGGAACAATAATACAGTTGATTTGTTTTAACGAATGTCGCCATTAACCGTTTGATAACAGAGAAAGTTGGGAGGGGGGTGGGGGCGGGATGGGGAATTGGTATATTTTGTGAGTTGGGCAAACTATGTATAAACGCATGAAACCTAGATAAAGGTGATTTTAATGATGTATGAAAACAATTCAGTCATTATGTACAGTAACTTAAAATAATAATAATAATCCTTGCATTTGATATAGTGCTTTTACGTCTTCTAGGTAATAATAATAATAATAATAATAATAATCCTTGCATTTGATATAGCGCTTTTCACGTCGGGAGGACGTCTCAAAGCGCTTCACAGAGTAGACTGTAAAGTGAATTGACTGTATATTTTGTGGGTGAAACGCGGCAGCCAATTACGCACAGCAGCGTCCCCACAAACAGTCATGGATGAGCGACCAAATTATTATTGTTTTTTTTTCTTGAGGGATTACTATCAAGCGTGCGGAGTAAGGAAACTTGCCCGAGGTTTCGCCCTGTGCCAGGAATCGAACCCAGGTCTCTCGCTTGCAAGGCGAGTGCTCTAACCACTGAGCTACAGGACTCCACAAGGAATTGGGATAGTTGCAAAAGAAATGCAAAGAGGACAGGGAGAGGGTGAGAAGAGTTGGATTAAACGGATAGCTCTCTCAGAGAGACACGATGGGCTGAATGGCCTCCTTTTGTACTGTGAGATTCTACGAGGTAAAGTTTGCAATGTTTTAAGGCTGTTGTGCACTGATTTGCTCCAGGGGTATAGATCCCGAGATACAGCACTCTCTTCTCAGGAAGGTTAACATTCGCTTGAGGCCAGGATTGGTGCCTCTTGAGGAGGTGAGTAAATTCTTGTCCCCCGCAGGGTATTTGATTTCTAGGAGGAGCAAAAATCCAGACCCTCCCAGGAATAGTTTTCTAACTAACATTTCCCCGGCCTCTGCCGCCCATCTCCACCCACTTTCGTACACTTGTAAAGAGCCTTTCAGGTCAAGTAAAGGTCTCAGAGCACTTCTTAAAGAGATCATCTTGGAGATCATCACCACGTAGAGGGAAGAGGACTGGGTCGACGATATTGAACCAAAAGCAACAGGTCAAAGGGGGTAATAGACCCTTCAAAATATATATTTTTTAAAAAACTGCTGTCACTCAATCCACGACTGTTTGTGGGACGCTGCTGTGCGGAATTGGCTGCCGTATTTCACTCACAAACTGTGCAATCAATTCACTTTACAGCATTCTCTGTGAAGCGCTTTGAGAGGACGCTATGTCAAATGCAAGCATTACTTTATTAGCATAGAATTATTCAGCACAAGAGAATGAAGCCTTTCAAGCCATCGTACTTGTCCTGGCTCCTTAAAATTAGTTCTTCAATTAGTCCCATTCCCCTGCATTGTTTCCCACGTCCTTTTACATGTTTCCTTTTCACATGTTTGCCAAATTTCCTTTGAAAGGCTATTGCAACCTTTCCCTGCTGATTCCTCAGCCAACTTACCCAGCATGGACTTATGAGGCGTATTTTGAGGGGGGGGGAACCTCAAGCCGGGTTGATGGGGCCTCTGTAGCAGAACGCTCATGGTTGCTTTAACAAGCTGCAATTCCCACCCTCTCCTTCCAACCATACGGTGGAGTGGAAATGGGAACTTTAATAATATAATGTCAGCAGCACTGTGGAAGCTGGCCAACCTTTTTTATTTATAAGTCTGTGAAGACACGGCAAATTGTAGAGCTCAAATTAACACCGTGTGGACCTCGCCACCACCTCTGTATCCACCACCAAGCCCCTCCGACCCCGTTAAGTAAACTATCAAGACGTCTGTCTCCGCCGCCTATCCTTTCCCCCCCCCTCCCCCCCACCAATCTGCACATCCATCTGAACAATGCAGTGTAAATTGGGATGACATTCCAGAGAGTGGAGGCAGAGCGGTTGCAAGCACAGAGGGATCAGAGGACAAACAACAAGTAGGGCTTGGCAGAGCAAAGGGTGTAGGCGGGAAGTGTGGATTGAGGCGGTTGAAGATGTAGGCTGGGACACAGGAACATAGTAACAGGAGTAGGTCATTCAGCCCGTCAAACCTGTTCCGCCATTCTATAAGTATTGGGCCGATCTGTACCTCAACTCCAATTATCCGCCCTTGGCCTTGGTACCTTTACCTATTTGAATGGAGTATGGCCACGGAGGGTGTTAAAGTTCAGAACAAACTGCAGGGACGAGGAATCAGTGGAGCCTAAGGAGGCTGGAGACAATAGGCGTGCGGTGGTACAGGCAGCTCAGTGCAAGACGGGGTGCGGGCTGCTAAGTTCTGGATGCACTGAAATTTCAGCGCTCACGGGGTTAAGTTCCAAGCGACCAAGGTGCGGAATTTCAAGTTTAAAAATGTAATGTGGCTCCTTCTGCAGCTGCAATGCTGTGAGCACCAGCCCTTCGTCATACGTAACACAGAGCAGTATTATAGCCCACAGATGTTTGTTCAGAAGGCAGCTCCATTAAACGATCCAATTCTACCCTCAACCCCGGTCCAATTCTATGTAATGCTGCAGCTCCCCGACCTCACCCGCCCCGAGATTCAGAGGCATTCAATTAAACTCGTGCCAGGGCCGAGCGATGGCAATAAGCAAAAAAAGTCTCTCGGCGACATAAATGCTAATGGAAAGCCCTGTAATTGGAAACGAGCCCAGACTGTCTGCTGTGGGCGGCTGGTGAATGGCAGCTCGGATCGCCCTCTCGTGGGCAAGGGACCATATGTCCGGCGAGATCACGGCAGATAGTCAGTCTGCTGGGGTGGGGGGGATGGTGGGGGGAGGGTGGGGGGTTTCTGCGGTGGGTGAGACGGGAGTGGTCTGTGATACAATCAGTGGTGGAGGTGTTAGGAGGCCCCACTTGTCACTCAACTCCCCAATGTGCGGTGGTGAACAGTGTCCTCCCCACACACACACACACACACACACACACAGACACCACTGCTCATTAATGCACGCGTGCAATCTTGCATTAATGAGCAGGGGATGCAATCAAATGCAAGAATTATTATTATAAGTATTGCCAAAGGGCACTAAATTTGGGGTGGTGGGGAAAGGGGGAGGAGGGGGAAGGGGAAAGAGTCTTCACTGGCTTGAGCAACTATTCACTGAACGACGTGTCTGGAAATTGGCGGGGAACAAAAGCGAGAAAATAAAAAACATACTGCAAATGCTCAAAGGCAAACCTGTGGGTGATTTGATTAAGTGACACAAAACAAAAATCCTGGCCACTGATCCCTCTCTAAAGCTGCCGCAGAGCTCAGATCATTAATTCATAGCAAATCAAGACAGAAATTAGGTCAGCGCTCAGGAATCTCAGTCCCCGAGACGCTTGCTTGGGTGGGAAGATGGTATTTTTAAGACTGATGTTCACGGTTGGGGCGGGGGAAGAGAGAGAGAGTGGAGGGGCTGGTAACAGATAACACAGGGTGACCAAAAAGTCGTGATACCATTACAGTGTCTAAAAAGTCTTAAAGAGAAATTATGGTACTTCTTTTAGATAATATCCACGACTTTTTGGTCTCCCTGAACTGACATCAGTTACCGTGGCAGATGCTCCTGCCTGTGACACACTCACGGTTACATTTAACGTGTGGCTAATGTACAGCAAAATCTGACTTCTATTACTTTTGTATCGTGCTCCTTCCTTCACAGCCTAAGAGAGTGAGAACGCACAGGCAGGGCACTGTGCACGCATGCACACACACGCACACGCACACACACATGAACACACAGACTGCTCTCCTCTCTCTCTCTCACACACACACAACACTTGTATTAACTGGAAATAAAACTGGACAAGACAGCAGGCGACAGTCTTCGAAGGACTGTTCCCCAGTTAGTCCATAACCTCAGCCAAATGGCCATCATTAACTGCAGCAGTGAGTGTCGATAAGGTATCCGACCAGAGCTGAGGAAGAGGGGTGGTTGATCACAGCTGATCCTAATCCTCACCAGACATCCACACATTCTACATCTTTTAGTAAGGGATGAAGGGGGTGGGGCGCCTCTGGCTGCTGAGACCAATTGGTGATTATTATTACTATTATTATTATTACTATTAATATTATTATTACCACCAGGTGCCCTGGCTTAGATCAGCCAATCCAGCAGATTCTGCTTCTTTGTCCACCAGCCCATCAGGGGAGACAAAGTATTTTCTTTAACAAACCAAAAGGATTGAATTGAAAACCAAATAAGCTTTTAATATTAAAAATGGAAATAGAACACAGAACTGTGGGTGGGGGCAAAGAGAGAGAGAGAGAGAGAGAGAGAAAGCGTGTGTGTGAGACAGAGAGAGAGTGTGTGAGAGAGAGAGAGAAAGAGAGAGAGAGAATAGAAGGAGGTAATGAGACAAGTGAGTGGAATCTGCTGCATTGAATGACTGGTCAGAACACAGACATCCCCACCTTGAGAGAACACCCTCCTCGACAGCCGTAATTACACGACGAGGGAGAAAAGTGAGACAGAGGGTCTTGTACTTCAGCGACAGTCTGAAGAGGATCAGTCAAAAGCCCTCCATCACAGATCACAGAATAATCAACAGCAACCTTTGCCGCATGGCGATTTTGCACAGAACAGACCAACGATTTTGTGTGTGTGTGTGTTTGTCTCCCTCTTTCTCTGTCTCTGTCTCTCTCTCTCTCTCTCTCTCTCACACACACTCAAAGCTGTTTTAAGACAGTAGGAACGATACTTTTTCCCCATTGATCAGTTCTGCACAGCAGTTACGAACTACCTGTATTGTGTGTTTTTTTTCAGATATCTTGTCTGCTCGTCATTACAGGGCACCTGGTAACCACTTCAAGCTTTACCAAGGAAACCACTGGAAGGATGACCTCAACTATTGATCACTTGCCAATCACCAGGCGAGAAACCTCGCCTCCTCTCTCTCGCGCTCTCTCTACCACCGCCGCTGTAGAATTTCTGGAGCGTTGCTTTCTGCAACGCACGGCTTTTCAACTAGCCTTTCGTGCTTTATAAAAATTATTATTACAAAAATTACTGGATTTCTGCTTTTGGAGTCCTGTAGCTCAGTGGTTAAGAGCGCTCGCCTCGCAAGCGAGAGACCCGGGTTCGATTCCTGGCAGGGCTAAACCTGGGGCAAGTTTCCTTACTCCACACGCCTGATAATAATCCCTCAAGAAAAAAAAACATGAATAATTTGGTTGCTCAATCCGCGACTGTTTGTGGGACGCTGCTGCGTGCAATTGGCTGCCGCGTTTTGCCCACAAATATACAGTCAATTCACTTTGCAGTATATTCTGTTAAGCGCTTTGAGACGTCTCGAAGATGTGAAAAGCGTTCTACCAAACGCGAGGATTATTATTATTATTTTATGGCGCTATTCGAAAAGGGAGCTTTTTCCCATCGACACTCCAGATAAATTGTTCATTCGCTTCACGGCTATTTGTGGGCACCGATGCGTGCAAATTGGCTCCTGCGTTCACCTACAAATACAGACGATGCACATCACCGTAAATCCTCTAAAGCGCTTTGAGACGTTTTGACGATGAGATAGAGCGCTATTTCAAACGCAAGGGTTATTATTACCTTGGGGACCTGCATTCTATGGAAGTACAACTTGTGGTGATAGATGTATGAAGCTTTGGGGAGTGAGAGAGAGAGGGAGAAAGAGAGAAAAAGAGAGAAAGAGGGAAAGAACTTGCAGTTTTACAGTGCCTTGTCACAGCAAAACATCTCTAAACACTTTAAAAGTAATTACTGTCAGTACAGTGACAAGTGGGTCAATCCAGCAGCCATTTGCGCCAGCAAGGTCCTAACAAACTGCCATGTGGTGAACGTTTCAATTTATCTGAAGGATTGTTGGCTCACACACCAGGAGAAACTCCTTTCCAAGTGGTGTCACGGGATGTTTAACATCTACCAGAACAAGCAGATAATACCTTCCTCGGTTTCATATCTCGTACTAAAGGACAGACAGCACTAGCGCTCCCACAAAAATCAGTCCTAAGCTATGAGGTCAAGCTCCATCATAACTAGAAAATCCTTCACTAAATTACTCCCTTAATGTGCGATGGTTGGTGGGGGTGTGTGTGGGGGGGGGGGGGGGGGGAAGAGACAGGGAAATCACGTTATCATCTCCTCAGTGTGGAGTCAGTGGTATGAGCCAATACACACTGTGTGACTGGTGGCTTTCAACAACAACAACAAATCACATTTACACAGCACCTTTCACGTCAGGAGGACGTCCCAAGGCGCTGGACAGTCAGGGATCCGCACCCCAGCTGGTGGTTGGGATCAGGAGGGGGTGGTGGGCGGGAAGGGTAGGGGTAGGAGGGTGACCGAAGATACGGTCGAAGAGGAGGGTCTTGAGACGGGTCTTGAAAGAGGCAAGGGAGGGAGGGGGCGAGACGGAGAGACGGTGGGATGGAGTTCCAGAGGGTGGGGGCAGAGTGGCTGAAGGCCCGACCGCTGATAGTGGGGAGGGCAAGGCAGGGAACGTGAAGCAGGTGGAGGGGTAGGAGGTTGCAGAGGAACAGATGCAGGAGCCGCACTGGAGAGATGCCAAAGCAGATGAAGACAACATCCTATCATCCAATTGTATCATCCTGGCGTCAAATTGTTTCTTTTTTGAAAAGGAGTCCAGTTTCCTGGCCTCCACTATCTTTGCTGGCAACTTGTCCCAGTTGTTAGTAACCCTCCAAGTAAAGTCTTTGACTTCGTCACAAGATACAAAAGCATTTGCAAACCCACACACAAGCCAAATGACTTGAGAAGTGTCTTGAGATGCTTCTCTGTGATCAGGCACTGTAAAACTGCACGTTCTCTTTTTCTCTCTCTCCCCAAAGCTTCATCCATCTATCACCACAAGTAGTCCTTCCAGAGAATGCAGTTCCCCAATATAATAATAATAATACTATTCCTTGCATTATGAGCTGCTGCTTCCTCTTTTATTCTCTAGTTATTCATACATCAAGTCTTGCAATACAATAAGTTGAACTGCCTGCTTCTACGTCAAGAGAAGTGGTAATGCCGGAAGTGGTAATGACAGCAATATCACTGGGTAAGCTTCACTTTTGCTTACCCTGACCCCCTCCACCCCCAGCCCAGTGAGTCATCTTGAGACAAGCTCTGCCAGCAGTGACCATCTCTCTTCCGTCGAGGTTCAACACTTCAGCTCGAGAGCAACCTTGAAATCATGAAACCCGAATAGAAGAAGAAAACAGCCAAATTCTTTCAGAGCACCAATCTTTCACCTTGTTTGGGCCTGAAAAAGATTTTAACTTAAAAATGTCGGATAACAACAGAAGAAAATAAGAAATGCTAGACTAAAAAAGACCGAGGTACATCCAATTCATCTTCCATCTTCCTGGTGGTCGCATGCACATATAATAATAATAATAATAATCCTTGCATTTGATATAGCGCTTTTCACGTCGGGAGGACGTCCCAAAGCGCTTCACAGAACACACTGTAAAGTGAATTGACTGTATATTTGTGGGCGAACTCGGCAGCCAATTGCGCACAGCAATGTCCCACAAACAGTCGTAGATTGAAAATGACCGATTTCTTATTGTTTTGTTTTGGAGGGATTATTATTAGGCTCTGTGTGGAGTAAGGAAACTTGCCCAAGGTTTCGCCCTCTGCCTGGAATTGATCTCAGGTCTCTCGCTTGCAAAGCGAGTGCTCTAACCACTGAGCTACAGGATTCCATATGTCCCGAACTACCTATGTACTATACCCCATAATGTTATTTTCTAAAAGAAAATTATCTAATCCGTATTTGAAGGAATCAACATTTCCTGCTTCAACCGTCTACCCAGGAAGCCTCTTCCACAGGTTTACTATTCACTCACTGAAATAGTGTTTCCGTAGATTTGTTCTGAAATTTATCCCACTTCAATCACAGGCCGTAGTATTGTGTAAAACTCTTAAATCCAGTCTCGATTTGAAAGCAGTTTTTGTGAATGACTGCAGAGACCCAACTTCCAAATTAAGGCCGTTATCCACATTCTCAGTGGCCTGTAGCTCAGTGGTTAGACCACTCGCCTCACAAGCGAGAGACCTGGGTTTGATTCCTGGCAGGCGAAACCTTGGGAAAGTTTCCTTACTCCACACGCCTGATAATAATCCCTCAGGAAAAAAAAACAATAATTTGGTCATTTCAATCCACGACTGTTTGTGGGACACTGCTGTGCGCAATTGGCTGCTGCATTTTGCCTACAAAATATAGTCAATTCACTTTACAGCATATTCTGTGAAGCGCATTGAGACGTCTAGGAGACGTGAAAAGCGCCATATCAAATGCATGGATTATTATTAGTATTATTATCATTATTTCTGGGTGATTTAAAATTTTTAAGACCCAATGGTCTTTAGAGGGGCTACAACTAGGGGCCTTGGGAGGGTGGGGGAGGAACATTGAAGGCGGTGGGGGTGGAAATATGGAAATAAGAAAATTCTATTAACTTAAATCGTCGAGGCGAAAAGCAGCAGAGATATCACGAGGAACACAACAACCTATGAGAAAGTTTTGGAAATACAAAAGAATAAGATTGGTCTGGATGGAGGAAGCCCTTTAGCCCAAGTGATCTCATCCCTCTAGAACAGCCATCACTGCATCAAGCTGCTTCTTAAAATGAGTCCAGGGCCCTGGTCTGCCTACTACCACATTTCCTTGCAACCTATCATTAGTTACCCTCTGCGAAAAGAAAAAGTTGCTGGTATCGGTCCTGAAGTTGCCCTTTACAACTCAAACCAGTCAGGGTACATCCTAAAGTGTTGATCTGGGTTTACGTTTTCAATGCCATTTAACATTTTGTACACCTCTTTGAGGATCCTCTCCCAAGACTGAAGAGCCCTAGTTTGTCTAGTCGTCACACTAGGGTTAATAATAATACTAATCATAATCTTTGCATTTGATTTAGCACCTTATCATGTCTTGAGACGTCTCAAAGCGCTTCACAGAATATACTGTAAAGTGAATTGTCTGTATATTTTGTGAGCGAATGATTATTCTCATTGCTCTCCTCTGCAATACCTCAAGATTTTGTTTTGGTGACCAGAACTATAACCAGTATTCAACATGTGGTCTGACCAAAGCCTGAGAATGACATCTGGGATATAAACTCAACTAATTTTGCAATATAGCCTGCAATAGATAAATTTTGCAATAGGTACTCATTTATTTCTGCCTCACATTTTTTGGACATAGTGAGCAATGAGTCAACAAACATTCCTAAGTCTCTTTCAGCTTCCCCCTTAGCAAGTTCAATCCTATTTATGGAGTACTTCACAGATACTTGTATTTCTTGGATGCTACATGTAGCACCTTGTGTTTGTCAGTATTAAACTTCATTTGACAGTTATTGGCCCATTAATCTCTCTTGGTTGGAACCTTTGTTACCTCCTCTGATTCCATAGTCACCCCATCATTATTATTAAGAGGAATAAAGCAGAGAACGCTTTGGGAAAATGCGGACTCGCTGCCCACAACGGATCTCTTACCTTTCCACAAGCCACCAGCGACAATGCCAACTGGCGCCACAGGTGAAATTCATCGAACGCAAACTTCATCGCTCTCTCCAGACACTGTGGGAGACAAAAGGATTTGTGGTGAGAATTGGTTTGGGATGGGAAGAGAAAGCAGGCGTATACAGTCAATTCACTTCACAGTATATACCGTGAGGCTCTTTGAGACGTCTCCAAGCAGCGATAAAGCGTCATATCAAATGCCAAGATTATTATCATTATTATTATGGTGTCTGCGAACCTGCTATGCTACTCAGTGTTCCGAGATACTGCCCAGCATGTAGGGCGCTATGTCAATGGAAGTAGTTGTTGTTGTCGTCTGGCAGGCATGACGTGAAATAGGAAAACCAGAAAATTTCACGTGACTTGCTCAGAAAACAACACTACGAAGCAACCGTCCTCCGTCAGCCCTCAGTCACTCAGGAAGACAAGATCAGAGAAGACCACTGTGGTGCCTCATTGTGCAACGTTTGATCCATTGCTGCTGACTGAGCCGACATGGGCAGAGCACTGATTAACAGCAGGTTAAACAATTCAAACGGATGAAAGTAATGACAGGCAAATGAATAACAACAGATATACATATCAGACAGCCACAAACTTTTTTATGTTCCTTCAAAATACCCTTTTTTTTTTTGATCTGTTATATTCATACCCCCTTGTCTTGATGCTTGAGGGTGACGAGAGTGTGAAAGCAAAAAAGCATCAGCGTATTTAAGAGGAAACCTGATGCATTCGTGAGAGAAAAGGGTACAGAGGGTTACAGGAGAGATGATTAATGGGGGGTGAAAGCTCACGTGGAGTACAAACTGGCCAGTTTCTGTCCTGTAATATCCTCTGCAATTCTATTTAGTATCTTCTTTTGCAGCCGATTGCAATCTGCAAGACCTCTCAATTAGCCGCACGACTCAATAATCCAGAAGATTGCTGGCCAGGACACCAGAAGAAACTCCCTTCTCTTACAAACAGTGTCGTGGGATTGTTAACGTGACCTGAAAACAGTCAAAAGGGAGAGGACCCGGGTCGATTCCCCGGCTGGACGAAATCTTAGGTAAGTTTCCTTACTCCACACTCCTCTGATAACCTAGCAGTAAGTAGGAACCGGGTTGTTAAATCGATTGGGGGATTGCTTTCCCCGGGGGTAATAATCCCTGCAAAAATAAATAATAATAATAATAATTTGGTCACTCAACCCACAACTGTTTGTGAGATACTGCTGTGTGCAATTGACTGCTGCTTCAAACTATACAGCCAATTCACTTTACGGTATATTCTGTGAAGCGCTTTGAGACGTCTCAAAGATGCAACAAGGCGCTATATCAAGCGCAAAATTCTTCTTATTATTATTATTAATTCACCATTGCTGTCCACGTTCGCATGTGAGCTGCTGAACGAAATTGCCCGGACATGCCCTCCTCCGCTCTGACCCACAACAGCAGGATGCAACAACAACTTGGCTTATATAGCGCCCTCCAGGCAGAGAAGCGTCTCAGAGCGCTTAACAGTGGCGGAGCCTGACTCGGAGCCGGTGGGGGATTGGGGTAGGGGTGGTGGTGGGGGGGGGGGGGGCGGGGAGAGGTGACCTTAAGCACGGTCGAAAAGGAAGGTTTTCAAGCGGGACTTGAAAAAAGGGGAGAGAGGGGGCAAGACGGAGGGACTGAGGGCGAGTGTTCCAGAGTTTAGGGACGTAGTGGCTGAAAGCCCGACCTCCGATGATGGAGCGGAGGGTGCGAGGGTCGAGCAGGAGGCCGGTGCCAGTCGAGCAGAGGCGCCGGGTGGTGGATTGGGGAGCGAGGAGGTCGGAGAGGTAGGGAGGTGCCAGAGGGTGAACGGATTTGAACACGAGAGCAACAGAACCAAGTGCGTACCTCGGAGAGCATCCCGTATTGGCCCCTCCTGGCCATGGTGATGCTCAGGAGATCGTACAACGCCGAAGTGTTTTGGAAACTGATCGAACGGTCGTCTCCTTGCTCCGGCGAGCGGCTGATCACGGCATCTGGGTTTGCCTGCCGAGGGGGGTTAAGAAAAGTAATAAAAAAACTGTGCATGAACCGATGCAGAGGTTAAAAAAAAAATTACATTCAACCTTCTTTAAGGAGCAATGTTACAATGTGTTTGAAACTCTCGCCACTGACTTCTGTATACAATGGTAACTGGGTTGATAAGCGCCCGGTTGCTGTTATCCTGGATTCTTCTCAGCAGGGAAAATAGCCTAACTTTTAGTGGCGTGCTGTAGCTCAGTGGCTAGAGCACTCGCCTTGCAAGCTAGAAACCCGGGTTCGATTCCCAGGCAGGGCGAAACGTTGGGCAAGTTTCCTTTATCCACACGCCTCTGTTTACCTCGCAGAATTACCTAAATAGGAACCCGGTTGTTCGTCGATTAGCGGATCACTTAAAAATATATTGGTCACTCAATCCACGACTGTTTGGGAGACACTGCTGTGCGCAGTTGGCTGCCGCGTTTCGCCCAAAAAATATACAGTCAAACTCACTTTAGAATACATTCTGTGAAGCGCTTTGAGACGTCTCAAAGATGTGATAAGGCGCTGGACCAAATGAACCAAATTATTATTATTATTAAATAAGACCGATGTAGAGCATACAATTGGCTAAGCTCATGACAGTGTACACCAAAGCTGCTGGAATCCTTTCCGTTTGCTCCAAATCCTGTTATTACCCAATTCTCATAAAGGAGATCTGGGCAGCCTACAACTTTCAGAAGCAATGTTTAGTATTATTATAATAATAATAATAATCCTTGCCTTTGATATATCTCAAAGCGCTTCACGAGATATACTGCAAAGTGAATTGACTGTATAGTTTGTGCCAGCAATGCATTTTTAATGAAGAATGAATCCTCAATGATTCTCAAGCTGCGAAACGTGCAATGACCCTGCGCAAGTTCATTCTGCTATCAGTACTATTAGCCTGACGTCTCAGCTCAGCCTTACGCATCTTCAATAACACTCAATACCCATTGCTAGGTCGGTGGCTGGGGGAGAGGGGCAATGGAGGGAGGGAGGAAGGAGGAAAAATTTAGTTATCATTTCTGCAGTAACTACCGAGTCATAGAAACCATATTTTGCAGCACAGAAGGGGAACTATTTGTCCCTCGTGCCTGTTCTCACTCTCGGAAAGATTTTATTTGATGTTGAACTGTCCCATGAGAATTTTATGATGGAGGGGGATGCGGTGAATTTAATTTATGGGGGCAAAAAATTGTAAATTCTGTTTTTGAACGCTCAGCCTCCGCTTACCATGGACTCGGCGATCGAAAGGAGCAGAAGTGCCTCTTCCACAATGTCCTGGGGGCAGAAGAGACTGAAAAAATAAAGCAAGTACTGAATTAGGTCAATCCGCCACGATCCTCCCCCCTCCCCACCCCCCACCCCCGTTTTATGTGCATGAACCAAGACACCACAAACATCCCGATGCAAGATTCCTCCCTGTTAAAACACATCCTCTCGGAAAACCTGCACAATTGACAAACACATAATGTGAAAAGCGACATTTTCAGGACTCCCATTAACCTGATACTCTAGAGATACGTGGGCAAAAAACTCCTTGACATGTACCTTAAGTCACACCTTACCTCTGCCCCACCTTACACTGCTTGGTGTCACAGGCCACGTTTTGAGACATTCTTCAATGTAACAGGCATTATATGACCTAGTCAGGGTGGTCCAACCTTTTGGCTGCCGAGGACCAGGTGCCCTATTTGAGAAACGTCTGCGGACTGCAGAAGCAAGATTTTTGTGTTTCCCTTCCAGAAATATAACATGACGTGGGCCAGATGAAATGAAGGGGAGTGGGGGACTCATGGAATCAATCCAGGGGCCATATGCGGCCCGTGGGCCACCAGTTGGGGGACCCTAATATAAGTGAAAGCTGTTGTTGTGATTCTGCAACGTCTTTTATGAACAGAACTTGACCCTTCTTCCATTCCCTACCTACCATCCACCTCCACCCAAAACTACACAGGAAGAAATCCCCTGAAACAACTGTGCATGAAGGTAGTCACTTACCCCTCCCCTTGGTAGAGCTGTGGGCCTTTGGGTAGTGCTAAGCCCTTCCCTGATAAAGGTCCATCATCCATGATGCCAAGCAGATCTGCCGGGGGGTCTGAAAGTGGAGACCAGTAACTATTCTCACTCAGACTGCGCAGAAGGACCTCCACCAGCTGCTTTGCTATTGTCTAAGAGACAGAACAGAAGAAATGATCAGGTCTAACATCAGGGTGATCCAATCTGTCTGGGCTAAATACTCCCGTGATTCAACTGCAGAAAAGGAATAAAGGTTTTGTTATTCCTTACCACTCTAAAGTTCTGTGTAGCTCGCGTCTCCACCACTCGGAGAGTCCCTCGTATTCGGTTCATTCCCTTCACAATGTTCCTGTAGGGGACACAAGACTGGACATTGCTGTCACGACTCTATGTTTGCGCACAGCGATAGTCTCACAAACTGCCATAATACAATACAAAATTACATTTGTAGAGCGCCTTTCACGTTGGGAGGATGTCCCAAGGCGTCGGTGACTGATCAGTTTATCTGGGGGAGGATTGTTGACCAGTACACCAAGAGAAACTTTCCTTTGCATTCAAATAGTCATTGGGTCTTTGAAGTCCACGTGAACAGACCTCCCAACAATGCACTGGAACGTCATCTTAGACTGGGAAACCGAAGTCCGAATGTGAGGCGATGAATGCACAATGTTTTGACTCGAGAGAATGCTACCAACTGAGCCGAGGTGACACAGCACCAGAATATACCATCATGTATCATGATGTACAACTTCCAAGCCACTGAATACAAATGTGAAGACTGTAATAACACATCCCATTTGCATTTTGTGCTGGCTTAAGGGAATCCTACAGGGCTAGGGGTTTGAATGCTGCACTTTAGGGACCGCTGGTGCTGACGTGAGATTAGTGGAAGGGAAGGGAAGAAGGAAGAAACTTAAAACATTTTTAAAAAATGCTATAGTCGTCTGGCAGAGTTATACCATGGAAACTCTGGTCTCCTTTGCTTTCAGATGAGCCAATGCACATGAGGTGCCAAACGGTCGACTCTGTATATTGTTCAGCGCTGACATCTCCATTTATGGAACTGCAGTGAAATTAGATTCTCCTTCAGTCGCAGTAGAAAGAATACACAGCATCATTCTGCTGTCCGACCTGTTTAGAGCTATTGACCTGCATGTCAACTGAAGATGCATTGCAGGCTTTAAAACTACACCACTTACTTAATTACATACATTATTTAGCACAGCATTGTCCTATGGATTGTACTGCACTTAGAATAGTTAAAAGTGAGGGTGTTTGCAAGAATAGATAATCCCTTGTCTATTTTAAAGGATGGAAATTTTAAAAAATTGNAAAAAAGATCTATATCTGTAACCCCGAGACGTTGTATTGGAAAATTACACGACGGTTAATAAAATGAAACCTTGCAGTTGACATATAGTGCTTTTCACCTCAGGAGGAGGACATCTCAAAGTACTTCACAGGGTATATTGTAATGTGCAATGACTGTACTTTGTAGGTGAATGTAGCAGCCAATTTGCACACAGCAATTTCCCATAAACATTTGTGAAGTTAATGACCAATTTTATCTGGGAGGATTGTTGGCCAGGACACTGGGAGAAATGACCTTTTCTTTATGAATAATACCATGGGATCTTTACCATCCACCTGAACAGGCAGACGAACCTCGGGTTAACATCTGAAGGATGGCACCTCCGACAATGCTTCAGTTTAGACTATGTAGACTAAGTACTTTCTGATTCAGAGGCAAAAATGCTACCAATTGAGTCAAGCTGACACCGTCAAAATGCCTCTGGTTTCTTCAACCTGAAAATAAAATTGATTTTTGGAACCTGAACGGCTTACTTATCAGTCGCAGGCTGCACACAGTGGTAAATTGGGTTTCAAACAGCTTCTACATTGCTGCCATGCAATCGTGGAGTCGGGGGGATAGAGAGGATAAGAGGAAGAAAGAGAAAACACATCGGTAAAGCTGGCTCACCCAGTCCTTGAGCTTGTTCAGAGTCCAGGAGTCTTACGTGGAACATTCATGTGTCCGAAATGTTAGTCGTGACATTCTTGATTTGGGAATATCAGAAATGCGGGGGTTTCGGAACATGGCAACACTGGCTCTAGGGATTCTCCGTATTACTCACCGGGCCTCAGTCTCCTCTTGGCTGGAATTTGGGATTTGCGACTAAGTTACTAAAAATATCACAAACCAAACAGCTTCTGGTCTGCCACTCGTCTGATTGCTGTTCGTGTCACGTCTCTTAACACAAATGAGCTGCCCCATTCGCCTGCAGAACAAAATTCTGTATACTGTAAAATGAACTGACAGTACATTCTGCGTTTCGCCCACAAAATATATACGGTCGATTCACTTCACAGTATATCCTGGGGAGCGCTCTGAGACGTCTCGAAGCTGTGATAAGGCGCTATACCAAATGCAAGGATTATTATTATATTCACTTCATTTCCAATTATTCTCATTCTGCGATGCTCTTCGATGGGTTTCTTTTACGTTAAAAGGCACTATGCAAACTTAACTCGCTGGTGTTTGTAATTGTCAGTCGATGTTGCTGTTGTAAATACGATTAGAAGACAGACAATTAGTGCAAGTCTCAGGCAGGCTTACCCTCTCTTGAAGTAAGCCACAAACGCACTCTGCAATGCAGCTTCCAGAAAGTAGGTGAGTTCCATCTCCTGAACAGCCACTTGCCCCTTGAGAACGCGAGAGTGAGTATTGCTAACGAGCTGTAGTAAGAAGTAAACGGGAACTAAGTGAACATTCAGATCAATTCAAGGACATGAGCCCTGATCACTATTGCGGGCACGTGTGCTTTGCCCGCTTGGCTCTCATTCGTAACGTTCACGCACCCAATTCACTGCGAACCCCAGTTTTGCGAAGCTCAGATTGTACAATTCAATCTGTCAACTGCGATTTCCGGTCGTCATTAAAATGCCAATCACCGGAGGGTCCAGTCTGGGAACGGAGAGTGGGACAGAGAAACGGCTCACAGAAACAACCAAATATAAATTGGGGGTGTGGTGGTTGGGGGGTGTGGGGTGGGGCACAATGCGGCTGGAGAAAGGGAGGAACAAAACATTTAAATAAACATAAAATGATAGAAGTCTGCGCCACTGGAAATGCGTTAGTCCTTGTATTTCATCGCACCATTATCCAAAGTGATTCCTGCAGCAACTAACAATAAATTCAAAGTATGTCAGCTTCGCATTGAAACCCATTCTGCAAAGCAGCTGTAAAGCAATCCGTATTACTAGCCAGTGCCGAATGCTCAGCTCTTTCCTCTACACGTTTAGGTGCTTACAATACAATTTACGCTTAGATAACACCTTTCGCGTCGGGAGGACGACTCAAAGCGCTTGACAACTCTGGCTGGGCACTGGAGCTGAGGGCGGGATTGAGGGAGGGGGTTGAGGAGGAGAAACACACCCGAAAGCATGGTCGAAGACGTACAACCCCTCTCCCACCCCTCCCCAACAACCCCAACCCCAACCAAACATAGCGATTGGTCATTGGAGGCAGAGGCCTGCAGTGTTCTCCTTACCCGCTCAACCTCTTGCAGATAGACCAGGGCAATATCACCAGCTTTCTCATAGCAAGAGAGGACCTCTGCCTCCCGCTCGAACAGACGAACCCGCGAGGTGACAGACGAAGTCTGGCGTTCGAGAGACAAGCCTGAGGGAACGGAATCACCGTTAAAGGAAGCTACGCATATGACCTGACCCATTGGGAGAGAGATAGCCATGGACATGCATTAAAATTAAGCGACAAATCCTTAATTGCCCCAAAGGCACTTTTATCATGGACAAGCAGAGCCCTGTTACATGGCAAGAGGTCAGCTTAGCTCAGTTTATTCCATGGAGGGACTTGATCTCACAGTCTAGGTTGACACTCCAGTGCTATGCTGCACTGCCAGGGGCGTCGTTCTGCGAATGAGATATTAAAATCGAAGTCCCGTCTACCTGTTCTTCAGGAAGATGTTAAAAATCCCACGACAACCACGATTTGACTGGCTAATGTTGGTCAGCGCAGCAGAAGGAAGGTCCCTTTTCTTTTACAAGCAGCACCATGGCATTTTTTAGTGTCCGCCTGAATAGGCAGACGAGACCTCGGTTTAGCTTCTAGTTCGGAGGATGGCACACTGGTGGGTCGGCCTGGACCATGAGCTGGTACCTCAAAGAGAACAGAACTAGAAATCGTCTACTCTCCCCCCGCCCCCCAAATAAATCCTTGGATACAGAAATAAACACTCAAGAGTTCATTTGAAGAAACTGATTTTAACATTCTATGAATATCTGAACGTCAGTTCCATGGCCTCAATATGCAGATACTTTATCCATTATATGTATCTCTTGGGAAAATACATTGCTCGTGGGCTCAGCTTAGAAACAGGAGCCACAGCCCCATCTTGTGGCACAGACCAGGCTTCTTAGTTTATGTATGTTTTTTTTAACACGCGTGGTTTCTTCCTCGTGTTTTAGCTTCTACTGGATGGATCGAGGATGAATTATAAATGGGTTCACTACTGACCCACAAACACATATATATATATACACACACACACACTTCACACTCTCCTCCATAAGTACTCCGCCCTCCCCCTCCTTCGCTCTCACACGCACACCCATTCCTAACGTTACCCACACAAATGCACCAACCCACCCCCTACGCCAAACACAAAACCTCTCACTTTCGCCAACTCACACCCCACACGAGCAAAACTGGCAGCTTTCTCTTCCCCTTGGAGTAACGCCAACCCCCTCTCACATGTGAGCTTACACACACGCGCACGCACGCACACGCACACGCACACACAAACAAGCTGAGAAGAAGTCACTTATCTACTTGAGTTAAAGAATAATGGGAGTCCAACCCATTGAAAGTCACAACAAAGTCCCTGGGTGCGTAAAGAAAAAAGAGAGGATGGAATCTGGTGAGTGAGTGATGAGTGAGGAGCGATGCCAATGGCAGCAGGTGATGGGGTAGAACACTTTTCACCCCTCCTCCAAGCCACACACGCAAATAAACAAACATTTATACAGGAGGTGAGAGCATAACGGGGCACTGGAGTAGAGGTCCCTAATGCAAGCATTCAGGGGTAGCGAGGCACCATTGATCGCAAAGCCCACCCCCAACCACCCCCTACACCTCTTTAACGACAGCACCTCCCCGATACGTAAACAACAGCAAAGCCCAAGCAACCGAGCAATTACGCTGTGATGATTTGATCTGAGGGGAGGAAGTACGTACCGTTTCAGGATCTCGCCTCATCACACTGGAGGAGCAAGGGCAAGGGTTTCTCATTGGTGCAACATGCTGTAGAGAGCAGAAAGCGGTGTTCAGAGAGCAAGATTAAGCAAGATTTATCAAAAGGAGGGAAGAAAGGGATTTTTATTCGGCCAGAAAGACGTGGCTTTTTAAAAGCAAAGGACAAGCGATAAATTTTCCCCTCCGTTTTGCTCCACTTTCTTCCTTCCTCCTCCAAAATATTCTGACATTGATTGAACAGACACCAGGTTTCGCTGGTACTCAGCCACTCAAGAGTGCTGGGTAGGGCAGAGAGCTGAGGGCAGAGAGAGCAAGATTTACGAGAAAGTGAGGGTGAGGTGGAGGGAGGGGAAGGGATTTTTATTTGGCAAGAAATGTGAGGTTTTTAAAAGCAAAGAAGAACACATCATTTTCCCTTCTATTTCCCCCACCCACACNAAAAAAAACTACATTAATTGAACAAATACGAGATCCTGCTGATACTCAACTGCTCTGAGCGTTGACAGATGTGACCCTGGCTTTTTTGTCATCTTAAAAATTCTGCAAAAGCTGTAACTTCTTCTTCCTCGTAGACTACAGAGGAATACTAATAATAATTTGACGTGGCGCCTTATCATGCCGTTGGGACCACTGAAAACGCTTCGCAGAACATATCGTAAAATGGTGTATTTTTGTGGGCAAAACAAGGCGGCCAACTGTGCAGAGCAGTGTTCCAAGGGGGGAAAAAAAAAGGCCTATTGACAAACAAGTGAAGAAATAGGGGAGTAGAATTAGACAAGTTACCCCATGTGCGAAATAATAACCCCATCAGTGCAGACTCCAAATGGATACACTAGAAGACCTGATACCTGCAGTAATTGGGATCACCCACCCTATCCCCCCACGAGGATACGACACACGCAGTGTGGATAATGGGTCAGTACATGCGTGGGTCTCTAACCTTGCACTCACCTCAAACAGATCTCCCCACCTCGTGCTGCTGATTCAGTCCGTCCCATTAAGATTGCGATCCTGGATACTTCAGAGGCGCGAGCGCGCAATTTAAAAAATAAATGGACACTGCAGCCCGATTTGACTACAGACGGATGCCACTCGAATATTGTGATGTGGGGCCCCACTGTACAATTTTTTCCCTGTTTTATAGCTTCCGGCCGTTCTGACGCAGCGTACAAAAACGAAAACGTATACGCACACACGCACGCGCGCACAAATACACCCCAAAAATATGCAAAGGATTCATAACTCTGGAAAAAAAAAGTTCCCTTATCTGTCTTCACGTACCAGAAAAAGATGGGTTTAGTTTCTGTTTTGCACTAATCGGGGCATCAGTACATCGCTCACGCGAAGAGCAAAGCGCAGAGTGCGTACCTTTTATAACGCAGGCTTCGGCTAAAAGTCTCTTCTTATAAAGCGGCTCTTCCTCCAACGAAAGATCGTCCATTCCAGCTCTGGCGTACATGCTGAGTGCGTCCCGATAGGAGCCCTCTACAAAGTGCAGCTTGGCTAAGGTCAGGATGGCCTCGGTCATCAGATTGTGCTGGGGAAAGAGAGCAAAACTCAACACCGCTGTGAAATACAGAGCTCCCACTCCTTAACAGTGCCTGCAACAACACTTCGAAGCGCCTGCGGAACATTTACTATTTTCTGCAGTGACTGTGCGTTCGTCAGCGAAAAGAGCGTCTTGTTCATCACACAATCAGCCACGAGACAAATAACCAACTAACAACTAACAACAGTTGATGGTGAGGAAACTGGGAGAAAAGGCATTCTCTTCTCAAATAGTTTCACGGGATTTCTAGCGCTCACTTGAACGGGCAGACGGATTCTCGATTAGCCACAACCGTACATCCTTTGTATTTTCTATGGTGCCCTATCACAGAGTGAGTCGTCTCAAAGCACTTCACCGGATTTTACTAACGTGACTGTGCAATTTGGATAACGTCTCGCAAACAGCCATGACGTGAATGGCCGATTTTATCTGGAAGACTGTTGGCCTAGACATCGGGAGCGATTCCCTGAATAAAAGCAAGTCCTTTACACACTGCTTGTAATTTTTTTCAAAAAAAAGCAGAGAGGAAGAAAACAAATAAAATGAGATGTCTGTGCAAAATCAATAGTAGTAATAATAATAATAATCCTTGCATTTGATATAGCGCCTTGTCACGTCGTTGAGACGCCTCAAAGCGCTCCGCAGAATATACTGAAAAGCGAATTGACTGCATATTCTGGGGGCCAAAAGCAGCAGCCAATTGCACGCAGCAAAAGCAAAAGTATGGTAAAAGATTATTTCCCACTGGTCAACAGCTCAGCAATGAGAGAGGGCTAAATTTAAGATGATCACAAAAGGAATCGAAGAGAAAGATGGAAAGAAATGTCTGCACAGAGGGTGGAGGGAGAGGTGACGGTCGAAGAGGGGGGTCCTCAGGCCTGATCTAAAGATGGGGATGGAAGGGACAAGCTGGAGGGATAGAGGAAGAGCGTTCCAGAGTTTCTGCTTCCAGTTTCCCGAAGGCGCCTGTTCCTTTGACTCTCAGTTCACGCCATCGACTCACCTGCAGTTTGCCTCGGTTCAAGATCGTGCTCAGGTGCTTTTTGGCGCCCATCATTTTGGGCTCATTCCTTTCCTCCAGCGGAGTGAAGGCTCTCAGTTTGCCCATGTTCTCCTTCAGGCACTGCTCCAGGAGTGCTTCAGCCAGCAACAGATTCCCGAAATCATCTGCATTTCATCAACAACAAGTGTAAGAGAGACACAAGTACCTAACACTCTGCTGCTCGCTGATTAAAAGTGCGTCACGTAACAATTCTTTGAACGTAGGGATGCAAATAGCAAAAAAAAAACAAGTGCCGTTCAACACAAAGGAAAAGAGATGATGTCGCAAAAGAGGTGGGGAGGTGCGAGGGCGTGGAGGGATTTGTAGGTGAAGATGAGGAAAAAGAGGGAGGCGAGGATACAAACCTGAGATACACTGTAGGGGATGAGAGCGAGGGAATATGTGGGAGGAGAATCCATTGCAGGAGACAAAGTGGAGGTGATGGATCAAATAGAACTGGGACCAGGAAAGTGCAGTGGAGGTGGATGAGAGAGGAAGGCGAATAAGGGGATAAGAGTAGTAAAAGTTAACGGAGATGTTGAGGAGGATGAGGAAGCATACAGAACCCTGGTTGTGTTATAATAATAATCCTGGCATTTGATACAGCGCCTTATCACGTCTTCGGGACGTCTCAAAGCGCTTCACAGAATACACTGTAAGGTGAATCGACTGTATATTTTGTGGGCAAAACGCGGCAGCCGATTGTGAGCAGCAGCGTCCCCACAAACAGTTTGTGGATTGAGTGACCAATTTATTATGTTTATTTATTTACTTTGAAGGGATTATTACCCCGGAAAAGCGATCTGCCGATTGATTAACAACCGGGTTGCCACTCACTGATAATAATAAGCTGCTACACACGGTATTGTATAACTATCAGCAACAAGTACTAGAGACAGGTAAGGGAACGTCACCCCATTTATAGATTTCCAAGTGTGTAAATTATATGCAAAAATGTTACAGAATATTGATCATTAACAGGGTCTGATAAGCATTTCACGTTGGTAGGTATACTTTTTAGCTCGGGCTTCTGGGTGGAGGGTCAGAAGTCCAGTAGAGAACCATTTTACTGCTGAGGATGTGCAAACAAATAGAGAGTGTAACTGCCGGCCAATGTGCCAGTAAATAAAATGAATGAACGATAATAATAATCCTTGCATATGATACAGCGCCTTTTCACGTCTTCGAGGCGTCTCAAATTGCTTCACAGAATCGGGTAAAGTAAATTGACTGCATGTTTTGTGGGCGAAACCCGGCAGCCAATTGCGCACAGCAGCGTCCCCACAAACAGTCGTTGGATTGAGTGACTAAATTATAATTTTTTTTTAGGGGATATTACTGCTGGGAGCGTGCTGGCTTCATCACTCACTTCGCTGCAGAGCGAGAGAGAGAGAGAGAGAAGGAGAAGGAGAGAGAGAGAAAACTGAATGGCTGGTCTCCCTCTTGACATGAGACCGCATATGACAGGTCATCACGGCAGTTCTAAGCGTGTTCAATGCCGGCATTCCTCAGATAAACACACGAATAGACTCAGTCCGTCCGGCTCATGCATGGGAACTGGCGTAGGATTTTTCGCAACTCTCTCGGGGATTTCAGCGCAAATATCCAAAAACATTGTGGAAATTCAAAAACGTGCTCTCTCTCTCTCTCTCTCTCTGCCTCCCTTACCCTCCCTCCCTCCCTCCCTCCTTTCCACACCATCCTGACACTGACACTCCGAGAGAAATAACCCGCGACCTCGCCCGCATTTCAACTCGCCAGAGAACCCAGTGACCCTTTCTCCAAGGCCCTTTATTTCCCTGTCCTCTGCTTGACGGCACCGGCCAAAACTAAAGAGCTCCCAGGTGCAGCGTCTCGAGCCCCGGTGGCTAAATATACTGTACCAGTGTTTGCTTTGCAGTCACTATGGGAACTGGCATGCCAGAGCCACCAACCCGTTCCCACAGCGCCTGCAATCAGCTGCAGAATGTGAACATCGCACACTCTGGGGATAATGGATACCACATGTCATCCCGAGGGCCTTCAGGGCTGCGTAGCCTCCTCCCTTCCCTCCCCCACCACCCAACGACACTTTCAAATTATTATCAATCAAAGGAGAACGTTGTGTGTTTTACCTTCATTTGCCCTCTCAGCCACTACCGTCCCCCCCACCCCCAAAAAAAACTCTGGAACCCTCTTCCTCTATCCCTCCACCTTGCCCCTTCCTTCCCTCCTCATCTCCAGATCGCGCCAGAAGACCTTCCTCTTCGACGTTGCCTACGCTCATCTCCCCCTCTCCCCACTCGACTCGGTGTCGTGCTCCGCCACTGTTGAGCGCTCCGGGACTCTAACCCTCTGTGAGCAGGTTTGGGGGAATGAACCCAGGAACGATTAGCTACAGCGTGCGGCACAGCTAATGATGGGGAATTGAGCCGGGGACGGTTAGACAGGTGTCTTGACACGTGCAGAAACCCACGACCCTGCTTCAGAGTGCCCAGACCAAACTGAGAATTCCATGCATCCCACCCATACGTGAAAATCCCAGATATTTATTTTAATGAACTGCGCACACTCACCCCGGAGGGGCCCATCCTGCGTACCTAATCCTGGACAGTATCAGGCGCAGGTCGGTAAGAGCCAAGCCGGGCATGGGGACCCCAGAGTGTGCGTTGGGGTAACTGCTGGAGTCTATCCAGCTAAAACCCCATAGCTTGTCATTGAGAGCACTGTCTGGCTAAGATTTCCTGCTACTTGTCCAGCTGGGTCCACTCTACCCGTTAGGGTTTTGGCTTGCAGGGTCAGTAGGAGCTGAGTCCGAAGAATCCCTGCCCCTAGTGGCTGGTCTGCTCTTCTAAGTCCTCCTGACGAGCCGTGCCGGCCGTGCAGTCACCAGCAGTGCCCGGGAGAGCCGCGGACCCGCCTGGCTCAGGAACTGGCCTACCGAGACCACCACGGGAGAGGGGAGCAGCGTCGAGGAAACTGACCGAACTCTTCTTTTGAACGGAAAATGATTTGTAAGCAAAATAATTTCTAATCCGAGGTTTATTATAAACTGCCCCAGCTGGGGCTCCCGTGGTTAATCACTTCCCTCAAGCCTCGCAAGGACCCATCGTGAATTCACACAATAAACTCTACCGTTTCATATATTCCACATTGCAGATGACACAACAAAAAAAGGCTAGGACTACACTGGCAAATGGTGAAAGAAAAAAAAACCTTACATTGCTGTCAGCTCTGAGGTCTACCACAACACAACCCTCAACAACGACGACAACAACTTGCATTCATATGGCACCCCTCACGCAGGGTAGTGACCCAGAGCGCTTAAAACCCTCATTGGAATGATAGCCTTCCTGCGTTGCAACTGAAAACACCAAATCATCTTTCGAACAAATGAGAAATGTTAACATAGCCAGTGATTGTCAATAATAAAAGAACCTCAGCTCTGTCATTATGAAAACTATTGGAAGACTCAGCCTCGCGATTTCATTACTTCACCAGAACCCACAAGATGTACAACTACTGCCTTGTGCTTCACTACCAGCCACCTGCCAGCATATTTTATTCATTGTATACATCAGCTTCATACTTCTGTCTTCCTGTTATCTGAGCCCAGTATAAATCGTGGTCTAGCTCTACAGTATTGCAAACAGCTCCCTCTTCCCGTCGCCTATTGCAGGGACACCCAAAAGAAACTCAGCCACTGTCGTTTTACAAAATTGAGAAAGACAGTGAAAACAGAACCTGAAAGAGAAAGATAGATTAAAGCTTTAATCGTGAGAACAAGCAGGAGAGCGAAACACCAACTTGTCTTTCCTTTCAGATGCGGTCCGTCCTGCAGTGCAATTATAATTATATAATAATAATAAACCATGTAATGTTATAATCCTTGCATTTGATATCACTCGTGTAACTTTGAAATGTCTCGAAACCAATTGATGTCAAGTGCACTGACCTTATATTTGTAGGAAGCTTTTTCCAATGCAGGTTTTTATTTTGGGGTTCCAACAATGACAATAAGAAAAAAAATGTTGCTCGCTGTGACTAGTTCTCCTTTACCTCTTGCAGCTATTACTTATTTATTTTCTACATTTAATAATAATCCTTGCATTTGATATTGCGCCTTATCACGTCTTCGAGACGTCTCAAAGCGCTTCACAGAATACACTGTAAAGTGCATCGACTGTATATTTTGTGGGCGAAATGTAAATGTAAAGTTTTTTTTAATGCAAACAAAAGTTGCATTGAGAACATTTATCTCACGTTGGGATTTAAGTTCATTTTCTGGGTTGACATTACAGTGCAGTGCATGTGTCTGTGCATTTGTGTGTGTGTGCGTGCATTTGCGCGTGTGTGTGTGTGCGTGCATTTGTGAGTGTGTGCGTGTAGTGCGCGTGCGTGTAGTGTGTGTGTAGTGCTTGTGTGTGTGTGTGTGCGTGTGCTGGGTGTGGTTGGTTTTCACGTGGGGAGGACGTCCCAAAGCGCTTCACAGAACACACTGTAAAGTGAATTGACTGTGGATGCGGCATTGTCAGTGGTGCCATTCTTCGGATAAGACTTTAAACTGAGATCCCATCTGCCTGTCCGTGTTGAATGCTACATTTCTCCGTGACACTCTTCAAAGAAAGATGAGAGTAATTCCATCCAAAGGTGCAGAATTGCTCGACAACATCCAGCTTGAAAGTCTGAAACCCGATTCCAGCCCCATTTGCCGACAAATACACAGTCGCTGTACTTAATAACAATTACCTGTAAAACACTTTGATCTCTTTGATGTTATAGGCGCTACATCAAATGCAAGGATTATTATTTTTCTAAAAGCCAACTGTTGCCCTAATTCCATTTCAGAATTTTTCAAACCAGCTATTCCACCTCAAGTGGCAGCCACAAGTGCAATGTATTAGAAGCAATAAAACACTGGAAATCAGAAGTATTTAGCTTGCCTGTGAGTGATATATGATTACCCATACAGTTGAGTTCATTTTCATCTCTATTGAGCTTTCAGTGCTCTCCTACATGATAACCCTTATTGCATTTGATATTTTGATATAGCGCTCTTCACGTCTTCTCGACGTCTCAAAGCGCTTAGTGAATTGACCGTATATTTGTGGGCAAAACGCGGCGGCTAATTGCGTACAGCAGTGTCCCACAAACAGTCGTGGATCGCAAATGACCAATTTATTATTGTTTTGTTTTGGAGGCATTATTATCAGGCGTGCGAAGTAAGGAAACTTGCCCAAGGTTTCGCCCTGTGCCTGGAATTGAACCCAGATGTCTCGCTTGCAAAGCGAGTGCTCTTACTACTGAGCTACAGGACTCCTGTGTGAACAATGTTAGTCAAGTTGTGAAACCATTCAGGGATTTTGTGACATCCCTTGAAATTTGAAATTTTCAGTAAAATTGTGAAACCAGGGATTTTGCGCAATCCCTGAGGTTTTCCGTAAAATTATGAAACCGTGAAATCACTGAACACCATGAAATCACTTTGTCTTTCTTTCCCCGCCCCTTTCTCTGTTTGTCCTTATAAACTACTCCCTTCGAACATCCCCTAGTCCCGATGAAAAGCCATCGACCTCAAGCGTTAACTCTCTCAATCTCTCCCCCGTGACTTCTGTTTTTGTTTGAGTTTAATAAAGCTATTTGTCGATAAAGGCGTCAGCAAAGATTAAATATCAATAAAATTAAGCTTCCGTCATCCTGCGTTTAATCATCCAAGCTGTCTGTTCGAATGTCTTCTGAAAGTGCAGAAAAAGTTTTCAAGAGGGAGTTGTTTAAGAGATATGAAGAATGTAAAAAGTATCTTATCCCCAAGGCTGAATATCACAACATTATTGAAAAAAGGAAGAATGCCGCTGCAGACACTCACACAAAAAGCAGAAGTGGCTACTATTTGCTGTCAAAGTAAGTACATTCATATTTCCCCTTATCTGTACGATGCATTTTTGTATTGTATTATTGCTATATTGCCTCATTGTCCAAAGTATGACCTTATGGTCAACTCTGTGCGCAATTGGCTGCCATGCTTCGCCCACAAAATGCACAGTCACTACACTTTACAGTCCAGAAAATGCACAGTCACTGCACTTTACAGTCTATCCTGTGAAAGTGTTTTGAGACATCTCAAAACGCTTCCTACAAGTATAAAGTCAGTGCACTTGACATCAATTGCTTTTGAGACATTTCAAAGTTATACCACTATAATCATTATAATAATAATTATTATTATTATTATGTTGTGTATTGTTACTTGTCCATCCATCGGAGGTTCAAACAAACAGACCGACAAATAATGCTAATAAATATTCCACTCACCGTTGAAATTCTATAACAATGATTATTTCGTTAGGTACGAGGTCCTGCAGTGTGGTGACGTGGAGAAGCTGATCAAGAGGCGAACTAACCCCGAGGAACCCCCTCTGTACTACGTCAGCATTGAGGACACGTTCGAAGTCATCAAACGCGCACACATCGCCACCGGCCACGGGGGGCGTGATCGCATGATTAAAGAGCTCCAACACAAATACGCCAACGTCCCGACCAAAGCGCTAGAACTATTCAAGTCTCTCTGCGAGGACTGCCAGAAGAAGAGGAAGAGGCCTATGACAAAGGGGGTTGTTGCGCGTCCCACTCTCACTGAAGAGTTTGCGTCCGGGGGTCAAGTTGATCTCATCGACATGAGGTCTACGTCACACTCAAACTTCAAGTGGATTATGGTGTACCAGGACTGTCTCACCAAGTTCTGTGTACTGAGGCCTCTCTTCACCGAGCTCGCTGCAGAAGTGGCCTTTCAGCTCCTGGATATCTTCCTCCTGCTTGGTGCCCCTGCCGTTCTCCAGAGCGATAACGGTTCCGAATGTACAGCCCGGATCGTCACCGAGCTAAAGCAGGTGTGGCCAAACCTCACTTTATTTCACGGCCAGGCTCGTCACCCGCAAAGTCAAGGTTCTGTTGAACGAACCAACAGGGACATCAAGGAGATGTTGGGAGCCTGGCTTTCAGATAACAACGCACAAGATTGGACAGTCGGCATTAAATTTGTGCAGTTCCAAAAGAACTCTGCTCACCATTCAGGAATAAGTTGCTCCCCTTATGCTGCTATGTTTGGCAATGAGGCTCGCGTTGGCCTGACATCTTCATCGCTGCCAACAGAGCTGATTTCTACACTGGAAAGTGAGCTTCATCTCATGGCTGTTCTTCCTGATAATGCGCCAGAAGAAGTACCAGTTGACAACTATTCCAACTCAAGTGACACCGCCACAGAAGCTTCGATGCCACCGAGTGACAGCGATGGGGCTACACACACTGCCAAACCCACCTCTTTGTCATCTGGCACTTCTGCAGAACAACACAGTCCAATTGAGGTCATTGAGACACCTACTACCAGTGTTTCTGTCTCTCCAGACGCTAGTATCACAGATCCGCCGCAGCTTAGCCCTGTCGTCTCCGTGTCCTCGATGCCAGAGATGTCCAGGGATGCTCCTGTACAGACTCTTATTTCACAGGCCCTGGAAGATCGCTTGACTCCGATCAGCAAGCGAAGAGATGCTGCACAAATGGCACAAGTAGCCCAGGCAGAGGGGATGGTAAAACGGAGTCGGCTGGATCTCCAAGCTGCTACGCCTGGCTGTCCCTCTGCCAGCAGTGGACAGGGGTAGAGGGGATCCCAGAACATCCTTTGTGTTATCATTAATGGAGATTTAGACACTGACCAGTACTAGATAGCAGTGAAAGCCAGCATCCTAAAGGGGTCACTATTCCAGGAAAAAAATTGATCTCTGCCCACGATTGCTAACAGAGACCTGCGTCAACCAGAAGTCAGTGTCATTCCGTGAAGCCGTCATTGTACAAAGCTGCGATTTGTGGTGGACGAGGCTTTACGCAACATGGTGTAACTGAGGTCGGAAGAAATGTCAGACCCGCTGTTGTAAACGTTTCAAAACAAAGCTAAAATGTAATGTCACGGAAGCCTCACTCGTGGAGTCCTGTAGCTCAGTGGTTAGAGCACTCGCTTTGCAAGCGAGAGACCTGAGTTCAATTCCAGGCAGAGGGCGAAACCTTGGGCAAGTTTCCTTACTCCACACAGAGCCTAATAATAATCCCTCCAAAAACAAAAACAATAATAAATTGGTCATTTTCAATCTACGACTGTTTGTGGGACATTGCTGTGCGCAATTGGCTGCCGCGTTTGCCCACAAATATACAGTCAATTCACTTTACAGTATATTCTGTGAAGCACTTTGGGACGTCCTCGCGACGTGAAAAGCACTATATCAAATGCAAGGATTATTATATATTATATTATTATTATTGTGTTCACAAATGAACGTTTGACTCATCAGTGAATGAAACGCCACATGAAGTTTGTGTGAATAAAATATTCATTTTCATAACGTGTTACTTATCTGTTGATAATGCCAGCAAGTGTCACGGCAAGGTTATCGATATGATAAAATTATCACTTTTTCACAAATTCCCAGACTCCTAATTTCAGTCATTTGATGGTTTCACAATTTTACTGAACATTTCAGGGATTTCACAAGATCTCTGGTTTCGCAACTTTGCGGTAAACGTATACGTGCAAGTTGTTCAAGGAGAAAATGAGAAGCTTTTAAGAATTTATTCACAAAACGTTTGGCAGGCATGGGTTTGTCAGCGTGCGAGTTTTTCACGAAGACGTTTGCAAAAACTCTTCAGTTTAGTTTACTCCAAGTGGCCTGAAACAAACCAAGTGTCCAAAAACGTAACCGATCTTTCATTACAATTCAGTTCCGAAAACGTAAAGCACTTTTTTAGGAGGGAATGCAAGCAAAAGTAAGAGCTGACTCACCATTCTCGGAAACTTTGGGAGAGAGTTGCTTCACAAGATTTTGGATTTTCTCCCAGTGGCATTCTGCTCTGCATCTGTCTATTTCTGCCTCTAGTCTGTACTGAGAAAACGATATCCTGGAAGCCATAACTGTTTCCCAGCAAACAAGGAAGTACTGAACCAACCGTCCAAAGGCACCACATGCACGTGTTCTGCCTGGCAAAGCACACTGTGAGTTGTAGTTTGTCTACTAAATGAACTAAGGTACAGTATGATCGTATTAATCCTTGCATTTGATATAGCGCCAATTCAACTCAATTCAATCTTGATTTGGAAGCTGGGCTTGTTTTACGATCTGCTAAAAGCAGCCGTGCTGTGGTGGAGACCCAGATACTGGTATCCGTTCGTCTCTCACCAAACCTCACGTTTAGTTGGGCTTGAACGGAGTTGAGAAAGAGTCTGAGAGCCTGCAGTTTGATTTTTGGAGGTACCCGGCATTAGCTCATTTGCCATCGTAGCTGTGACCTCCATCGTATCAGTGGTAATTTGTAGCGCCACATTCCCTCTACCAAGGGACGCATTTGTGAAGGATGTGGACTCCGAGAGTTGGGAGTACATCTTGTTATATAAAACTTCAACTCACAGAATAGACTGTAACGTGAATTGACCCTATGTTTTGCGGGCAAAACGCGGCAGTCAATTGCACACAGAAGTGTCTCACAAACAGGCGGGGATTACGTGATCAAATTATTTTAAAAATACATGTTTTTTGAAGGGATTGTTACCCCGGGAAAAGCACTCCGCCAATCGACTAACAACCGGGTTCCTACCTATTTCTAGGTAAACAGAGGGGTGTGGAGTAAGGAAACTTGCCCAACGTTTCACCCTACCCAGGAATCGAACCCAAGTCTCTCGCTTGCGAAGCGAGTGCTCTGACCACTGAACTGCAGGACTCCACGATTTGTAAATTCACGCATAATAAAGCAAAATGCAATATTTGCAACGTGCTCAAAAATGTTCTTGTTAGGAATCTTTATACTTATTTGATAAAATTAAAAAGGAAATCAGTGTCTTGGACAAAATCAACTTTCCATAACTCTTAGAAGCACATTTATGAATATAAAATTGCTTTAAAGAATCATTTTTTAAAAATGAACATTCAAGAACAATAAATATAAACATTGTCATCTATGGAAGAGTCTGACCATAGTTTGTTGGGGGTGAGAATGTAATATTATCTTAAATTAAAAGTATTATAATTACAATTGTTATATTTTTGCTGCCTACTTCTGTGTCACACTGCAATGATGAAAAGTGCAGATTGATAATTGTTCATTGCTGAATATTACAAATATTAATAAAAATAATAATAATCCTTGCATTTGATATAGTGCCTTATCATGTTGTTCAGACGTCTCAAAATGCTTCACAGAATATACTGTAAAATAGATTGACTTTGTAATTTGTGGGCGAAACGCAACAGCCAATTGCGCACAGCAGTGTCCCATAAACAGTTGTGGATTTATTTACATTTTGGAGAAAATAAACAAAACATAAAATAAATAAAATATAAAATAAACAAAACATAAATTACATAAATAAAAAATAAAAGTAAAACAATAAATAAGTAAAACATTTTTTAAAAAAGGCACTTTACTGGTAGCAGACCCATAGAGATTTACAGCACAGAAGAAGTCCATTTGGCCATTGTGCCTTTGCTGACTCTTCGAAAGATCAATTGATTTGAGTCATATTCATTTCACTTTTCCCTGTACCCCTGCAAATTCATCCTTTCTATATAAGTTCAAGTTGGTGCTTTCAGATATCTATCTAATTTCCTTTTGAAAGCTATTTTTGCCTCAACCCACCATACCCAAGTAGGGCATTCCGCATCCTAACAACTGTCAGTCTGAAAAGAATCCTATCTCGCCCTTTGTTAGTTATTTAACATTGATGCCCTCTCGTCAATGAATTACTGACCAGTGGAAACAATTTCTTATTATATATTCTATCAAAATCCCACATCATTTAGAGTGTACCAAACACAACAAATTACATTTGTATAGCGCCTTTCATGTCAGGAGGACGTCCCAGGTGAGGCCCAGCTCCTCCAGTCTCTATTCATTGATTAAACCTCTCGACCCTGGTATTGTTCCGAGCAATTTTTCTCCGCATCCTCTCTGCATACTTCCTAATGCAGGTAGAATCACAGAAATTTACAGTGCAGAAGGAGGCATTTTGGCCCATTAAATCTGCACCAGCTCTCAGAGCAAGATGTTCTTTGAATCCCAAAACTGGACAGAAACCGCAGTCTAACCACCTATTTTTATGTTAAGACTACCTCCTAGTTCTTATACTCCAATATACCTCTTTATGAAACCTAGGATTGCCTAGATTTTAGGAATGGCGTTGGTTACCATGGGTCATTCTCATTGTTTCTGTGGGCACTGTAATAATAGAATAATCCTTGCATTTGATGTAGCGCTTTTCGCGTCTTCTCGACGTCTCAAAGCACTTCACAGAATAGGCTGTAAAGTGAATTGACCGTATATTTGTGGGCGAAACGCGGCAGCCAATTGCGCGCAGCAGCGTCCCCACAAACAGCCGCGGATCGAAAATGACCAGTTTATTATTGTTTTTGGTTTTGGAGGGATGATTATTCGGCTCTGTGTGGAGTAAGGAAACTTGCCCGAGGTTTCGCCCTGTGCCGGGAATCGAACCCGGGTCTCTCGCTTCCACGGCACTGACTGATCCTCTGCTTCAAAATGACAACTTACACTCCAAACGGCACCTTTCACGTCGGATAACGCCTCCGTGTCCTTTACACAAATGGTGTGGAACACTCAGCACAGGAGGGCTTAGGAGAAAGGTGACCTACTTATAACACCCCCCTCTCCCACCCGCCCACCCGCCCACCCACCCCCAACCCAGCACCCGCTGCCTTCGCTCGGCCGGCTCGGGCCCCCACCCCTGCACGTCCCTCGCGCCCACCGGCCCGCCGTCGGCCATCGGCGGCCGCGCTCTCGGCCGCTACGCGCCCCGAAACTCTGGCGCGCTCTTCCCTCCGCCCATCCGCCTCGCCCCTCCCTCCCTTCCATCCTTCCTTCCTTCCCTCCTTCCCCGTCTTCAAGGTCGCTACCCGGAGAACCTTCTCCCCTTTGCGAGCGGCTACGGTCACCTCCCGCTCCCGCCGGCTCGGGGCGGCGGTGGTGGGGGGGGGGGTGGCGGGGTCGCGGAGGGGGGGTGGCGGTGGGGGGGGGGGCGGGCGGGATGGGGGTTCGCGCTCCACCGCCGTCAATGCGCTCCCGGGGACGCTGACTGACCCGCGTGAGGGAGGCGCGAGCGGAGCAGAGGCCTTTTGCTCCCTATACAAATGCAATCTTGTTGTTGTTGTTGTTGTTGCTGCTGCTGTTGTCGTTGTTGTCGCTGTTGTTGCTGTTGGACAAGGGGAGGGGCGCCATGTTGGACCCAGCCCTGACGTCACTCCGACGGGGGCCGGACTACAGGTCCCAGAGGGCCCCGCCCGCCCCCCCCCCTCCGCCCCGCCCTTCCCCTCCCGACGCACGTGATCACGGCGCTAAATCCGACCAATGGCGGGCCGAGAGAGGGAGTTACCACAGCAACGGCGGGGGCGGGGCAAGGAGAGAGCGCGCGCGAGGGAGAGGCTGTTACCCGGGCAACGGGAAAGCAACGGGGCCTGGGGTCTGACAGTGAGCAGCGAGGCCTGTGGTGGGGGGGGGGTCAGGGAGCGAGGCCTGTGGTGGGGGGTCAGGGAGCGAGGCCTGTGGGGGGGTCAGGGAGCGAGGCCTCTGAGGGGGGGGGGGAGCGAGGCCTCTGGTGGGGGGGGGGGGGGAGCGAGGCCTGTGGGGGGGGGGAGCGAGGCCTCTGATGGGGGGGGGGGGAGCGAGGCCTGTGAGGGGGGGGGAGCGAGGCCTCTGAGGGGGGGGGGAGCGAGGCCTCTGAGGGGGGGGGGAGCGAGGCCTCTGACGGGGGGAGCCCCCGGGCTGTTATTGGGAAGGATGCCGAGGACAAGGTGAGCTGTTGGGATGTAGACTGATGTCCCCCCCCCCCCCCACCCCCCCCAGAAGGTGCTGACCCTGGGGATGGGGATGGGGCCCTCTCGGCAGTTGCCTTGTTCTTTTCTTTAAAACGTATGTCATAATCCCTCTCCCCAACACCCCCCCCCCCCCACCCACTCCCTCACCCCACTCCCTCCCCCCTCAAAAAAATAACAATGATAAAATAATTTGGTCACTTCAATCCACGACCGCTGCGCGCAATGTGGCCGCCGCGCGTTTCGCCCACGAAACGCACAGTCAATTCGCTTTACGGTCTGTTCCGTGACGCGCTCGGAGGCGTCTCGGCGGCACGACGCTGAGGCGCTGGGATTATTATTACTATTACCATTTTACGGTACCGAAGGTTGAAGCCATCGATCGGCAGGAATGGTTGCTGGCTGGTAAATAGTGAGCGCCTGATAAACCCGACCCGGGCTTAACCTGTCACTGCGCCGCCACCTCGGTCGTCGTGCCGTCAAACATCCTGGCCGCGTTTACTTACGCGTTTATTCGTGCGCTTAACCTCCCACTCCGGATAGCGCGTCACTGAGCTCTTTTCCGTTGGAGTGACAAGTTGTCGACGACAGCAACCGGCACGTATATGCAGCGCGCTTCACATTGGAGAGCGTCTCGGGCGCTTGTGCAAGGATTGTTATCGTATAAGCGCTGACAAGTTATTGGGAGTATAGTGTTAAGAGTATAATGTAGTATTAAGTTCAGTGCTCCTTGTTCACAAACCTCGCTTTCTCTCACCGGCAGTAACACTCTCTGGGATATTGCTGTAGCTCAAGTTTTGAAAAAGGAGAATGAGGACGGCAAGGAGGATGACCTGAAAACCAAGGAGAGATCCGTGTTCTTCTTGGGGAACAAAAGTGGGGTAATCCCATTACCCTCCTCTTTCTGCATAGCCTTATATATTTTTGATTGTAATTAATGTGTTTGTCTAATTTAATTACAGCTTTTTTCGGTCAGCTGGGTGTTTTGACACATGCAGATACTCATCCCCAATTTTTACGAATGTAATTCGTGTTCAGTCATGTTCCTACAGTGAGGTGCAGAAGTTAGGTAGTTTCTACAAGGAGGGAAATTGGCAGATGCGACGAGTTGTGCATGGGTTGCTTTTTGCACACTAGTTCAAAGTACTGTTATGAGCGGCGGCTTAGAAATGAGCTGAGGCTCCCCTTGTCTTTAGTTATTGTGCCTCGGTTACAACAAGAACTACAGAGTTTTTATTTTTAAAATTATACTGTTATCAGAGTCACACTATACCACAAAAATAACATTGCAGAAGTTGAGTACCCGGAAGGATTGCTTAAACCCATGCCATTCTTTTCATATTTCTAGGGCTTTCGTAGGTATGTCGTGTTTACCCAGTTTCTACTCCCATCACAAATTTCCAGAGCTGGAAGCTTCAACATTGCCAATAAATTACTTGTGGGTGCACATGCATAGTTTTTTTATATTCTGTTTTCCAGGGAAAGACTACGATAATTCTTCGATTTCTTGACCGGTATGTATTCCTTTGTAATTATAAATCTGAGACATTGCCTTTTAAGTACCAGCATCCAGTTTGTAGCCTGTCCCCAGAAAAATGAATCACTCTCTTTCTCTGTGGTGGTTATGAGAATCTGTAAGATAGGCTCTCTTGATTTATCGTGTATCTAGGGGGAAAATGACAAATTTTATCACTCAGAGTTGGTTGGTGCCAAAATGTTATGTGTCTACTGGCAGCGAATTTTAAATGTATGGGTCATTCTACTGCGACGGCAGAGGCATTGACAAAATTTTTCCTTCATTTAAGATTTTGAAGGTTCACTTTGGGAAGCCGGTAATCGCTGCAGTAATGTAAAGCAGTTCATAACCTGTATGATGGATTCTCACAAAAAGTGAGAAAAGATTTAATTCCCACCACTTGCACCCTTCACTTTGTTGAATGCAAATGTTCACTTAATATGTGTGGGAGTAGGGAGAAGCTAAATAATAATAATAAGCCTTGCATTCGATATAGCGCTTCATCACATCCTCAAGAAGTCTCAAGGCGCTTCACAGAATATACAGTAAAGTGAATCGACTGTATGTTTTGTGGACGAAATATGGCAGCCAATTGCGCACAGCAGTATCCCACAAACATTCGAAAATTGAGTGGATTGAGAGATCAAATTATTATTTTTTTGACAGGATTATTATCTCCGGAAAAACGATCCGCCAATCGACTAACAAGCAGGTTCCTTCTTGCTGCTAGGTAAACAGAGAAGTATGGAGTACGGCAACTTGCCTAAGGTTTTGCCCTGATTTAAATTCTTTGAATAGGAGTTTGGAAGCAGATTGTTATCTATTGGTGAACATCTCCACATCAGATTGTAAAGATGTTTTAAATTTCATATTCATTATAACAAAAAAAAATCTGTTTTTTCTTCTTATCAAATTGTGGAACACAACGTGAACATTATGGAGACTTGGGCCTGAAGCATTTAGTTCACTTCCAACTTCATTCACGGTTTTGTGTCTGACAGAGTTGGATTACAATCATTTAATTGCTCTTCTGCAAATGTTTTTTGGCAAGGAATTACTGTGGGTAAAGCTTTAAATTCTGTCAATAGATCTATTTTATTAAAGTGGTTTGAGAAAAAGGGAATTTGCTCTTCTGCTCTCAAATAGGCTTCATGCTGAGATTGGGTAGCAGAACAAGTGAAATTCAACCCAAACAATGGCAATGCAAAGTGTAGTCTTCTGTTGGAAAATAAGAGAAGTCTGATCATTTTTTTTTAAACACTGAATTTACACCTTTTTAACATGATCTATTCGCTTTTAGAATTTAGAATTGACTGATACTCCTCTGATTTCCTAGTGGGTGAAAGCAAATGGCCATACAGACTACAAGATAGTTTGCCCACAAAATATATTACACTTTACAGTATATTTTGTGAAGCGATTTGAGACACCTCAAAGACATGATAAAGGGCTATATCTACTACTACTATACTACTACAAACAAGGCTTCAGGTTCTGATCTCATTCTATATTGAGCTAACTGATCTCAGGGATTGCAAACAATTTGTGTTAGATTTAAATTCAGAGAAACAATTCAGATTTTGCAGTATACATCATTGTACTGTATTATGCATATTTCTTATGTCATATTCTACAATGTATATTAAATCATTTTAATATTTATAATCAATTGTTTTTTCATAGTGATGAAGTCCCTAAGCCCACGTTAGCTTTGGAATATACCTTCGGACGACGAGCAAAAGGGCACAACACTGTATGTACAGTCATTCGTTTCTCTAAGTGAAAATTCACGTGTGGGGCATAAATCAAGAACCTCTGAGACTAATATTCCAAAGGCTATTGCCTACAATATTTCTTTCCAACAAAGTTAGATTTAAAAACAAATAAAAAACTCAAGACTTTTTGGACAGTATTTATTTTCATCTGAAATCCCAGATCAACCATTTCAGTTTTGTAATATGAGCTACATCTATCATTTATATTCTTACATAAAGTATAGATAACAGGCTTCTTTTTAAATAAAGGTTGGTGCTTCCCTCTTGTGCTTTATCATTTAAAATTGCTGGCTCTAGACAGCCTAGGAACAGACATTTTGTCTGATTAACCTGAATCCCAATAAAGTATATATATATGGTGGAGTGAGAGTGGGTGGGTGGGGGGAAGAGAATAGTCCTGAAATGCACAGTGATTATACACAGGTCTATCCTTTCCTAATATACATGAATAAGTATCCATTCAAATCAATATTTTCACTTTGTTTTCATGAAACTTCCCTTGTACAAAAATCTTCAAATAACAATAAGGAACTTGAAAAGATTCTTATTGTGAAAACGTAATCTGAGTTATAATGTGGTGTATTTGTATTATATATTATAATTCCACTGTATGTTGCTGTTTTAAGTTTGAATTGTATTATATAGGTGTAATTATAAAGCAAAACAATTGTAATCTTTAAACACAGTAATTGTTTTGGGGGGGAGGTGGGGGGGTTAGATCATTGATCCAACCATCTTTGCCCACAAAATATTCAGTCAATCCACTTTAGAGTATATCCTGTGAAGCACTTTGAGATTTCTCAACGACGTGAAAGTCGCTATATCAAATGCATTATTATCCATCCAAATTTTCAAAAGATTCCTTTGCCGCATCTATCTCAAATTATGACCTCAAATTCCTTTTAAGTTTACAGGAAGTTGTCTCGTAATTTTTCTTGAGACATCGATATCAATAGTTATAAAATCCGAATTCAATCTAAAAGAAGATTGGCTAAAAAGCTACTTGGGATGGCTTTTGGCTATTCCATCCTGTTGGTTTTGTGCCGCCAGAGGGCACCAGCCCATTTTGTAAATACAAAGTGCACTTTTGCCATCCAGTGGTGGAACACGGTCAAAACTTTGCCGATTGTCAATCTGGAGGCCATCATCTGTCTAAATCTCAATGGTATTGGAAATGCATCTCAACATCAAAAGTTCACGCACCTTAGGCTTGATTCCATTTGTCAACAGGCTTTTCTTTTAGATTTACCTGTCATTATAAGTATATTTAGGCTAATGGATCATGTATTGTTCTATTGTAAACTCTGTTACAGCCAAAGGATATTGCTCATTTTTGGGAACTAGGAGGTGGAACTTCATTAGTTGATCTCATTGAGATTCCCATTAATATGGACAGCATAAGGTGGGTGTTTCTGTGTTTAAATAATACTCTAACCGTATCTCTTTGAATGCGTCCATGGCCTTCTCCCCACTCTCCCTTGCTAGGCTTCCAACCCTGTCCCTATAAAGCACTCCCAAGATGTTCCCCTATGTGAAGGGTGCTATATAAATATAAGTTGTTCTTATTCTGGCTGTGTGTCAGCCTCGTGTAGTGGTAGCATGCTTCTAGGTCATAAGGTTGTGGGTTCAAGCCCCATGTCAGAACTTGCAAAGTCTAAGATAACACTCCAATGTCGGAGGTGCCGTCCTTCGGATGAGACATTAAACCGAGATTCCATCTTCCTGTTCAAGTGTACGTTAAAGATTTCATTGCACTATTGAAAAAAAGGGAGTATTTTTCCCGGTCAACAAATCCCCCAAATAATATAGTTATTCACTCCTTGGCTGTTTGTGGTCCATTGTGCAAATTGGCTGCCATGTTTCATCGATGACATGAGGCGCTATATCAAATTCAAGGATTACTCATTATTAGTAAGCCACAGTAAATGATTTGTAGAAGAATCCACAATCTGTTTCATACGACATCGTTATTTTCCTCACCTGAGATCAGTTGGTGACTTGTATGACGATTAACCACATTTGTCTCCATTTGTGGAGATTTTCTTACAAGATCAGAGCTCACATTTCTGTAACTTCTGCTTGGGAATCCAATATTTCTAAATGTGATTTTTCCACTGAGTTTCATCCTCAAGGGAAGAATTTCACTGTTTATCCAGAATTGCAGTGAATAGAATTGACACCAGTTATAATCCTTCAATAATCCCCCAGGGATCTCTCTGTTGTTTTGGTTTTGGATCTTTCCAAGCCTAATGATCTGTGGACGAGCATGGAGAAATTGCTGACAGCCGCAAGGAGGCATATAGATAACGTTCTAAACGAACTGGGCAAAAAGGATTCCAAAACTGCCAATCAGTGGAAGCAGAGGGCCTGGAAAACTTTGCAGAAGGACCATCCGGTGCGTCTGACAGCATCCGATAAAAATCAGTAAATTTAAAATCATTTGGAATCACTCTTGTTTGATATATATATAAAAACTTTTTTTTGTAGTAGTGATTGAGCCAGCATGAATTGAACTGATTAAGCCCGTAGTAAACTTATCTACTTACTACTTACTGTAGTTTTGTAGTGAGATTGTGATTCCTGTGGATTCTTGAAGCACCGCATTGATGTTGTTTTCCCCCTTACAGGATTGGGAATTGGTGGATCCATTTCCTGTTCCTTTAGTGATCATTGGGAACAAATATGATATTTTTCAGGTACAGTTCAGATCTCGTTGGAAGTTATCAGTTTTAAGCAATGTATTTCTGGTTCATAATAATTACTGTGCTGGTTCTTATTCTGTTTGGAACTGATTTTTGCTGGTTTGTCTTTAGGATTTTGACTCTGAGCAGAGAAAAGTAATTTGCAAGACGCTGCGTTTTGTGGCCCACTACTATGGAGCTTCACTATTGGTATGTTTGGACTTTCTTTTAGGTCAGTATGGTACCTGACACTTGCAAAAAACGATCACCATGCTTAGGAGTATCGAAACCAGACTGGGAATTCAGCATATGTATGTCAACTACACAATTTAATACATAATTTAATTATCTGCAACTCAGTTTTCCCTTGTATAAGTATTTAATTCTCCCTTGTTCGTTTATCCTTTGGATGCATTCACCATCATCAACTGGGGGATATTTCCCAAGATTTTGTGCTCTTTTAAGACAGAATCAATTACTCACAGTAACAGTCTGAAAGCCACTCATTTGCTCACTGCCTAAATACTACAACAACAGGTAAATATTTTCACTCAGTTTCTGTGGTCAGTAATTAGCTTTCCTGCAGCAAACCTGCTTTATATTATTTGATTATTGTACCTCTGATAGCTACAGCTTTTTAAAATCAATTTGGTCTGCATCTCAACATCAGTCCACCTAGTTATTCTTGTTTTTCATTTTGCACCCACTGTCTGCACCTGCATGAGAGGTCTCATGCTTGGGTCTGGTGAACATCAGACCTTCATCCACCCTGTCGCAATAACCTGCCCAATCTCTGAAGGGTGCCACTGCATGAAATTTTCATTCTTCGCAAGAAGTTACCTGATAGCCTTTCAGGATAAGATTGATCTTTAGTGCTGAATTGACTTAGGGAAATTTGGCGATGACAAGTCGCAATCACAAGAACCTAAGCAAACAATTAAGAAATTCCTTAATTCCTTTACACACATCTGTACAGTTGTATCAATGATCTATCTGAACAATTGTTACTTTCACAAAAATCTCCAATAACGTTTTTGTCCTACCTTGTCTCCTAACCCAGTTTTTCAGCAGTAAATCAGAGCTTCTCATGTCCAAGATGCGAAACATCCTAAATCAATTGGCATTTGGCACTGACAGAAGGTAAGATGGAGACATTTCCCCCCTACCTCCCACTCCCCCATTGGTTAATGGATTCATTCTTGATGACTTTCCCAATGTCCTTGAACCAAGCAGGTAACAAGAATGGCTCACTTTCACACTCTGTCCTGGAAGCTGGAATAGTACACCATTTCACCCACAACATACACAGTCAATTCACTTTAAGAACATAAGAACTTAAGAATTTCTACGCAAAAGAAGACCAAAGTCCATCTAGTTCACCTTCCACCATCCTGGCAGTTGCTTGCCATGTTGTGTCCCAAACTATATACTGCATCTGAGATATTATTTTCTAGCAGAAATCTATCTAATTTGTTATTGAAATAAACAACACTTTCTGCTTCCACTGTCTCACTATGGACCCTGCTCCATAAGCTTACTACTTGCTCACTGAATTAGTGTTTCCTCAAATTTGTTCTGAATTTAACCCCCTTCAATCACAGGCCGTGTTCTCTGGTTCTACTGTTCAGTACAAGATAAAACAGCTTATCACGGTCTACATTATCTATTCCCTTCAGAATCTTAAGAAACGTTATCATATCACCCCTCACCCTTCTCCAGAGTGAACATGCCTAGTTTATCTAATCGCTCCTCATAGGCCAGTCCCTCCATGCCCTCAATCATTTTGGTTGCCCTCCTCTGTATCCTCAAATTGCTGAAATATCCCTTTTATATTGCGGTGACAAGAACTGCACGTAGTATTCCGAGTGGGGTTGGTCCAGTGATTTATAAAGTAGCAGAATTATCCCACCACTTTGGCTCAATATTGCCCTTTTAATACAGCCCAGCATCTGGTTTGCCTTACTCACTGCTACTGAACACTGTTGGAATAGCTTCAATTTATTATCAATCAGGATCCCCAGATGCTTTTCATTTTCCATACAGATTATTTACTTCTCATTTAAATAATAGTCCCTTCCTGAATTTTTTGTCCCCATGTGAAGCACTTTGCATTTCTCTACATTAAATTTAATCTGCCATCAATCTGCCCATTTCCCTTCTGTGATGTGCTTTGAGACATCTCAATGACGTGCTATGGCGCTATATCAAATACAAGGATTATTATTGTTGGATTAATATATTAAATGTCTCCTTTGGGTACCATCAATGCTGCTTGTTGGATACTCATTACCAGAGGAGAACATTTCAGTGCATTGAGTGAAACCTCTCCTATTTAGTCTGTTCTCCTTCTCACCACCCTTCCAAAAGAAAAATATTGATAGTATATTTATTTTGTTTCTCCAGCAAAACCATATCTGTGGAGCACAACAGGCCACTGTTTGTTCCAGCTGGCCTTGATTCGTTGAGTCAGATTGGTAAGTAAGAGGAGAAAATGGGGTTTTAATTCACAATTAGTCAGGAACATTAGCGATATACAAGATACAAAAGTAACTTTGAAAGTTTTCCAGGAAAGATCAAGGGGTTAATTTGCAGCTGTGTATCTGAACGTCTGATCTCACAATATAGAGTCAATTCACTTTACAGTATAATCTGTTTAGCGCTTTGAGATGACTGGAAATCGTGATAAGATGCTATATCAAATACAAGGATTATTTATCTCAACTGTATTCTGTGTTGAGTTGAGTCAGGGGCATGGCACTTCTGCTGAGAGAGAGGGAAAATGGGAAATAAACTATAGAGCAACCAGTTATAATATTTCCCCCCTCATTCCCCAGTACTTTGTTTATTGTAGTAGGATTCTGCGAACCTGTCCTAACTGGAATTTCAGTACTGTATTGACCAGCCTGTCTCCCGTGCTTAAGAAGGATGACTTCCAGTTGTCGCCTTACCACTGATGAAGATTCTTACGCACTATACTTTCACTATCCTGTGAAGCTCTTTCAGACGTCTCAAAGACGTGATAAGGCGCTATATCAAATGCAAGGAAGCGTTGCTGGTGTGACTTCAAACACACTTGGCACAGAAAGCCTCGCTGGCGTCACTTCACAAAGCAGGATTCCAGACTTTCACACCCGTAGAGCACTGCTAAATGTCACAAGTATTGCATTTTGTTTATTATCCAGGGTCTCCACCGGCTACTGAAATCGATCTCGGAAAAATAAATGCACGAAACCCTATGGAGCTGTGGAAGAAAGTTTATGAACGGTTATTTCCGCCCGAGGTACACCTCACCGGCAGTTTGGAAAACTAACGGTCTGATCATCATGCAAAAAAACTTTCACAAAAGTTATTTCTTAAAAAAAACCTTTTTGAAAAAAACGTCTCTCTTAGGATTGATTCGAAAGTACATTCTTTTAACAAGCCAATAAAACCAGATCGTTTTGTAGATTGATGAAGGACCTTCTAGTAATGGAAAGGATCAATGTTTGCACAAGGTGCTCTCCTGCCTTTTAGGGGGCACATTTAAATCATTACGTTGATAATGCAGTACCCAAATGTATTGGATGAACCTTCTACCAAAAGTGCTTTAACCTGTTGAAGTAATGTGTTTGTGTCCTTGTCTACGTGTTTTTGTAAAGGATTTAAAAATCAGGAATGGAGATATAGTCAGTATTTTAAGACATGTTTTGCCCGTTATGAGGTGGGGAAAGGCAGGAGTTTTGATATTTTGTACAGTGCTCTGACTTAAACTTTTTGTGCTAAATTGGGGTCTGTTAATCGCTAAGGAATGCCTTATATCAGCAGTAAAACATTATTGCGTGTAGCTGTATCACATAAATAGCATCAGCATATGTACATTAATCTCCAGGTGAAATTATTAACCTTACTGAGCTGCAGGTTCTCATTATTGTTCAATATTGTATCACATCTATCACTACAGGATTGTCAAGGAATCACACATACATATTCAGCCAGTACAGAGAGCACTGCTTATCAAAATGAATAATTGTTTCTTGACAGAATTTGCCATTTTAAAAAAAAGGCATACCTTAATTTGTCTCCCACCAATTTATTCATGTTTCATCACCTGCACCTTGACACGCCGACTCCTTGCTGTGTTACAGATCCCAAAGTACTATTCACCTAAGTGGCCCTTTCTTCATTTGTAATTCTTTATATGACTGTTGGTAGGCAGGTCGATAGTGGAGAGGAGAAATTGCAGCCAAGCTTCATCCCATCCTCATTCAAGTGAGAGAGATCTCGAGTGGCAATTGCTAAATCGCGATCAGGAGCTGGAATCCTTTTCCTTTCCTTCCCTCTTTAACCTAGGAGAACTGAGGCTAATTGTAACATCCCTAATGTTGCTTTGATTTTAATCAGCTGATTCAGACTAGGGAATCAAGCCTGGGACTTATTATATATCAGATTATCTAGGACTTTCAGGGGCCCTTGCCTTTACCCACCAGATGTTTGAGGGAGGAATCTTAGCTCGTCATATCATGCAAACCTTATTAACTTACAATGATTATTTTCCATAGAATACGAGTGAAGTGAAAGATATCAAAGATCTGGTTAAAGATTCACATTATGCTGAACCTGAAGTGGATGCCATGAGGGCACAGAAGGACCAGGTAGTGTACATGATTTGCATTCACGCATTGATCTCAGTCGGTGATCTGTTAAGTCTTTAGGCTTGCAAGCTTTTAGATTTTTATATCGTGAGTTATAATGTTGAATGCATCATTATTTGCCATCGAAAGTAATGTTCCACTTAATCATTCAAGTGTCAAGTGGAAGAAAATAAACAACTTTATTAAAAAAAATTCTGAAAGTAATATTAAAACAAATTCACTTCCTGATCTTCCTGTAATTCAAATGAATCAAAATCAGTTCACACTAATATGGCCATCCTGTTGGGGCAAGTTGGGTAACAGCTGATCATAGTTACTATAAAGAGAGTTATTTTTGACCAGATTGAAAGCTCTGGCTTGCAATAAATTCCCTGGGAGATAATAAAGAGTGAGCTTTAGTGTTTGTCTGAAATAATCAGTGAGATACATTGTCCCCAAGTTACCTTAATTAATTAACCTGTAGTAACCTAGAAGCTGTCATTGATAAATTGCCGTGCAGACTTTTACAACTAATAAGTAGTTGTCCCAGTGGACTGTGCACTCTGCACGGCAATGCCACAGCGCATAGTGTTGAACTAAGGTTATCAAAATTCTTCAGTTACTCAAGTTCATTTTGGTTTCATTGACGCAACTTTTCCTTGTTGCCAACTTTGAAGCATTTTAAAGAGGAACACATTCTCATTTAAAATTTGCATTCAAATAATTTACGCAATGTCTCTCGCTTTTAGATAATAATAATAACAATCCTTTCATTTGATATAGTGCTTTCCACGTCTTCTAGACATCTCAACGTATTAATGTTCTTTTCTCTCCACCACGTATACCACACTCATGATCTTTGCCAGTTCCACTTTGTAACAGATTCAAAATCGATGCATGCAACAACATAATAAAAATCCTTGCCTATGATATAGCGCTTTTCATGTCTTCGAGACGTCTCAAAGCGCTTCACAGAATATACCGTAAAGTGAATTAACACTACATTTGTGGGCAAAACGCGGCACAGCGGTGTCCCACAAACAATCGTGGATTGAAGTGACCAATTTGTTTTTAGAAGGATCGTTATCAGGCGTGTGGAGAAAGGGAACTTGCCCAGGGATTGCCTTGCTGGGAATCGAACCCAGGTCTCTCGCTTGCGAGATGAGCGCGCGAACCACTGAACTACAGTGAAGTCCTGTAGCTCAGTGGTTAGAGCACTCGCTTTGCAAGTGAGAGACCTGAGTTCAATTCCAGGCAGAGGGCGAAACCTTGGGCAAGTTTCCTTACTCCACACAGAGCCTAATAATAATCCCTCCAAAACTAAAGACAATAATAAATTGGTCATTTTCAATCCACAACTGTTTGTGGGACATTGCTGTGCGCAATTGGCTGCCGCGTTCGCCCACAAATATACAGTCAATTCACTTTACAGTGTGTTCTGTGAAGCGCTTTGGGACGTCCTCCCGACGTGAAAAGCGCAATATCAACTGCAAAGGATTATTACAGGACTCCACAATATACAAATGCTCCCGTAGGCAAATCATTCCTGTGCTGCTGAACCTATTCTGTCCTGACTTTCTAACGGTTAATGATTCCTGTGCCTGTGAAGGAGGCTGTTACACTGGGGCTCCTGCGGATGCCATGTCTACCCAGGCCTCACAGCCCCACCAGGAGTGTGCACTGCATCTCACTAAACTTGCATTTATATAGCATCCTTCACATGGGGCAATGTTCCCTTGAGTCAGAAGGAGAGGCGAAAGGGCGAGGTGACCCTAAGCACGATCAAAAAAGGAAGTTCTTTAGGTGGGATTTGAAAGTGGGGAGGGAGGGAGAGGGCAACGCAGAGGGATTGAGGGAGAGAAATGCAAGCAACCAGTCAACAAGGTGCCTCCCATTCCCATTCCCAGACTACGTAATCCTGTGATGATGAATTTTTCCTACAGCAGATTCTATAAAAGCAATTCTACGTTATTCTACCACTTATTTGGTTTCCAAATGTACTTTGCTAACTACCATGGCTGCTTCAAACCTCTATTGAAATATTATTGTCGTGTATTGTTTATTATAATAATAATCCTTGCATTTCATATCGCGTCTTACCACGTCTTTGAGACGTCTCAAAGAGCCTCACAGAATATACTGTAAAGTGAATTGATTGTATATTTTGTGGGCGAAACGCAGAAGCCAATTGCAATATGGAGTGTTGCATGAGGTTAACTGAACTTTAGGTATATTCCAGAAGAAAAAGTTGTCCTTGCTTAAAAAAAATTGGACTTCATACTTATTGTGACTTGAGTTGCATTTGCTCTGTAATAACCTTTCCAGGCTTATTTATCAATCTGATTTAAAAGTCAACAACACTATTGTAATTTGAAGATAAATGCAGAGATCACCTGCTTGTTTTATGCTGTCTTATGGTAGGTGTGGTGCACTGTCTTAGCGCAGATGAAAGTGAAATGTTATTGGGACTATACTTCTCTCTCTTTTTGAATCCTGTCATGGGAGTCCTGTAGCTCAGTGATGAGAGCGCTCGCCTCGCGAGGGAGATGACCTGGGTTCGATTGCCAGCAGGGTGAAATGTTGGGCAAGTTTCCTTACTCAAGACTCCTCTGTTTACCTTGCAGTAAATAGGAACTCGGTTGTGAGTCAGTTGAGTCACTCAATCCATGACTGTTTGTGGGACACTGCTGTACACAATTAGCTGCCGCGTTTCGTTCACAAAATATACAGTCAATTCACTTCACAGTATATTAATGTGAAGCGCTTTGAGACGTCTCGAAGACGTAACAAGGCGCTAGATCAAATGCAAGGATTATTATGTCTTTAACGGAACCCTGAAGAACATGACAGACAAGACCTCAGTTTAATGTCTCATGAGAAAGGGTTTAGTGTCTCATTCTGAAAGGTGGCACATCTGCCAATGAAGCTGTTGTCCACCTTAGATGAAATCCTGAAGTCTCCACATGGGGTTTGAACCCAGAATTTTCTAATCCAGCAGCAAGAGTATGTTCAATATATCAAATGAGATCAATGGTGTAGAGTTGCAAACCTTCCCTCATAGTGTGTGTATTATATGTGTTACCATTCGGATATTTGTAACAAGCTGTTGCTGAACTGAAGTCTAATTCTGAGAGTTGCATTGATGAATAAAATTCTGTCCTCCGCCTTTGTCTATTTCAGGAGCTTGAGCAGTACAAAAAAAATGCTGCCAGATCGTGGAAAGAGTTGGAATTCTACACGGAAGAGAGATGATCATTTTAATAAGGACTCTTTCACAAAGTGAACTGCGTGAAATTTTCCGTACGGTGTCGGGTTGAGCTATTTGGTACTGTAGTGATTGATTTGAAAATTAACTTTTATGTATTTCAGTGATGAGTGTTGAGTTTGTGCCATTTTTCTATGTATATAACTTGAAAGGCGTTTTGGTCAAGTGAGGTTGTAATGGGTGTGTTTCACCTGTTCACTGGGATGTCTCCGTTATAATTAATGATGGTTATCTAAAAATGTATTTTTGCTCAATAAATATGTTAGTTCATTTTGAGACAATGAGACTATGTTTCATTTTAGTCCGTATTTGGTATGTTACTCCAATCGATGTTACCATGTGCAAAGGAAATTCAGAACTGAGTTAACCTGTAACATTCTTCAACCATTGTAAATGGCACAATTTCTGTTTCTTGGAAATTTAATACACCTTGATATGAACTCTGCAGCAAGAATTACTGGTACACGCGAAGTCTTGAAATGTTATTGGGAGTCTAATACATTTGATTTTAAAAGGATTTCTTAATAAAAACTCCAACTTGGAAATGAGGATTCCTTCTAATAACCAGAAGTACGGAATTCAATCTACTTTTGCGCTGTTGCAAAAATCTGGAATAAACGTGGATTTAATCAAACATTATTTAATATAATAATGATAATCCTTGCATTTGATAAAGTGCCTTATCAAGGCAAAACATCAAAACACTTCACCGGATGTACTGCAACGACTCTATTTATAGGGAATTATTGTTTATTGTGCTGCTTCACCAGTTTGTGACCTGAAAATAATATCTAAGAGTAACAAGTTGAAATAAAAAAACATCTCTTCTGGCGGCTAAGATTGCGAAATCAAAATTTCTTGCTAAATTAAAATTTAACAAGGTGCTCATTCCTTTCTGAACCAGCTGAAGTAAAAGCCATTCATTCTCCAGCGGTCGGACGGTGTTCAACCTCAAGCCTGTTCTACAGATATCGGGAGCTTTTTCTTTATGCAGAGGGGTAAATAACAACTGGAACAGGTTGTCAGGAAAGGTGATAGAGGCCGGGACACTGGACACATAAAAAAGCAGCTTGATGCAGTGATGGTTGGATGTCCTGGAGGAATGAGATTGGATGGGCCGAAGGGGCCTTCTTCACCCAGACTAATCTTGTGATCTTATTACATTGCAGCTCCCAACCTCAGATGAAACTAACAAAACACGATGATAAAGAACATTGTGATTTGAGCTGGTTCTTTTGATGTTGCAATATGTTTTAAGGAGGTCTCCATCTCTGATATAACTCATACTGAACACAAATTCATATAAAAGCAGCTGATCCATTGCAAGTCCGTCACTCTAACCCATTTTGCGCTTAATCAGAGGAAATTGCAGAGCAGTACTATCGTATTTCACTGGAGTGCTTTCACTTCAAAGAAAATCTCACTGAGGTTGACTAGACGAAGAAGAATGTGAAAAATCCCACAACCTTTAATTGAAAATATAACTTTTATTATGTTTTCACCTGTACAGAATATGATAAATATCTGATTTGATTTGACAATTTGTACAATATTGTGGGTGGGGGGGGGAGAAAGGAAATTCTGTCCAAGCAAGCAGAAATGTTGTTGGCAATTCAAATACACTTTTGAAAGGACAAACTATCACTTTAAATAATATTTGCATTTAACATGGGAGTCACGGAGCAGTCAAGGAATTTTCTCTTTGGGGTGACTGAAAATGAAATGGTCATTTTTTATTAAAATTGCACCAACCGGCCAGCCAGCCAGTCAAGTGGCATAATGAGTGCGTGAGATTAAAGTGTCCACTATGCGGATTCACGGAAAATAGTGACTAATTTGCAAATACCGATCGGTGTCGGTAGTCGGAAGTTAATAATGCTGACCCACTCGAACTCCGCTCTGAGGTGATTTCCTCCGGAGCTGAGTTTCTGCAGAATCAGTGTGATGTCCCTCCATTTACCATAACGGGTTGGTAGTTGCATCTCTGAGTCCCGAACCCACTTTGTGACTGTTGTTAAGAGGCTGGTAGCTCAGTGGTTAGAGCACTCGCTTTGCAAGCGAGAGACCTGGGTTTGATTCCCGGCAGGGCGAAACGTTGGGCAAGTTTCCTTAAATGCCCCTCGCAGTAAGTAGGAACCCGGTTGTTAGTCGATTGGCGGATCACTTTTCCGGGGGTGATAATTCCTTCAAAAAAATTGGTCACTCAATCCACAACTGTTTGTGGGACAATTGGCCTCCGCGTTTCGCCCACAAAATATACAGTCAATTCGCTTTACAATTTATTCTAAGAAGCGCTTCGAGACGTCTCGAAGACGTGATAAGGTGCTATATCAAATGCAAGCATTATTATTATTATTATTATTATTATGGTAGCACATTTGTTCCCTGGACAGTTCATCAGACAATCTCTAGTTTCGAACCACATTCGGTAAGCCTGGTGTTGGCAAGATTGCACAAGGTGTGGGTGGGAGTAAAGGAATCATAAAGTGGGACTGAGAACAGCAAGTCTTAGAACATTTTGATTTCCATCATAAAAAATAAAGTGAGATGAATGATTTAAATGGTTTCTATTTTACCCTTTATTTTTGCGGCGTTTAGAACAGGGGGGAGTGCAAATATTTCAGGTGACAAAATTTTCGCTCCTGCTACCGTTGGATTATTAAATCTCGGATCTTAAAAGATATGATGCCAAAGATTACAAGAACGGGCACAAAGGCATAGAGTATCAGGAAATCAAACGCAAATCTAGAAGTTGCCTTGGGATAAGTCGTGTCAAGATACTGAATTCCTTGTGTGATAAAGCAAGAGGGGTATGCAGTGTTGTTTGTAGATTGTCCATCTGCAAGAAGACACATAAATGGCAAAACACGTTCAGCAAATAGACTTTCCCCACACTCACACAGCGACAGACTGCATAAAAATAACAACACATTACATTTATACAGCACGTTTCACGTCGGGAGGACGTCCCAAGGCGCTGAACAGTCAGGGATTTTGAACCGAAGCAGGGGATTGGGGTTGGGGTCAGGAGAGGTGGAGGGCACAGAGGAGGGTGACCGAAGGCACGGTTGATGCGGAGGGTCTTGAGACCTGCCTTGAAGGAGGCAAGGGAGGGAGCAAGGCAAAGGGACTGTGGGATGGAGTTCGAAAGGATGGGGGCAGAGAGGCTGAAAGCCAGACTGTCGGTGTGGAATGTGGAGCAGGCTGGAGCCTGCTGAGCGGAGGGAGCAGACAGGTCGATATTGGCAACGTACCTAAAATATACAGAAATACCTCCAAGTGTACTTTTAACACATTGGACGTCAATTACCTGCGAAGCACTTTTGAGACTGATAATGAAAGACAGTATCAAACGCGAGGGTTATTTGGGCAAGGAGCCCATTCGAGATGGCAACGGCATTTAAAATCGATGAAAGATTTGAAGAATAACAATATAAAAACAGACGGGGGAGCAGGTTTTTTTTCAAGCCCCAAAACAAGATTGAAAACGTGAGGGTATGACTTATAGGTGAATGAACCTGGCCAGTCTGGGAGGGTAAAGTCCAAAAGGATGTATTTGATTGAACCGGCTCCATAACATGCCGTGCTTGTGACCTTGAATCATAAATGATCAACTACATATATATATACAGATACACAGCTGGCAGGGTTCATGTGCAAAGTTCAATTATTTTTTATTTATGCATTTCAATTCGTGCCTTCCCGAATTAAGGCTTGTGGTGTCCCGTAGCTTAGTGGTTAGAGCGCTCGCCTCGCACGCGAGAGGACCTGGGTTCGATTCCTGGGCAGAGCGAAACACTGGGCAAGTTTCCTCACTCCACACGCCTCTGTTTATCTAGCAGCAAGTAGGAACCCAGTTGTTAGTCGATTGGTGGATCGCTTTCTAGGGGTGATGATCCCTTCAAATTTTTTAAAAAAATAATTCCTTAAAAAAAATAATTTGGACACTCAATCCACGACTGTTTGTGGGGACGCTGCTGTGCAGAATTGGCTCCCGCGTTTCGCCCACAAAATAAACAGTCAATTCACTTTACAGTATATTGTGTGAAGCGCTTTGAGACATCTCCATCAAGCGATAAGGCGCCATATCAAGTGCAAGGATTATTAATATTATTAAAACCACTCACCATTTCCACATGTAAAGTTTAAACCATAAAACTCGTTGACCATCAGAATCTCCACCCCGTATTTCTGGAACGTGAGGTAACTCATCCACAGAAATGGTTCAGGCATATCTTCAGTACTCCTAAGATCAAAGCCTTTATAGGTTACATCTATGTTAAGTCGAGCTGTTTTGCTATACTATCGAACATGTTTCTGGAGTTCACTGTCATTTGCAGCTGACTAACTGCAATTGACAGTGATTCCCTTCAAAGTGCTTTGATACGTTTCAACATTATAGCTGCTCTATCAAACACAAGGATTCACTGGGCTGAAATACTGCCACGTCTACACATAGCCATCCCTGAACGTACAGCAATTCATTTCATGTCATCAATTCGATGAGGATTCCCCAGCGGAGAGGCAGCGTGGAGGGATTTAAGAGTGTTGACTTAAGACGCTGTCAAAAAGATCTTGTAAAAGATGGTGAGGAGAGAGGGCTCAAGTAGAAGAGATTTGGGAGGAGAGTTCACAAGAGGATGGGAAGGTATATAGTGGCTGCAGGGCTAGTCACTGATGATAGAACGGAGGTGGTGAGGGAGAAGCAACAGATCACAGTCGCAAGGGAGAATGCGGGCAGGAGAATAGGACTGTGATTGTTCAGTAATTCATTTCACCTCCTCTCCTCCCAGCCTTAATTCACGATTCCCTTTTTGAATACTGCGTTAGCTCCCTCCAGGCCTCAGCGCAGTGCTGCCATTAACCAGAGCCTTGCTCGGTTTGATGCAGATTCAGATTAAATTAGATTCAGGTTTAATGGATTGAGTCCTTAAAACAGAAGTCCAGAACCTACTTTTGCGCTGTTGCAAAAATCTTGAATCGGAGCTGGAGCAAAGCATGGATGCTAATACAATAACAATAATCCTTGCATTTGATACAGTGCTTTAATTCCCTCTATATGTTGTGAAGCTAGTTAGCTCACTCCAAAAACATAGAACTGTTCTAATATTCCAATTTATTTAGATATTAGCTGTTTATTTGACCCCATGTACAAATCAATGGGGTACGCATCTGGAAGGTTATAAACTGTTTAGGAGGGACTGTATCGGGAAAAGGAGATGGTGTGGCACTGTATATAAGCTCCATTATTGAGATACAAGTGAGAGAGGGTATAAACAAGGAAAGGGCAGACACATAATCACTTTGGTTAAAATTAAAAGATGGTAACAGACATAAGCTATTACTGGGGATTTGCTATAGACTCCCAAACCAGGGTGAGATAAGGAAGGCCATTAGTAAGGAGCCGACCATAGTGATTGGAGATTTTAACTTACCTGAAATTGATTGGGATAATAATGTGTCTACGGGTAAGATAGGGAAGGGGTTACTAGAGTTAAAGGATGACTGTTTTATGACTCAGTTTGTAAAAGTGCCAACAAGGGGAGAAAACATCTTGGATTTGATAACGTAAAGGTGTTTTCGTAGCCATTCCCTGTGATCCCCTTTGAAACTAATCAAATGCAAGGATTATTAACATTATGTGTCACAGCAAGACGAGATCATACATGCTATTTTGAAGAGAACTCACCTCAGGAAGCCTGATCCAACCAGAAGTCCTGCCACGTTAATCAAAGCCACAGCGCTGTTGACAACATTTGGGTTGTGAACGATGCCAAGAAACACGAGTGTAAGGAGTTCCCCCACCAGATGTGGCACAATGAGCACTCCAAAAAAACACGCAAACCTTTCCCATAAAGGAAACATTCCCACAGTCCTGGGTAACAAGCATTCAGAACAAACACAGAATATCAGTACTTATTTCCACTACTAAATGGTAAACGAGTAAACTCTTTATTGCAGTTTTTTTCATTTTAAACATGTCCCATACACCCGATGTCCCAAATTAACTTTGGCTCCTCACTGTCAAGGGCCTTGTCTGTAAATCCACAGGTTGTGTGTTTAATCCCTATGTCCACCCATGGCACGTGTCTGAGATAACTCGTGGAGTCCTGTAGCTCAGTGGTTAGAGCACTCGCTTTGCAAGTGAGAGACCTGAGTTCAATTCCAGGCACAGGGCGAAACCTTGGGCAAGTTTCCTTACTCCACACACCTAATAATAATCCCTCCAAAAACCAAAACAATAATAAAATGGGTCATTTTCAATCTACGACTGTTTGTGGGACATTGCTGTGCGCAATCGGCTGCCGCGTTCGCCCACAAATATACAGTCAATTCACTTTACAGTGTGTGTTCTGTGAAGCGCTTTGGGACGTCCTCCCGACGTGAAAAGCGCTATATCAAATGCAAGGATTATTATTATTATTATTATTATAACACTCCAATGCAGTGCTGGGGGATGTTACATTGTTGGGGGTGCCATCCTTCATTAAACTGAGGTCCTGTTTGTTCAGCTGGACATTAAGGATCTCGTGGCTCTATTTGAAGGGTGAAGGGAGTTCCTTCCAGTGTCTTGGGCAACAATCCCCCCATATAAAATTGGCTCCCACTCCTGATTATCTATCCACTGCCCTATGTTGAATGCTGGCACCAATGGAACTATTACTCCCTATATACGAGTTAACACCGTTGTGAGAGAGAACAGAAGTAAATCTATGGAAAAATGTGGAATTAAAAGAAACCCCACCTCCGACCACAACTACTAAAGGTTTTCATCAAGTCGTTCCTTCACACCCCTCTAACCCCCAGTTGCTTGATCCTAAAATGCTTAAAATATTCTTACCAGTAGACAAAGAAGCTGTAAATAGCCACGCTGAAGATGCTGAATGGGAGGATGTGAGCTATGTAAGCCACCAACATTAACCATTTCTGATACAGGCCATCTGTACTTTCCTGGTCGGCAATAGCTCGCAATGAAGGATCTTGATATTAAGGTCAGCGAGTCAGTAATATGAGGGCACAAATGTAAGATAGTAGTAGCAAAAGGAATTGAAGGTGAAAGTTGGAATACATTTACTTACCATTGGCCATTGGCTGGCGGGCTTTCAGTCTTTCTGCCCCACTCTCTTGAACTCTATCCCAGATCCTCCTCCAACTTGATCCCTCCCTCACCTCGTTTAAGTTCCACCTCAAGACTTATTCCCTTAACTGAGCTTTTGGTCATCCCCCACCCCTACCATCTCAGCTCCCACCCCCAGCTCGGGTGCCCAGTCAGTATTGTAAAATCCTCCCCGAAGTGAAACATGGTATGAAAATGCAATGCATTGTACGTAGAAGAGTGGAGACGCACAATTCCGCTACTACTCAGTCTATCAGAGAATTCTTGTCATAGGTTAACACTGGGTGATATTTCGTGGCTCAGGGCAGTGGGATTGGATCAAGTGGTTTATATGGAGATAAACATCAGCAAAGACGGGAAAGGGACAAATAGTTTGTTTCTGTGCGTTTTCCGCAATGAGGCATTCTACGAGCGCAACACAAGAAAACTTTGTGCCCGCAGACAAAAAGCCTTGTACGAAAACAGTTTACAGTACAAACTACCGGAACTTGCTTCAACTCAACAAATGGTCCTGAAACAATGTACTTGAAGAGAAGTACAGCGGCAAAGGAATTGAGATCAGCTACAATTCAGTGAAGGAGATCAAGTTCTTTGTGGAATGAGCCAGTCCCTTCTTGGCCAGCCTTTGAAGCCCTCTTAAAACCCTAGCTTTTNCCCCCCCCGTATGTTGGTCAACATTCTCAAACACCAGCTCCCTTTCCTCCCAAATTAGTTACCCCGGTCATAGAAAATACTTGCAACTCAATTAATCTTTTACTGACGCAAACTCGAACCAACCAAAACGAGAATGGGGTTGAGTTACTCATCAAAAGGGGTAAGATACTTACATAGAGCGACAGCATTCAGCATGCCTGTATAAGGTGGGGCACCTACACTCTGGTAGATGATTCCTATCCGGTCTTGCAATGCACCCTTTGATGCATCACTGCCCAGTCTCATCACAAAGAACACGATGAACAAGCCGAACAGCAGGTTTTGACTAAGCCGCATAACGATCCCGATTTTGTCCCTCGATAAGTTCCTCGTGATTCTCCTGCAACCCAACAGAGTGTACAGTAGTGAGTGGCCTTTCCAGTGCTGTACATTCTATCTAATTCTTTCTCTGTCTGTGTCTCTGTCTAGCTCTCTGTCTGCTTGTGTCTGTCCCTGCTGCGCGCAGTTGTCTGCCGTGTTTGGCCCACAAAGTACACAGTCACTACACTTTACGGTATATTCTGTGAAGTGCTTCGAGACGTCTCAACGACGTGACGAGGCTCGAGATGAAGCGCAAGGATTATATTATGTTCTATATCAGCGCCGCAGGGCAAGGGAATAGGTTACCTGAAGAGTATCCAGAACTTGAAGGCAGTGCTTGGGGAATCCGTGCTTTTGAAAGGTATAGAAGATGAATGTTTTGACTGCCTTGTCCTGGCAATGCTCTTCAGCATGTCGTTATGTATGTTTGAATTCCGATACACCAGTGAGATTTCCTGGACTCGGCTGTAAGTTTGAAGCTCTCGCTCTTTGCTTCTTGTGTCGACGGAGGTCAGATCCACTGCAACATGTTAAGAAGAACAATTATGAGTGACTACATTTCTCGGCTGTTCATCATTATTCCCCGACTGATGCGAAAACCAGTTCAGTGGTTTCTCCCATTTAATAACTTGCATTTATGTGGTGCCTTTCATGTAAAAGCTTCGCACAGTGAGAATAATTTGAAATGAAATTAATGCCACGGAGGCAAATTTGCCAGATAACTTGCGGTAGCAACATCACACAACCAACAATGATATTAATGGTCAATTCGTCTGAATTTTTGAGGCTGAATTTGGACGAGGAGGGATTTTAGCTGTTAGTAACATCTGATAATAATATGAATAATATATTAATCTTTGCTTTTGATATAGCGCCTTATCTTTTCCTTATCTAAATGCTCTCTCTTGGAGGTGTCATCTGCAGACACGAGATAAACTTTCACATGTATGCGGATGACACACAAATCTACTTTGCCTCCTCCGGTACCAACCCCAGGTCTGTCGATGTTCTATCAGCTTGTCTGGCAGACGTCAGGGCCTGGATGAGTGCAAACTTCCTGCAGCTGAATGTGGACAAGACGGAAGCCATAGTCCTTGACTCCCGTCAACGGATCTAATAATAATAACAATAATCCTTGCATTTGATAGAGCGCTTTTCACGTCTTCGGCAGCTAATTGCGCACAGCCGCGTCCCCACAAATATGAACTCCTCAACCTCCCTGGGCTCTCCCTCAGACTCACTGAACCTGGGAGCAATCTAGGTGTCCGGTCTGACCCCCAGCTGTCCTTCCTCCCCCACATCCCGTCCCTGATCAGGACCGCCTTCCTCCACCTCCACCACATTGCCCACCTCCGACCATACCTTACTCCAAATGCAGCTAAAACTCTCGTGCATGAGTTTGTCACCGCCCGCTTGGATTACTCAAACGCCCTCCTCGCCGGTCTCTCCAGTTCCACCATTCAAAAATTCTGGCTATTCAGAACTCTGCCGCCTGCATACTGACCCGGACCAAACTCCGTACCCACATCTCACCAGTTCTGGCCCAGGCTCCACTGGCTCCCCATCACCGAACGGATCGACTTCAAGATCCTCACACTCGTGTTCAAATCCCTTCACTCGCTGGCACCTCCCTACCTCTCCGACCTCCTCACTCCCTAATCCACCACCCGGCACCTCCGCTCGACTGGCACCACCTCCTGCTCGTCCCTCACACCTTCCACCCCACCATCGGAGGTCGCGCTTTCAGCCACTACGCCCCGAAACTCTGGAACACTCTCCCTCAATCCCTCCGCCTTGGCCCCTCTCTCCCATTTTTCACGTCCCGCCTTAAAACCTTCCTCTTCCAAGTGCTTACAGTCACCTCCACCCCCCCACCCAGCTCGGAGCTAGACTCCGCCATTGTTAAGCGCTCTGAGGCATTGCATGGAGGACGCTATATAAGCACAAGTTGCGTTGCTGTTATCATGTCTTCGCGACATCTCAAAGCTCTTCACAGAATATACCGTAAAGTGAGTCTTTAAAGCTCAGGGCCTGTTTGCCTGCAGCTCTGCATTAATTACACAGCTGTTCCACTGCGCTGTAAAATTGTAATTTCTTTCCTCCCTGAAATTAGTTCACTGCCTGTCAAGGACGTGCACTGGAAACGGAGCAGCTTAGCAGTCCATAACTCAGAAAGGCAAGGCATCCACAATCCGAAAAGCAGGTTACTATTTCGGATAATAATAATAATAATCTTTGCAATTGATACAGCGCCTTATCACATCTTCGAGACGTCTCAAAGCGCTTCACAGAATATACTGTAAAGCGAATTGACTGTATATTTTGTGGGCAAAACACAGCAGCCAATTGCGCACAGCAGCGTCCCCACAAACAGTTGTGAATTGAGTGACCAAATTATTATTACTTTTTAATGAATTATTGTCTTTGAAGGGATTTTTACCCCTGGAAAAGCGATCCCCCAATCGATTAACAACCGGGTCCTACTTACCAGTAAGTAAGTAGAGAGAGAGAGAGAGAGAGAGAAAGAGAAAGAGAGAGAGGAGGAACTAAAAAAAATACAGTATTACCATATAAATCAAATGGGTTGCAGTATTCAGGGCACTGGTATCCACAGCCACCGAAAAATTCTACCATCTCTTTAGGGCCACCGCAAAACACCAACTCCCCACAGCTCATGATGCCAATTTTGTCAAACAACTGAAGAAATTCATGCAAAGGAAAACAAAAATGAAACGACAGGCTGCGTGGGCGGCTGAGTGAAATGCACGCCCCTCAAAGTAGCTGTGTTACAGCCGCAGAACGAGGCCATCGGGCATATTCTGGTCCTCGGCTCTCCACTGGAGCTACCTGATCTAATTCTCAATCCCTGCGTTTTCAGTTGGAGTAGCCGAATGTTTGTGGCCAAATGTGGCAGATACGTACACCAACAAGATCCCACAAACGGCGTGTGAGGTGAATCACTCCGCTCAGCGGGCTCCAGCCTGCTACACGTCCCCCACTGGCCCACCCCGGCGGGCGGTTGGGCCTTCAGCCTCTCTGCCCCCTCAACTTTGGAACTCCATCCCACAGTCCCTTTGCTTCCCTCCCTCCCTCGCCTTCCTTCAAGGCACGTCTCAAGACCCTCTTCCTTGACTGCGCCCTCAGTCACCCTCCTACCCCTGCTCTCCACCCCTCCAGATCCCAACCCCCTGCTCGGGTCCAAATCTCTGACTGTCCAGCGCCTTTGGACGTCCTCCCGAATGCGAAAGGCGCTGTGCAAATGTAATGTATTGCTGCTCGAAGTATTCAGCTGGACGACTGCGCGAATGGCCAAGGAACAGGAGAAACTTCCTCTTCTTTTCAAATAGTGTCATGGAATATTTACTATCCACCTCAGGAACAAGCAGACGGGAGCATAATGTCTCATCGAAAAGAAGGATTTCGGAATCAGGGCTGTAACTAGCCCAGGCTGGTCCATTGGGCTCCTACGTTACATCCAACGACTGTAAAGCAATGGATGTTCTGCTCGACAATTGAAGCAACTCTGATGAAACGCATCCATAGCATCCCAATGTAAGCCTCCAGCACAGAAGAAGCGCATTGTCCCTCCTAATTTGTCGAAGCTCACTTATAACTCGCAAAATTACCCTGACAGTCGGAGAATTTCACCTTCCCACAACCTCAAACTCAGTAGCAAGGAACAAACGGTCCCCATACCTTGAAAAGTTCCGACCTGGGCTGATGTATTGTTAAAATGACTACCCGGTCGTTACGGGCCAGTTCAGACAATAAACTGATAATCTGGTTGGAAGTCATGCTGTCCAGACCTGTTGTCGGTTCATCGAGCAAAATGACCCCTAGCAAAAGCAAACATGCAGAGGTTTATCGATAACATGATACAAACTGCACGGCAAATTCACTCGCGATCCACTCTAAGCCATTTACTTGATAATATTGCAGTAATCGAAAGGCAAAACTGAATTTAACGCAATTGCACTTGCAAATGATGCGATGATTTCAACATCAACGACTTACATTTAGATTGTGCTTCTTTGTGGAAAAGAAACAACTCAAAGCACTTTACAGAATGAGATTGACCGGAACTAAATGGAATGTTTTATACTCCAAACCCTATTGCCTGNTTTTTTTCCTCCCTGCGGTGCGTTTACTTTGCTTATCTTCAAATACTTATCCAATTCTCTTTTAAAAGTTGATTTGCTTTTAGCCTCAATAGCCACATGAGGTAAAGCATTCCATGTTTTAATAACCTTTGGTATCAAATAATTTAATACCCCACCCTTAACTAAATTTTTCCAATGATGGTCCTTTGTTACCAATTTATCAGCCAGTGTGAATCGAGGTTTACCTCAATCAGGTTTAGAATCGGGTTAAAATATGTTGATAATCTGCCTCGTGAAGAACAGTTAACTTCTCTCATAACTCTGCTAGAGCGTTTATGCTCTCTTGTTACCAATTATCAACTGGCGCGAATAAGATAAATTAATTGGAAACAATAAGCCAATTAGCAGTGAAACCAGGAGGCCTTTTTTTCACCCAAAGGGTAGTGGAAATCTGGAACCCTCTCCCCCAAAAGGCAGTGGATGCTGGATCCATTCACATCTTCAACACTGAGGTTATTCGCTAGGTCAGGGTATCGAGGGATATGGAGCAAGGTCAGATAATAGGGACTGAGGTACAGATCAGCCATGAGGAGCTGAATAGCCTACTACTGTTTCTATGTATATCCCAGCAAGTTTGCAATCAGCTGCCATTGCGCTGGCACTTACTGGGATCTTGTAGAAGCTGAGCCGCAATGGAGACCCGACGTCGTTCACCGCCAGAGATTCCCCGAAAGACGTGACCTCCGATGATGTGATTGCTCACGTGGCTCAGACTGAGCTCCAGCAAGGCAGACTCCACCTGCAAGGCACCAGTGTACGATTCCCATTAGTCAATCCTCCGCTTGCATTGCTTAAGAGCCGGAGAATTCGCAAACTCCAGCCCACCTACACGCCTTCAGCCAGATTGGAGATCAGAAAGAAACTTCTAATTTGTGAAACAGACAGACCGATAAAGCAATCGATTGGTACATTTGAGAAGGAACTGTTTGGATATCTGTCCAGGAAGTGAAGGTTATAGGGAGAGTAACATAGTACCAATTTGACCGTCGAGTTAAATCAAACTGGCTCAGAGTTTCACATACGCTATGTTTGAAAACCTCTCTTTGTTTGGTATGGATCCAGTTTTTCCCTGGAAGGACACACACTACACAGCCCCAGATTGGCAAGAGCCAAGGCTTGGGAACCCCGCCTACTGCCATGAGTTTAACAGCTAAAACAGCTTGCCATTGCAAGCATCCCAGTGCTTGTCCAGCTAGGACCGCGCTACCCATTAGGGCTTTGGCTTGCTGAATTAACAGGAGCTGAGTCCCTGTGCCCATGATCAATAAATAACCTGGAGCTTCACTTGAAAACCTCTGTGAATTTGCAGAGAAAGAATCAAGTCCATGTGTACAGCATAGAATAAGGCCATTCGTCTCATCACGTTCAAGCTACTGTGCCAGTGGTTCATCATCGCCGGGTCAAAACTTTGGAATTCTCTATCTAACACCATTGTGGGAACATCATCTCCACACAGATTGCAGCAATTCAATCAGACCCCCACCCCCAACACCACCCCACCATAGGAACCCAATTGTTAGTCGATCGATGGATCTCTTTCCGGGGATAATAATCCCATCCCCCCAAATTTTTTTTATTTGGTCACTCAATCCACGACTGTTTGTGGGACACTGCTGTGCGCAATTGGCTGCTGTGTTTCGCCCACAAAATGTGCAGTCAATTCACTTCGCAGCATATTCTATGAAGCGCATTGTTATTATTTATTATTGCATTATTAATCTCAAGTGGAACGAGGGAAAGTCCTTTCTGGTGTTGCCCACAGTTCAAGAACGAGTTTAAAAGAAATGCGTTTTGCAAACACATGGATTGTGGTCTAACTCACCAATGCTCACCAATGTTCAGTGCTTTGGTTATTTCCAAGGGACGGGACAAGCCTACCTTTTGTTTGATAGCATCAGCAGAGTAGCCACGTAGTGTTAGGAGGGCTGTAAACATCAGAGTTTCCCGTACTGTGAGATAGCTGAGTAAATTGTCACTCTGCAAAAGATAACAGGGATCAGGCTCACTCTGGACTCGAGATCACATCCACGAGTGACTGCTTTTAGCTGGTTTCTTCTTTTTTGTGAAAGTAAACTTTGGATAAAAAATAAGTTCAAAAGCCTTTACTCTGGCGCTGCCGTGAATTGGTTGCATCACTCTACTGTGAAATGGACCGGAGGCTTTGATAATACTGAGAAATTTAAATTTTGCTTAACATCTTGTTACTCACCGAGAAGATTTAGTCAGTCGTATTTCACATTATTCTCTTTATTGTTGTCATTTAGAGTCTCCTCGATTACAGTGTTAATAAATGTTGTCATTAAGCAAACTGTTTTACAGTACAGTGCATCGTCCATAAGTTTAGAATAGAATTGTGAAGAATCAGTTATACCCTTTAAAATCCTGCATAAAAATGCGGCTTCAGAAAGCCTACCTCTGATTGCTCTTTGAGTCTCTCGCCCACCCACTAAGCTTCCTCCAAACTGGCACCAACTCTATATTTATTTGAGACACTCTCCCAATCATGAAAGGTCCTATTTTAAGTTAAAATTGTTGTGAAAAGGTTTGTGTTACAATAAACTGTCCATAGACCCATCAAACCGTTGCTGAAGAATGTACTTAGGGACTGTTGCAAGGGCAGCAATCTGGAAACAGGAACAATTCCGTTATGATTTATGATTACCTGCAAGACGTATGAGAAGCAATCGTGAAACTCTTCCCTTTTCAGTTTGCATCCGTTCACGTACACTTCCCCGAGTAAATTCTCCGACCGTCTTAGCCTTCCAGCAATGGCATCCAGCAAAGTGGTTTTTCCAGAACCTAGGAACGGAAATGCAGTCGGAATCACATTAAAACCCAGTGACATTTATTTGTTATATGGTTATATAGTGCTTTGGGATGTCCTCTCGAGTCAAAGGCACTATTATAAATGTGAATTGTATTGTACTGGTATTGTATATACTGTGTACATGGAGTCCTGTAGCTTAGTGGTTAGAGCACTCGCCTCGCAAGCAAGAGGACCTGGGTTCAATTCCCGGCAGGACGAAATGTCGGGGGTAATAATTCCTTTAAACACATAATAATAATTTGGTTACTCAGTTCGCGACTGTGTGTGGGACACTGCTGTGCGCAATTGGCTGCTGCGTCTCACCCAGAAAGTATACAGTCACTACACTGTACAGTATATTCTGTGAAGCGCTTTGAGACGCCTCGAAGACGTGACAATATATCAAACGCAAGGATTATTATTGTTAGATTGTTGTTATCAAAAGAAAGAACTTGAATTTTACAGTGCCTCATAATGTTGAAATGGCTCAAAGTGCTTTGTTGGTAAGTACATTCAATTGCAGTGATTTGCGTTATAGGCAAACGTGGCAACCACTTGTGTAAGTAAGAAAGATTCAACAATTAATGTAAAGGGCTTCGAAACATTTCCGTGCATACAGAGCTTTAAAATTGCAAGTTCTTTTTCTGCTTAACATTAGCCAGAAGTACCTTGGGCATCTACAGTAAAACTATCCAGATAAATGTCATCAGTGTTAATGATTAAGTAGTACGGCCCCTATCCGATAACACCAGCCTCGCTTACCAACGTAAAGAAGCCAAGTCATATCTTTCTTTCGAATTCTGAAGGAGGACGACATCTGAAATGTTTATTGACCAATCTTTCTCTTTTGGAATCGGATCTGCCTGCTGTGCATTTTTGCTTTTTCATTTCAGTTTCTCTGGCACTCATGGTTTTTCTTGCTCCCTCTAACAACCTTTGCATTTGCATTTCAAACAGCACTTACGCGCCGTCGAAACATCTCAAAGCACTTCACAGGTAATTGCTGTCAAGTGTGATGACTGTGTGTTTGCAGACAAGTACAGCAGATAATTTGTGCACAGCAAGTCTCATAGACACCCATGAAATGAATGGCCAATTAATGTGGAGGGTTTATGTGCCAGAACAAATCTTTAACCACTTCACTCGGGCCTTTCCAATTATTTTACCGCTGTTATTAAAAACAGATTTGAACAAAAAACATGATTCGTTAATATTTGTACAGACTCAAGACACGCAACGTGCCTCTATCTGACTGGTTTTGCACTAAAACTGGTGCTTGCTTGGCATGGGGTGGAAGGGAGGCTCACGTAAAAAAAAACAGTCGTGGATTGGGTGACCAAATTATTATTATTATTATTATTTATTTTTATTAATTGATAAAGGCGTGACAAGTTCTTGGTTGTCCAAAAGTTTAAAATAAAAACTTAAAATAGACGTGTCAAAACAAAAAGAGGGCTGTACCATAATGGCTCAACTGACTGTTTCACCTGCGGTGAACAATATAAGACAGGATTGTACCAGGAATTCTCCATGTGTTAGATGCCACATCGCATCCAGACTGTTCTAGGGAGACAGCAACAGCACTTCCCTGAAGGCTAAAAGAGTGATTAAGGGTTGGGGCTGGGTGTGTGGCAGTCGGAGGGGTCAAGAGAGGCGTCTGCTTGGACATTGGAAGGATTCGATAGGGTGGAACATCGATCAGCTCCAACCTGTGATAAAGCACTATATCAAGTGCAAGGATTATTATTATTATTATTACTAATAGATTGTGTAATCAAATGCCCAGGATTATGCATCGTCGTGTGTTTGAAAAGCACTGGTCAAAGAAATTGAGGTATTCAAAAGAAAATTGGAGTACATTATTTGCGTGCGTTCGTCATTACCAGAGTTCCCCAAAATTCCCATAAGTTGTCCGCTCTCCACATAAAACGAGACGTCCTTCAGAATATGCCGTGTCCATCTTTTATGGTATGAATGGACATCCCACCAAGGGCCAAACCTTTCACTGAAGAAACAAAAAGAAAATTGCAATTATCAGTTAGCAAAATAGGTCTGAAAACCATTGGCCAACACGTGACTACATTTTACATCCTGATGGAACGGCAGACGCAGCAGCAATACAAATTTGCTTGAAAAATTCATTGCTCAAACTTTAAGGTGCGGGGGATAAATTTTTCTACGCCGGACCACATAAGGCAATATTGCTTTGAAATGTCAGGTCCTGAGAACGTTTACTGTGAAATTATGTGAGGAATCTGTGGGTACCTTGAACCAGGGCAAATCTCAAGAGCTGAAGAAAGGCCAAACTCCAACCCGTTGGCCATAACTGACATTTATACCGATCCTTTCAGGAAAAGAACACTAAAAGCTTAGCAAATGGACAGCGAGTTGGGGAAATAAAAGAGCAGGGAACATAGGAACAAAGGAATTAGGAGCAGAAGTAGGGCCATTCGGCCCCTCGAGCCTACCCCGGCATTCAATAAGATCATGGCTGATCTTCTAACCTAACTCCATCTGCCCGCCTTATCCCCATATCCCTTAATTCCTCTATCCTTTAGAAATCTATCAATCTCAGTCTTGAATATGTTCAAGGACTGAGCATTTACAGCTTTCTGGGGCAGAGAATCCCATAAATTCACTACCTTTTCAGGAAAGAAGTGTTTCCTCAACTCTGTTCGAAAAGGCTGACCCCTAATCTTAAGACTGTGACCTCTAGTTCTAGATTCTCCTACCAGCGGAAACAGTCTCACACTGTCTGCTCTGTCAATCCCCATAAGAATCCTATATGTTTCTATTAGATCACTCCTAATTCTTCTATATTCTAGGGAATAATAGGAGGGCAGAGAAGTGATTTGGGAAGAATTTCAGCAAACAGAGGTTTGGTGGCTGAAGACTCAGTCAACCTTGGAGAAGCAGATCATGGCTGATCTTCTAATCTAACTCCTGCTAATACCATAACCCTGCCTTATCCCTTAATCTCTTTAGCAACAAGAAATCTATCTATCTCAGTCTTGAATATGTTCAAGCCTGAGCGTCAACAGCCCTTTGGGGTAGCGAGTTCCATACATTCACCATCCTTTGAGTGAAGAAGTTCTTCCTCAACTCAGTGCGAAAGGGCTGACCTCATACTCCTTTTTCTCGCTCTTGATGAGTTTTTTTAGTTTTATTTTGCTGGTTTCTAAAACTCTCCCAATTTTCAGATTTGCCGCTTTTCTTGGTAGTTTTATAAGCCTTTTCTTTTAATTTGATGCGTTCCCTAACTGCTCTAGTGAGCCACGGATGAATTGCTTTCCCTGCGGTACTCTTATTCCGCAAGGGATCATGCGACCGCTGAGAATTTTGCACTACATCCTGAAATATTTGCCACTGATCAATTCTAGTGGATCAATTCTATTCATTACTTTAAATACCTTAATCAGATCATCCGTGAACTGCCTCAGCTCTTGGGAATATGACAAGTTCACTCAATTTTTCATGATAACGATGGGGCTTCGTCCCAGGTATTTCTGTTGAATTTCTTGCCCCCGGGAAAACAAATTCAAGCTCCAAAATTAACATGATCTTCACGAAAAAACTTTTTCCAAAGATCTTTCCAACCACAATGATAATAAACCTTACATTTATTGTAGCGCTTTTCACGTCAGGAGGATGTCCCAAAGTGCTTCACAAGCTATACTGTAAAGTGGGGTGACTATGTGTCTTTGCGGGCGAAATACAGCAGCCAATTTTGCGCACAGCAACGTCCCACGAACAGCCAAACAGAAAATAATAAGCCTTGTAATGCAAATTAAAATGTAACAAATAAATAATTATTTTTACAGCGAATTCACCTGAAGACCTCGGCGTCCATTTTCCAACATTTTTCAAAACATTTTTTTAAAAAACAATAAGTGCGATCTATACAATTGAGGCGATTTGTTGATCTATAACTCCAGGAGTTTCTCACAGGATCCTGGTCAAGAATCCTCCGAAATAAAATTGGTCAATCAGGCCATGGCTGTTTGTGGGACACTGCTGTGCGCAATTGGCTGAGTTTGACCCACAAAATACACAGTCAAATCTGCTTTACAGTCAGCGCTTTGTAGACATTTCAAGAAGCGCTATATCAAATGCAAGGATTATTATTATTATTATTATTAATTTCACCTCAATCAAAGTTCAATGGCCTTTGCAATGTACAGGATGCCACTTTTTATGCCCTAGAAAAATAATTTCCACGGTTTTCGTTGCACAGATTTCAACAAGTGGAGTCCTGTAGCTCAGTGGTGTGAGCACTCGCTTCTCAAACGAGAGGACCTGGGTTCGATTCCCGGGCAGGGCAAAACGTTAGGCAAGTTTCCTTACTCCACACGCCTCCGTTTACCAGCAGTAAGTAGGAACCTGGTTGTTAGTCCATTGGCGGATTGCTTTTCCGGGGGGTAATAATCTCTCCAAAATATTTTTTTAAAAAAATAATAATTTGGTCCCTCAACCCACGACCGTTTGTAGGACACTACTGTGCGTAATTGGCTGCCACGTTTCGTCCACAAACTACACAGTCACTACACTTTCCAGTACATTCCGCGAAGCGCTTTGAGCCGTCTCAAAAATGCGATAAGGCGCTGAATCTATTGCAAGGATTGTTATTATTATTATTATTATTATTATTATTATTATTATTATTATTATTTTCACCTGCAACGAAATTCAATGGCTTTACAACTTACAGGACGACACCTTTGTGGACAAGATTAGAATAATAATTCCCACTGTTTGCATTGCGTCGATCTTAGCAAGTTAGTGAATGATCTTAACAAGCCGAGATGCCTCCAGTTGTCCTTACCTGATGGTGTAGTTAATGTGACTGACGCAGACATTGCAAGTGGCTGCTGTTCTGTTCCCTGGTGTATCGGGGTTGAACCATTCCTCCTGATCCGACTTGTGGGACTGTTTCTCTCCGCTGTCTGCCTCTTCCAAATAACAAAACCTCCCACTCATCCTTAGATAAATCTACAGTGTGTGTGTGTGTGTGTGTGTGTGGGGGGGGAGTGTTTAAATAAAAAAAACTAACAATACCAACCCACAAAAATCCTAGCAAAAAGAAATAAAAAAGCAGCAGCAACAAGAACAAAAACCAAAACAAAAAAAACGCAAAGTAAAAGTGACAGAGCAACGGGAAAGCAGAGTTAAAAGTGACACAGTCAATGCAATTTGTTGGCTCAGTGAGTTAGTTACACAATGAGTGACCCTGTGGAAACGGTCACTGGAGGCGATGGCAGTCAGTCTTAAGTCCAACGCTGTTCAGCGAGCACCTGCAATTTCCGCCTCTTGCACACCCACTACACACACACACACACACACACACACACGCGCGCACGCACAGGCTCCAAGTGCCAAGCAGGCAATGGGTAAAGATCAAACTCCCCAGGCAACATATGCTGATTTATTTACCCGTGGATCAAATGTGGGTATTCGCACTGTTTGTGGCTGTTTTGACTAAAGCTGAGCTTCACTGAAACTTTGCTAACCATGGAAGAAACCTGCAGATCTTCAAGCCTGTTCGTGAACACCGTGTGTCAATCCTTGGAGGCTGACCCACAGCCGACGGTGAGTGCTTTCCTCTTACACGGTCTTTTATTATTTCAGGTCTTCGACCACTGCGTCTCCTCGAGTTGAAACAAAATTCTTTTAAGATTTTTAGACCTTTTAGAATTTGTTTTTCTTTTTAGCAGCGTTGTTTTAAATGTGTTTCAGATGTTTCCAGGTTTGGATTTTTTTTTTTTATGTCTTGCAGACTGACCCGGATAATGTATTCTGTACCTTAGAAGAAGAAAATAGTCTCTACTTCACTTACAGTGGCCAACCCAACCTCATCCAAGTGAGGGACCTCAACTACCAGGTAAATACAGTGCTAACAATAATAATCCTTGCACTTGATATAGCACCTTATCACGTCTTCGAGACGCCTCAAAGCGCTTCGCAGAATATACTGTAAATTGAATTGACTGCATATTTTGTGAGTGAAACACATCAGTCAGTTGCGCACAGAAGTGACCCACAAACAGTCGTGGATTGAAGTGACCCAATTATTATTATTGTTTATTTATTTATACGATCATCCTGTCTTCTTTTATTATTTGCGATTTGGAAACTGAATATAACAATTCGTAGCAATGTCGGATTGTTAAATGGTTAATAATAATCCTTGCATTTGATGCAGCCCCTTATCACGTGGTTCCAACGTCTCAAAGCGCTTCACAGAACACGCTGTAAAGTGGGTTCACTGTGCATTGTGTGGGCGAAATATTTTGTATAAAAGTTGAGCTGTTTTGCAAGCAGCAGGATTTCTGTTAGTGTATCAGCCCGTAATATCTATCTCCCGAGACTATTTTGGTTTGATTATCAAGTGACTGTAGTGCCCTGTTCAGTGGTGATCAATGAAGATAGCGTTAACATTTCCGCAAGACCGAGCGCGCTTTAAGAATTTTCATTGGGGAGTTCTTTAGTCCGTGTCTCCCTCACTTTGCCCAAATGCAGGTCAACACAGAAGCACAGATTCCCTGGTATGAGAAGCTGGCGGAGCTAAAAATGCCGTGGGAGTGGAACTCCGGTACCGATGGACAGGTGACAGCTCTGAAAAGCTTGAACCTTAGTGTCAGAAGTGGGCAGATGTTAGCCATGATAGGGAGTTCTGGTAAGAGTTGTTCGCACAAGATATTACTCTCGTTCCCCCTCGCTCCCGACCCACTGCTTTCGCCCTCCCCCCTCCCACACCCACACACAACCATCTGAATTGTGGTTAGTCTATTTGCTGTTAAGTCATGGGGCATGTCCCTCATGCCCTCGGTTCCACCGCAAGTGGCCGAGCTTTCGGCCACCGAAACTCTGGCACGCTCTTCCTCCATCCCTCCGCCTTGCCCCTTCCTTCCCCATCTTCAGGTCGGGCCTCTTCGACTGCGCCCTACTGTCATAACAAATGAATCCTTGAACTTGACATCACGCCTATAACATCAAGACGTTTCTTAAAGCGCTGTCCAGGGAATTCACTATTAGGTGTAGTGACTGTGCATCTACAGGCCAATGGAGCAGCCTATTTGTGTACAGTCGCGTGGGGGTTTGAATGAGGAAGTGATTTAACAAAAAGACAAGAGTGTTGTTCAGGCTGATAATACACAATTGTGTTGTCGTCTCCGACCACTGAGATGTAATGGGATGTCAGTGTACCGTTGAATGGGGGAACTGCACAAAAGCTTTACAACGGTCACAACAGTGTCAGGAACATTTGGGTTGGGAGTCTAAATTAGGAAAGCTCGTGGGACGAATGATATCCCTTAGACACTCAATACCTTTCCTGCGGGGTTTTTTTTTTGGGGTGGGGGGGTGGTGGTGCGGTTACATCGACATCGAGGTCTATGTTTCCAGGTAGTCATTGCTGTTACTGATCAGGTCAGGCTATGGCTATTCTGGCACCAACCCCCTCACCAGCCTGAGTGGTCGTTCCTCATGTGTTAACCCAGACAGAAAGAGTAGGCAACTACTCTCCCATGTTTGGCACAGCCAAGCCTTACCCAGAATTATTTTACCCCCAAATCTCTCACCCAGAATTATTTTACCCCAAAGATCCCTCACCCGGAATTATTTTACCCCCAAAATCCCGTACCCAGAATTATTTTAAAGGGCAAGCTGTTTGATTGTTATTTTTGCTTTGAAATCTATAATTAACTCTTGTCCTGAGAGCCTGGCCTGATGTGTGTGTGTGTGTCTCTCTCCCCCCGCCCCACCACCCCGACACTTCTATATACGAACGTGCTTTTATGTACGTTCTCTGTACGTAGGAAGTGGGAAGACCTCACTGCTGGACATCATCACCTGCAGAGATGAAGGAGGAAGAATTAAATCCGGGAAAGTATTGATCAATGGAGTGCCAACCAACCGACAACTGGTTAAAAAGTGCATTGCCCACGTGCGGCAGGACGATAGGCTGCTACCAAACCTCACCGTCAAAGAGACGCTGGCGTTCATCGCAAGCCTGCGCCTCCCGAAAGACTTCTCCGCTAAACAGAGGAACAAGAGGGTAAGTGGCATTGAGCTGTTTCCCTGCCGTGCCGGGGGTTGGCGCGAGCCTGAAGCTGAGGAGAAACCTAACTGCAGCCAGACAGACGTCTGCTCCTCTTTAGATTCTGTTCCACGTCAATCTACAGTTACAGGCTGACCCTGTGACAACGTAGGTACATTGCGGACTTATACTGGAAACCACCCAATTACCGGCACTGACTGGCCAGCTTCCTGGGAGTAGGACTGGCACGAACAACAACAACTTGCATTTATATAGCCTACACCCTCATCCCCCTCGTGCAAGGTAACGTCCCAGAGCGCTTAGCACTGCGTTGCTTCATAACGTCTTGTTCCAAGGGTTGTGTGAGCCTGAAGAAGAAGAGAAATCTAGTCTAAGCATTGCTTTAGCTCAGAGCATAATAATAATAATAATAATAATAATAATAATATTAATATAATCCTTCCATTTGATATAGCGCTTTTCACGTCGGGAGGACGTCCCAAAGTGCTTCACAGAACACACTGTAAAGTGAATTGACTGTATATTTGTGGGCGAACGCGGCAGCCAATAGCGCACAGCAATGTCCCACAAACAGTCGTGGATTGAAAGTCACCAATTTATTATTGTTTTTGTTTTGGAGGGATTATTATTAGGCTCTGTGTGGAGTAAGGAAACTTGCCCAAGGTTTTGCCCTCTGCCTGGAATTGAACTCAGGTCTCTTACTTGCAAAGCGAGTGCTCTAACCACTGAGCTACAGGACTCCACAAGCGTGTGGCATAGTTTTACGTAGCCGACCGTTTAAAATCGTGAAATAAATATTATTATTTGAGACTCGGTAACGGCACAGGAATAGTGGGCATTTGCATTTATAGAACAACACTGTTCGCGTGAAGTAAATGTCTCAAAAGCACTTCACAGGTTGAAATTGATGAGACATTAAGTGAAAGTTGCGATAGATGCAAACTTGGCAATGGAATAGACTCAATAATAATAATAATAATAATAATCATTGCATTTGATATAGCTCCTTATCACATCTTCGAGACATCTCAAAGCGCTTCACAGAATATAATGTAAGGTGAATTGACTGTATCCTGTAGGCAAAACGGACTGAATGGCCTCTTCCTGTTTCTATGTGCCTAATGTTTTGCAGCAAAGTCCCATAAACAACAATCAGATGAGCATCCAATGCATTTGAGGGTTTCGTGTAAACTTGGGTGGGGCAGGAATCTGAACCCAGATAACAGACTGTACAACAGATATGGATACACAGGACATTCACACACAAGCACACGTAACATATCTATATGCTCCCTCTTGGTGACATCATCCGCAGACATGGGGTCAACTTCCACTTGTATGTGGATGACACCCAACTGTACCTCTCTGCCTCCATCCTGGACTCCAGGACCACTGCTGTCCTGACTGAATGTCGGTCAGACACCACGTCCTGGATGAGACCTAACTTTCTTCAGATGAACGTCAACAAGACCGAGGCTCTCCTGATTGACTCCCGTCAGCACCACCACACCTCAGGCGCTGGCATCACTATCCGCAACATCGCCCGGAGCTGGGCGAGCCCTCCATGGCCTTGCTCCCCACTACCTCTGCGACCTCTTAACCCCCAACCAACCTGCCCGCTCCCTCCGCTCAGCGGTCTCCGGCCTGCTTCACATCCCCCGCCTCACTCACCCCACTATTGGCGGGCGGGCCATCTGCCACTCTGCCCGCACCCTCTGGAACTCCATCCCGCAGTCCCTCCGCCTCACCCCCTGCCTCGCCTCCTTCCAGACCCATCTCAAGACCCTCCTTTTTGCCCGTGCTTTCGATCTCCCTCCTTCCCCCCCCCCCCCGCCCTCCACCCTCCCCGATCCAGACCCCCAGCTCGGGTCCGAAACTCTGACTGTCCAGCGCCTTGGAGCGTCCTCCCGACGCGCAGTTGATACCATAAATACCTTACAACTGGATGTTGTTGTTCTTCTTCTTTCAGATAGAGGACGTGATCGCAGAACTCCGACTGAGACAATGCGCTGACACCAGAATTGGCAACAACGTAATCCGAGGAGTGTCCGGAGGTGAGCGACGTCGGGTGAGCATTGCAGTGCAGCTACTCTGGAATCCCGGTAAGTACCCCGCAAACATATTAATAACCCCAAATCCTTAACCCCCTCCCCCCCTGCCCGTCACTTCCCTCTTCCCCCTCCTCTCTACCTCCCTTCCACCCCACCACCATCTGAACAATGTTCTCCCCTGCCTCCTCTTCTGATCCAATGGCTCATGCTGGGGAATGGTTAACAATGATAATCATTACGGTCCGTGTAGCACCTTTCACGTCATGAGGATGTCTCAAAGTCTTTCTGGAGTGTTAATAATGATAATAATAATACTTGCGTTTGATAAGGGGCCTTATCATGTCATTGGCTCTCCATATCATTGCATAATTCCCCAACTATTGATCTGCCTCTGATCAGCTCACTCCATTTTAACGATAGGCTATTCTTAGATCCGTTTTGGCTAATAGGATGTCGGGGCCAGAAAGTTACGCTGCTCTCCACAGCGAGTAACGGCACGTGGAGTAAAGCGAGAGTAGCAGTCAAGGAGTTAGGTGAGCGGGCGTTAGATCCTGTGCTGGGACCCCCAACACACTCTGCAGTTTTCAGCACAGCGAAGTCAGGCTGTACATTGGAACATACCAACAGGAGGAGGCCATTCAGCCCCTCGAGCCTGTTCCGCCATTCTATAACATCATGGCTGATCTGCACCTCGACTCCAATTACTCGCCCTTGCCCCGTATCCCTTGATAACCTTACGAGGGTACGAGGGTCACGCTCCCACCCACACGCAAGAATATTTTCACTTGCCGCCTCTGGTATCGACTGAGATATTCGGGGTCCGGGTGGGTTATGTTTCACTCCGGGCAGTGCGTTTACCAATTGAGCCGCTGGCATCCATCATTGTGACAGTATCTCACCCACAAACTATACAGTTAATTACACTTTACAGTATATTCTGTGAAGCGCTTTGAGACGTCTCGAAGACATGATAAAGCCCTATATTAAATGCGAGGATTATTATTATTATTATTATTATTATTATGATGATGCCTTTAGCCAGCTCGCTTTTGATCGTGTGACGTGGTTTCCTTTTTTTTTCTTCCAGGAATTCTAATACTCGACGAGCCCACCTCTGGACTTGACAGTTTTACGGCTCACAATTTGGTGATGACTCTCTCGAGACTGGCCAGAGGCAACCGTTTGGTCCTGATGTCTCTCCATCAGCCCCGCTCAGACATCTTCCACTTATTTGACCTGGTGGTTCTGCTTTCCTCAGGGTTAACAACCTACTGTGGAGCAGCTAAGGACATGGTCTCCTATTTCACATCGATAGGGTGCCCATGTCCTCGGTACTGCAATCCTTGTGATTTCTATGGTGAGAATTAAAAACACGACTGGGAGCTTACGTTATCTCTCTAACCAGCGTCTGAAATGTCCTGCCAGATGTTAGCAGACACGTTAAAGGTTACAAGTCCTGCAGCTCAGTGGTTAGAGCACTCGCCTGGCAAAACGAGAGGATCTGGGTTCAATTCCCAGCAGGACAAAATGTTGGGCGAGTTTCCTTACTCCACACGTCTCTGTTTACTCAACAGTAAGTAGGAACCCGGTTGTTAATCGATTGGCGGATCGCTTTTCCGGGGTTAATAATCCCTTAAAAAAAATGTAAGAAATAATAATAATAGTAATTTGGTCACTCAATCCACGACTGTTTGTGGGATGCCGCTATGCGCAGCTGCATGTCACGTTTTGCCCACAAAGTACGCAGTTTAGTCACTTTACAGTATATTCTGTGAGACGTCTCGAAGACGTGATAAGTCGCTATGTCAAATGCAAGGATTATTATTATTATTATTATTAAAGTGGCAGCTCGGCTCAGGTCGGGTCAAAGAGTCGCAGGTTCAAGACCCGCGTCAAATATCTGAGCTTCTGACTGACGCTGTCGTTGTCTCTGTTGACAGAGTTGTTGTCTTTCAAATGAGACGTTAAAGCACAGGGCCTGTTTGCCTGCAGCTCTGCATTAATTACTCAGCTGTTCCACGGCGCTGTAAAATCGTAATTTCTTTCCTCCCTGAAATTAGCTCACTGCCTGTCGAGAACGTGTACTGGAAATGGATCGCTTAGCAGTCCATAACTCAGAAAGGCAAGGCATCCACAACCCCAAAAGCAGGTTACTATTTCGGATAATAATAATAATAATAATAATAATCCTTGCATTTGATATAGCGCCTTATCACGTCTTCGAGACGTCTCAAAGCTCTTCACAGAATATACTGTAAAGTGAATTGACTGTATATTTGTGGGTGAAACCCGGCAGCCAATTGCGCACAGCAGCGTCCCCACAAACAGTCGTGGATTGAGTGACCGAATTATTAGTTTTTTAATGAGTAGGTATATTAGATATATGTATGTGCAACACAGCAAATAGGTAGAAGAATGATTAATATTGCAGTGCAATTTTAGCTGAAAGTGTTCTGTTTCTGCAACAACCCAAAACTCAGACCGTTGGTACTTTATGGCAAGATAATATTGACCCTCCTTTCCTCTGACCCGTTACCCCTTTACAGTTGATTTAACAAGCATCGACAGGCGTTCCAAAGAGCAGGAAGCAAAGACCCAGGAAAAAGCCAGCTCCCTTGCCTCCACATTTTGGGAAAAAGTCAAAGACCTCGATGACTACGTTTGGAAGCCTAATGACTGTAACAGCCTTTCAAATACAGTCAGCGAAAGGAGGTAATGCAACCCGATGAGACTTTCTTGTAGAGCTTTGATCTCCACGAGATCCTCTCAGGATTGCTCTGATACAAAAACAACCTGCACTTATAATAGCGCCTTTCACTTAGTTCAACGCGCTTTACAGAGACAAGGTAGGAGATAGGGGAAGAGATGATTTGAAAGAGCAGTCAAAGTCTTTATGAGCCTAGACGTTAGGTTTCTCATAACTTAGCAGACGAATCCATGTATTAGAGGCATTCGTAATGTCTGTGTGGATTGGAATTTTTGGACTACAACAACAAGATTACATTTGTATAGCGCCTTTCACGTCGGGAGGACGTCCCAAGGCGCTGGATAGAGTACAACATTTCAGACCCGAGCTGGGGTCGGGGTGAGGGGTGGGGTGTGGAGAAGGGAGGGGAGGGGAGGGGAAGGCGGGGTGGCCGATGGCATGGTTGAAGAGTAGGGTCTTGAGGCCAAGATGGCGACAAATTATCTATCCAAGATACGGGTGACGCTGTTGCTTGCAGTTGCTTTAGATGTTATCCCAACTGTAAGAGTGAGCGGGAGAGTAAGATGGGATGAGGTGGCTCCGGTGATGGGAAAGTACAGCATCGCAGACTTACTGGACTGGACAGCCTAATTCTGTGCTGTAACAAGCAGTGATTCCACAATAACTGTATATAAACCGGCGGCTTAACATCCGTATCTTTCAACATCACGTGTTAACGTTTCAGCACTGTTTCAACTTTCGAGGAGATTATTGAAATGAAGTCAGATACCAGGGATCAACTACCTGGATCTTTGAGGCAGTTCACAATGCTGCTGAGGTAAGGTTTTATTTGTATAACTTGTCCTCGGATTATTATCGTACTGTATTTTACTGAAATAAATTGTCAGGAGTGAAAAATCACATTTTGTTTGGTGTTAAGATAATATAATTGTGGAGTCCTGTGGCTCAGTGGTTAGAGCACTCGCTTTGCAAGTGAGAGACCTGAGTTCAATTCCAGGCAGAGGGCGAAACCTTGGGCAAGTTTCCTTACTCCACACAGAGCCTAATAATAATCCCTCCAATACCAAAAACAATAATAAATTGGTCACTTTCAATCTACGACTGTTTGTGGGACATTGCTGTGCGCAATTGGCTGCTGCGTTCGCCCACAAATATACAGTCAATTCACTTTACAGTGTGTTCTGTGAAGCGCTTTGGGATGTCCTCCATGCAAGGATTATTATTATTATATTATTACTATTACCAAGGGAGTCCTGTAGCTCAGTGGTTAGAGCACTTGCCTCGCAAGCGAGAGGACCTGGGTTCGATTCCCCGGTAGGTCAAAACATTGGGCAAGTTTGCTTACTCCTCACACCTCTGCTTACGTAGCAGTAAACTGGAACCCGGTCGTCAGTTGATTGGCGGATCGCTTTTCTGGCGGTAATAATCTCTTTTAAAAAAAATAACAATTTGGTCACTCAATCCACGACTGTTTGTGTGGACCCTGCTGTGCGCAACTGGCTGCCGCCTTTCGCCCACAAAATATACGGCCCATTCGCTTTACAGCATATTCCGTGAAGGGCTTTGAGACGTCTCGAAGACATGATAAGGCGCTCTATCAAATGCAAGGATTATTATTACCAATTTCCTCTCTCCGCCTCCCAGTGTCACACGCTCCACCTCTGCGAGATAGCTCCGGTGATCTATTCCAAAGCCTTTTGCCCAACGTCACTCCACGACTGGCTGTTATAAGACACGATTGGGCTTATGTGGGGTGGTGTTGGGGAGTCCACTCGCTCTGCACCCCCCCTGCAAGTGGCACGTTGTTGTAAAAATGGGTAAGACGCGAGACACGTGCACAATCTCTCATTGGCACAGTCTGGGCAGACTTCAGGTTGGCTCTATCACCGCACTGTCGGGTTTTTAAGCGATTTTCAGCTGTTTTATTTGTTTCTTCCCAAGTACTTCTTCTGCAAATTTGTTTTTATTTCCTCTCCCACCCTGCCCCCACCCTCCCAATCCACGCACCTTTCATTCCACAGCCAAACAGAGGACAGGAGCGATCAGGAGACCTACGTCAGTGACTAAACTGTCGGTAGATCAAATATAGCCCACGTTTGTCTGGACAGGACAGAGAAACACAGGACAATAGAGAGGGCGGACACATTCTTCGTCTCCGCCTTCCAAGTGTATGTGTGAGCACGTATGTTATGGGCGCGTGTGCTGGTGTGTGCGTGTGTGAATTCATGATGCGTGTGTACGTGTGTGTGCCCGTGTGTGTGTGTGAATGCGTGATGTGTGCGCGTGTGTGTGTGTGTTGTGTGAATGCATGATGTGTGCTTGTGTGAATGCATGATGTGTGTGCGTGCGTGCGTGCGTGCATGCGTGTGTGTGTGCATGTGTGCTACCAGGTTGGGGTTTTGTATCTGAATGATTAGTTCTTGTTTTGTGCCAGGCGTCAGGTGTCTAATGACTACAGAGACCTGCCCACCTTGATCATCCACGGCTTGGAAGCGTTCTTGATGTCGATGCTCATCGGATTTTTATACTATGGCCAGGGCGGCAAGGAGTTATCTCTGCAGGACACAGTAGCCCTGTTGTACATGATCGGAGCTTTGACCCCGTTTGCAGTCGTTCTAGATGTTATCGCGAAGTGTAAGTTGCTTTCACTTAAAAAATAAGTTTGACACCTGCTTGTAGAGTAACGCACAACAATAATTTTATATATATATATAAAACATATAACAGTTTTAGGCAGGAGGAGACATTGGTCTGTCTGACCTACCCTCTAACTTGCCAAAAAATTCATTCAATAAATCTATTTCGTTCCCTAATGATCTTAAATCCTTCTCAGGATTCCCAGGCAACCTGGTCGAGTAGATTTTTTGAAACCTTTTTTACACTTTTATATCTGTTCCATTTCCTGCGAGGTTCTTGCCGCGTTTAGCCAACAGGTACACAGTCGATTCACTTTACAGTATTTTCCTCGAAGCGCTTTGAGACGTCTCGAAGACGTGATCAGGCGCTATATCAAATGCAAGGATTATTATTTATTTTTGTTTCATCTCTGGGACTGCTCGTGTGTTCCACGTGCTTTCCATCAGCGTCTTACCTGAATAGGATGCTCTGAATTGTGCACATGCTGCTGTTTATCACTGGGCTGTGGAGTCCTGCAGCGCAGTGATTAGAGCACTCGCCTCGCAAGCGAGAGGACCTGGGTTCGATTCCCGGGCGGGGAGGCAAAACATTGCGCAAGTTTCCTTACTCCACACGCCTCTGTTTAACAACAAGATTCCATTTATAGAGCGCCTTTCACGTCGGGAGGACGTCCCAAGGGGCTGGACAGTTGGGTCAGGGTGAGGAGAGGGAGGGAGCGAGGAGGGGGTAGAGAGTCGAGAGGGGAGCTGAAGGCTCGGTCAAAGAGAAAGGTCTTGAGAGGCAGTAAGTAGGAACCCGGTTGTTAGTCGATTGGTGGATCGCTTTTCCGGGGGTAATAATCCCTTCAAAATATAAATCAAAATAATATTAATAATAATTGTCACTGGATAGCGATCAGCAGCAGGAATCATGACGGATATCCTCTTTCCCTCAAGCCCCCCAGCCTAGGGCATGTCGACTAATTGTAGCCCCCTTCCCTAGCACCACCGAGTCCGCAGCACAGATCAGCGATGGAACCGGTGACTCTCGCAGCGTGTAGGACTAACCACTGCCCTGTATTTACCCACTGAGCTACTGAAAGTCGCTTAAACGCATCATTATTAGAGAGCTCAGGGGAACTGATGGCGCACAGTCGGAAAATTGTTATTCAGGAGTCACAAGAGGGAAAGCCAATTTGCAACACCACCGGGATGTTCCATTTGAATTGCTGTAGGTTCGGGAAGACTGAACGTAAAGTAAAATTCAGCCGTCTCTGCCTATGGGGGTTGGGGTCGGTTTCAATCATGTCGCATTATTTGCCCCGTTTCGGCCACGAAACGTACAGTCAATTCACTTTACAGAGTATTCTGCGAAGCGCTTTGAGGCGTCTCGAAGACGTGATAAGGCGCCGTATCAAATGCAAGGATTATTATTGTTATTATTATTATTCAGAAGAACTATCTTTTCGTAGGTCACTCGGAAAGAGCAATGCTTTACCATGAATTGGAAGACGGGTTGTATTCGGTCACTACGTACTTTTTCGCGAAGGTAACAGTCATCGTTTAATTCACGTGAAACAAATAAAAATGAAAGCGAGGGACGTACGAGCGTGTATTGGAGCGAGAAAAAAACACTTGGCACATTTAACCAGTCGATTCCCACCCCCAACATCCCCCACCCCCTCCCACCCCCCAACACCACCCCCCCCACCAAAAATAAGTTTGCGACCTTAAAGCAAGAGGCAGAAACGGGGGTCAAAAACATGGGCGAGAAGGGAGGGATGGTGGCAGAGAGAGTTTCAGGGTGTAAGTGGGTGAAAGCACTGGCAGCGGAGGGCACGGGGGACGTGTAGAAAGCGGAGGTAACGGCACAAAAAGCTCTCGCTCCACGTGTAACGTTGCGTCGATGTCGTGCTGTATCTCCCGCAGCTGTTGGGAGAACTTCCGGAGCACTGCGTGTTTGTGATCGTCTACGGAGTGCCCATCTACTGGCTGTCGGCGCTGCGGCCCGAGTCGGGCCCCTTCCTCCTGAACTTCCTGATGCTCTGGCTGGTGGTGTACTGCAGCCGAGCCATGGCTCTGTGGGTTGCGGCGATGCTGCCCACTCTGCAGCTCTCGTCGTTCTTTGGGAACGCATTCTTCACAACCTTCTACCTGACGGGAGGCTTCGTTATCAGCCTGGAGAACATGTGGACAGGTAAAAAAAAAAAACCCCTGCTCCGGCTCGGCCACCGGAAACGGCCACAGACTCCCGGGAGGGTGGTGGGGGTGTGGGGGAGGTCTTCGGAGCAGAGATGACCTCGGCTTAACATCTCACCCCGGTCCTGAGCTGCAGCGTCAAATCTCGACTGAGCCGAGGCGCTGACCAGGCGTTGTCGACCAGGCGCAGCCGAGAGACCCTGGCGAAGGGAATGAGGCACGTGACGCAGAGCGGTGCTACGTAGGACAAGGGGCTGCCTTAATCTTGGGGTGTTAAGAGCTTCTCGATTCCAATTTCCAAGCGCAGATCGAAGGCAACGATCTCTGCCCCCCGACGGTCTCAGGGGCTAAAGCAACTTACATTGCGTTTCCTAAACACGACGGTATAAACGGACATTCCTAACGGCGCAGGGACAGATTCTGACAAACGTTGGGGCCGATGGAGCAAGTTGGAACTTAGCCAAACACCAACCAATTCCCTGCAAGCAGCAGAATTAATCCTCCCCCTGATGTGAGTTATTCTCCAATATTCCTTGAGCCCAGCCAAACATTCCACCCAGTCTCAGCCCGAAAACACTTGTTTTTGTCTTAAAATTTACGGTTGAGCTTGATTTGCGGAAAAGCCCCAAATTCCCGTCTGAACTTGGAAGCTGCCGAATTTGACTGTCCTTCCACAAGTCCACGCAATCTGACGTTTTATGACCCGAAATCGGCTGGAACCAGGAGGAATTTGGGTCTTGGCGCAAAACTGCCCTGAAATTCCTGAGAGCTGGCACTGGGCGGCAGTCTTGTCCAAACAAACCCAAAAAAAATACACAGCAGGAATAAATAGTCAATACAGCAAATAATAATGTCGTTTGTCAAAGTGATGTGATGCTTTCCTTCATCGACAAATTGTCTTACACATCCAGAGATCTCCCCCCACTCCCGCACTCCCCTCTCTCTCTTTCTCTCTCTCTCTCTCTCTCTCACACACACACAATTTAATTTTGCTGCTTCATGAGGGTATTGTTTGAAAAAATTTGAAGTATGTATTTTTGTGCATTGACAAACCTGTGAACACTCACATAATACTAGTGACAGTAATAGTAATAACAATAGTCGTAATAATGATACTTGCATTTGATATAAGGCCTTATCACATCTTCGAGACGTCTCAAAGCCCTTCACAGGATATACTGTAAAGTGACTAACCCGCATATTTTGCGGGCGAAACGCGGCAGCCAATTGCGCACAGCGGCGTCCCCACAAACAGCCGTGGAGTGAGTGACCAAATCATTGGATGCTTGTGTGCGCATGTGTAACACTGCCAATGTACCCATGTGTGCGCGTGTAAAATGCCGTCACAATTGCCTACAAATGGCACAGTCACAACACTTGACAGCAATTACTTTAAAACCCTTTGAGGTGGTTCAATATTATCAACGTTATAGAGACACAATTCCATTTCTTTTTGTTCGAAGGTCTTCTTTTAGGAAAGGGGTGGGAGCTGGTAAGCGGTACTTTTGAAAGACATGTTGACTTGAAGACTAATAAAGCTGTCTCTCTCTCTCTCTCTGTCCACAGTTGCTACCTGGTTCTCACACATTTCCTTCCTGCGGTGGGGTTTTGAAGGTCTGCTGCAAATTCAGTTTGTGGGTTCTATCTATTCCATATCAATGGGAAACCTAACCTTACCGATCACAGGCATGGATGTAAGTCAACGTCAAAGCCATCCTGGAGTCAGAATATCCTAGTCTGTCACAGTTTTTTGCATGGAAAGGGCATGTAATATGTGCTCTTTGGCTTATAGAGCATGTAACACAGTGTATCAGAGAGTCTTACAGCGAGACATTTAGCAAATGGTGTCAGCGGGACAATTCGTTTATAGTGTAGGTGAGATCTTGGTAATAAAGTGATAGTCCTCGCATTCGATACAGCGCCTTATCACGTCTTCGAGACGTCTCAAAGCGCTTCACAGAATATACTGTAACGTGAATTGACTGTATATATTGGGGGCGAAACGCGGCAGCCAATTGCGCACAGAGGTGTCCCACAAACAGTCGTGGATTGAGCGATTCGTTTTTGAAACCAAGGCTTGTGGTATAATCATATGTGGACCCATGGAAAGTTAAATTACTGTTACATATATTGATGTGCCATCAACAAAAGAGATCTTTCCCTCCTACAGAAGGTAGATAAATTCTGGCTTGCTATAACGTGTTATTATATTATTATTATGGTACATCGGCGTTACAGTGAGATGTTTACTGTGTGGTGTGGGTGAGATTGTGGTATCTCACAATCTTCTAGTTAGAACCAACTAATGATTGTTCTCTTCAAATGCTTTGTTAGATATTGACGGGGTTAGATATGGATGAGGAGCCACTGTACTTGTGCTACTTGATCCTGTCTGCCATCTGCATCGCTTTCCTGATTCTGTATTACTTGTCGCTGAGGTTCATCAAGCAGAAGTCAAGGCAGGACTGGTGAGACATCACCTGGAAACATCCATCTTGTTGTGTCCCAAACTTCAAAGGACTGGTGTCTGGAACCATTCCAGGCCGGGGGGGGGGATGGAGGGGGTGGGTGGTGGGGGCGGACAGACAGGCAGGTTTCCCCTCCCACCCCCCCCCACCACTACCTCCCCCGTCCGATCAGAGGAGGAACCTTTAGATGGACAGATAAAAGTGTTGCCTCCCCTCCCTAATTTGGATGCTAGTCTAAGGTGCTCACCTTGGCTCAGTCGGTAACACTCTTACCTCTGAGTCAGAAGCTCGTAAGCCCCTGTTAGGACTTGAGCTCACAGTCCAGGCTGACGTTCCAGAAGGCGGTGTCTTCTGGCTGAGACATTAAGCCGAGGGTTTGAAGCGCGGTTCCATCCGTTGATTCAGGTGGACGTCAAAAATCCTATGACGCTATTTGAAAAAAAGAAGGGAGTTTCCCCCGGCGGCCCGGCCAGTAACACCTCCCGATTAATTAATGGGGACCCCCACTCCGTGGCTGTCTGTGGGCATTTGCTGTGTGCAAATTGGCTGCTCCGTTGTCCGCAAATACACAGTCAGCACCTTTTGAGATGTTTCGATGATATCGGGTGATTACGGTAGATGTTCCTGGGCTCGCAAGCTGTGCCTCTGACTGACTGACTGACGTATCCCTTCGCACATCTGTCCCACGGCCCGAACAAGCCAGAGGATCATATTGCACGGCTCAGCTTTTTACCCACTTCCCAGGGAGCTGTCGAGTCTCATTACGGTTCCTATCAGAGAGAGAAAGGGAGAGCAAATAATACTTTTGCACAAGAGGCTGCCTCCATCGTTGGATATCGAATACAAGAATATGTTTGTTATTTATTTCTGGATCATCGTCATCTCGTTTTTTTTTTTGGCTGTGTCATTAATTCAGATTCCATCTGATTTGTGATTCCAGGGAATATTGAGGTATAATTCCCCTAACACCACCACCCCAACCCCTATTTTAAATAAACATGGACTTTTCCCTGTCTTATATTTTCCCTCTCATCCTCAGATGCAAGGAATATTGTTATTATTATTATTATTAATAAAAATTCAAATTAGTTGGCTTCTTGTCTGATTGCTGTTCCATGGGATGTTGCAGCAAACTGATTTACTGCAGTTGTTTGGCCCAATGTGACAATATTCACGTCATTTCGAATCAACCTCAATTTGTGTGTTCGAGGGTCTCGGCTGATACCAGTGCAGTGCTGGTAATTCCACCCTTTGGAACTCCATCCCACAGTCCCTTCTTCTCGCTCTCTCTCCCCTTTAAGGCCCGTCTCAAAACCCTCCTCTTGCGAATTGAGTTCGAATCAATCTCATTCGGCAAAGCTCTTTGAGACATTTATTTTACGTCGACGGCGCTAAGTAAATGCAACGAGTCGTTGCCGTGGAAGGTGCCTGTTTTTAGCCACAGTCACGTTCACAACAACAACAAAAACTTGCATTTATATAGCGCCTCTCACGTGGGTTGTTATCCTACCTGGAGCTCAGGATTATTTTCCGACTGCAATGTCCTTGAGGCAAGGGCTTTTGTGACCGGGAAATATTATACCGGGAAGAAGAAAACAGCAGCGCTCATCAGTTTTAACATAAAGGGAATGTGGGAGTTGTCTTGTTGAATTAAATGGTGTGGACTCTGAGACCATTTCTTTGAATAAAGGGAGGTGGCAGCACATCACGCAGGATTAGAGGAGAGGCATCCTGAAGACACTCTCAACTTCCTTCCTTGGCCTTTATCCCCTTATTCACCGTCGAAAGTCATGGGTGGATTTCAATAACCTCGTTTCCCCTTTAATCGTCTGCTGTGGTTTGTGTTGCTTTCCATGATACGCGGAAAATGGAATAGCTGGAGAGAGAGACACAGAATGAGAGAGAGAGAGAGAGAGAGAGAGAGAGAAAGATCTAATGAGGGCTCACAGGCGATGATGAAATCATGAATTGTTATCCCTTGAGATGTCGGTGTGTGTGTGTTTGTGTGTGAGAAGAGGAGTTAAGGAGTGTATTAAGATTGGTTGACTTTCTTATTTTAGTTGAGATTCAGTCAAGTAGTCTCACTTGGTAGCTAACTAGGTCAGAAGGCTGTGTGTTCAAATCCCGCATCAGGACTTGGGCTCCGAGGTTAGGCTGATACCAGTGCAGTGTTGGTAGTTCCACCCTTTGGAACTCCATCCCACAGTCCCTTCCCCTCTCTCCCTCCCTCGCCTCCTTCAAGGCACGTCTCAAGACCCTCCTCTTCGACCATGCCTTCTACCACCCTCTACCTCTACCCTCCCTGCCCTCCACCCCCTCCCGCTGATCCCATCCCCCTGCTCGGGTCCAAATCCCTGACTGTCCAGCGCTTTGGGACGTCCTCCCGACCTGAAAGGCGCTGCGTAAATGTAATTTGTTGTTGTTGTTGCTGCTGCTGCATTGTCAGAGAGAGGTGAACAATCCCACGACGCTCTTTGTGAAAAGAGAAGGAAGCTTCTGCAGGTGTCGTGGTAACAAACCGCGGATAAACCTGTCATCACCTCGTGGAAATTCATGGGGCTTTTGCTACGTGCAGACTGTTCTGCTGCGTCTACGTTTAAAAGACACAGTCACTTAGCCTGACCGCGACTCTCTGAAATGTGCTTCGCGGCACGTCAACGTTTATAAATGCTGGCGTTCAGTGCAAAGGTTATCTCCTGCCTTTACGCTTCGGTAGCCTTTGGCTTTCGACACATCAGGTGCGATTGTTTCGTAGTTCTTTGGAAGGTCAATTAAAATAAAACGTGGATTAAATGAAACCTCTGGACAAACCAAATAACCAAGCAGCCGTCGGTCCTGCTGCCATTTACCAATTATCCTGCTGATGGCAGTAGAGTATCGTCCCAAACCCTCAGACCGCAGACGCAGACCCAGAGGAAAGCATCTTCACGCTTTGCCCTGTGTTTGTCTTTTCAATAAAGTGCACTGTGCTCGTTTGATTTGAGTTGATTTTACGACGACTAAATATTTTAAACAATAACAATCCTCGCACTTGATACAGCGCCTTATCACGCCTTCGAGACGTCTCAAAGCGCTTCACGGAACATACCTTCAAAGTGAATTGACTTTGTGTTATTTTGTGGGCGAAACCCGGCAGCCAATTGCGCACAGCAGCGTCCGCACAAACAGCCGTGGATTGAGTGACCGCATTACAATATAAGTTGAAGTGTCATTTTTTTCCCAATCAGACAAAACTTCCTCCCTTCCTCCCTCCCTCCCTGTGCCCTCGGGCCCTACTCTCCCGTCAAATTGAAATAACTTTTGGCAAATATCAGCTCTCGCACAGAATCTTTGCTCGTAATCAGACCAAATCGGGTAAACTTCTGTCCCCAAATCCATTCACCTTCCACTCTCTCTCCGTCTTCAAAACCCCCCTGAAAAGCTCTCTCTTTCCTCTCTCCGTACGTTCGAAACCATCTGAAAAGCAGATTTATTCAACCGTGTGGCTGTTCAGCCTTTTCCCTGCTCTCAATCTGCAAAGCACTTTGAGATGGACGTTCATCCAACATGAAAGGCATCGTATAGGGGTGCAAATTGCATTACGTGGTTTTCTTTGAACACACATTTCACAACAACACAATTACATTTACACAGCGTCTTTCATGTCGGGAGGACGTCCCGAGGCGCTGGACAATCAGTGTTTCGGGCCCGAGCTGGGGGTTGGGATTGGGGAGGTTGGAGGGCAGAGGGAGAAGGAGGGAGATCGAAAGCACGGTCGAAGAAGATGGTCTTGAGACGAGGAAACAAAGGAGGGGGTGAGGCGGAGGGGCAGCGGGATGGAGTTCCAGAGGGTGGGGGCAGAGTAGCTGAGGCCTCCCCACCAATAGTGGGGCGGGCGAAGCCGGGGACGTGAAGCTGGGGGAGGGAGCGGGCAGGGTGGTTGGGGGTTAGATCGCAGAAGTAGGGCGGGAGCGAGGCCACGGAGGGCTTTGAAGGTGAGGACTAGGATCTTGAACTGTATCCTCTGTGTGATGGGAAGCCGGTGGAGTCGGGCGAGGATGGGGGTGATAGGGACACGGAGCCCGGTGCGGGAGAGGACACGGGCTACAGAGTTCTGGGTAATCTGCAACCTGTGGCGGGAAGAGTTGGGGAGGTCGACAAGCACTTTAACCCAATTCACCAGCAGTAATGAAAGGTGCAGTGTTGCTTCTTTTCTGTGTGGGTAGAAAGGACCTAACAATGCATGAGAAGCAATATTCCACCTTTGGTAACAAGGACTGCTGCACTGAGCCAGGTTCAATACCTGACCTCTTCTGAGTTAGCCGATTGCAGCCAGGAAAACACTAAGGTTACCCAAAGTGTCTCTTGGGTGAATGGAAGGAACGACCGAGGTCCCGCTCGCTCCTGTAGTTGAACAGCCGCTGACAGATGAAGAATAGTAACTTGAGCGAGGAAACCAGAAAGCTCCCCACTGCCTCTGGAACGGCAGCCAACAGATCAGTATCAGTGATGGAGCACCCTTCAACCACCCTTCTCCGTCTCTGGAGTTCGTTCCCAAAATCCATTCCCCTCGCAGTCTCTCTCTCTCTCTCTCTCTCTCTCCCCCTCTCCTAAAAAAGCTCTCACCTTCATCATGTGTCTGGCAACTGCTCTTGCATTCGTCCAGAGTAGTGAGAATAGCTTAGTTAGTAGGAGTCTCGCCCCAGAATCAGAAGGTTTAGCGTTCAAGTTCCATCTTTGGGACTTTAGAGTTTGCAGTCCAGGCTGACAGTCGAGTGCAAATCCCTTTAAAAAAATTTTTTACATAAATGTGCCCTCAAAGGAACACATCTCTGCCTGCCATACCCCCTCAGTGGTTTTGTTGTTCAATAGATATCTATCCAATGCAACTGTTCAATCAGGTAAATGTAATCATCCAGCACATTCTTGGGGCAAAAAAAAACGCGGAATCTCTTCAAAATGGCTTCAAAACCCTGTTGCAAAAGTTCTCACTACGTTCAGTGCATTCGCCCTATCCCTCAAGTGCTCTAATGTTGAATCACACTTCCCCGAGGCTGATATGGTTGGACTTACTGGCTGGAAATTGAAACTCAGTCAGACAGAGGACAGCGTAAATCACACGCAACCTCCTTCGGCAGCTCAGCCGGTGAAACCAGGTCTGGCCCCCGCTTGGTTTCTGCTCACCAATCTTGAGCAGCCAGTCAGCCACTGAACTACTCCACGCTGGCCAAGTGCACAGGAGGCCAAGTGTTACGGCGTGGAACTCATTACCATCGAGCGGCTGCGAAGGCAGGATCAACTGAATCATTCGAAAAAGGAACTGGATAAGAAACTGAGCAGAAAAATAAACATTAAAGGAATCCCGGGGGAAAAAGCAGGATAAATGCCCCCATGATCTTAAAATTAGAGCTTGGCCGTTTAGGAGTGAATTCAGGAGGTAGTTTTCCACCCAAAGGTTAGTGGAAACAGTTCACCGTTTAATCACCGAGCGTTAAGAATAATCTTCCGGCCAACTCTTGGGAAGTAGGCGATAAGCTTCACGTTCAGACACAAAGTCATCGTCAGGCTTTCTGCTTCGTCTACACATCAAATGCCAGGAGCTTCCACAATTCAACTTTTGATTTCTACGCTTCCTGACAAACCCTAATAAAAAGTGTTGGCACTAAACGGAGCTGACAAGCCGGCCGACTCCTCCACACAAACCGGGCGGCAATGACAATTCATGCGAGTTCGCTAACCCGGCTCAACCGGTCGGAAAAAGCAAAACCAACACCGTCGACTCTGAGGAAACAGGGGCAGAGTTCGCCCAGAGCGGGCGCCACTTATCAATGAAAAGAAGAGACGCACGTCACACCCCAATCAGACCCGGGAACCGAACCCAGGTCCTCTCGCTTGCGAGGCGAGTGCTCTAACCGTTACCTACTACACGACCTCTCAAGTTAAAGCTATTGAAACTATAAGGGTGATGATCATCGATGTTTCCCGACTTATTTGAGCCCCGTCCCATCCCTTCCCAAAGGATTTGACTGGAGGGGAAGGGATGGATGGGGCAGTAAGCGATGCCCAATGGAAGAAAAAGGCAGGTAAAGTAATCATTGATGGCTAGAAAGAGAGAAAACAGTTTCAGGCTTGTTCGAATCTTTATTTTCCACATTAAATACTTCTGTACAGTCAAACACGGAGCAGTCATCAATCCCGGAAGCACTCGAAAACATTCGTTCATTTGGGAATTTCTGGACAGGTACGTTAAAAAAAACGTCGGAATAAGTTTGGATTTCAAACAGTAGTCTGCTCATTCTTCTCTCTCTTCAACTTGTCAGCGTAGAATTTGAAGCTTTCCTGTTTTAGAAAACAGAAACAAACTCTTAATTATCTATCTGAGTGCTTCCATTCCTCTCAAAAATAAATTGGTGAGTAAGGGGGCGTAGGAGGGTGGGAGAGAGGGAAAGGGGGAGAGAGAGATAGAGAGAGAGGGGGGGAAAGAGGGAAAATTGGGTTGTGAGTATTGTGCTGAAGGCTCGGTTTGTGCTTAAAGCACTGCTGTTGTTTTATATCTAACAGACGTATGTATTGAGGAGATAACTCTCAGCCCAACAGTTACAATTCCCTTAATACCACTGTAATTATATGTTGAAAGGCAAAGTGTGACTAACACTGACATGTCACAGTTGCAAAGTGCCGGAGTTGTAACATGCAAAATGCAATGACCTTTTCAGCAGTGACGGGTATTAGCCTCTACAAATAAAATCATTGCGCACCGCCAATTTCAGTGACATCCTCCCTCTTCAAAGGAAAGGGAGAGGTGTGTGGACAGTGCAGTCCACCAACTACCTGGCGAACTAAATTCCTCCCTTCTGCTCCTTAGCTTTCACAGGACGGCAACGGGTGATTTTTTCAACAAAAAAAAAAACAGCCACCGGCTTAAAACGCGGCTGGGCCAAGTTAAACACAGAGCAACTGAAACCTCGCAGCACTCTCCCTGGAGACTGATGTTCAACTTTGCTCATTCTGTTCCCTGCTCTCTCTCTCTCTCTCCTCTCTCTTTGCCCAGCAGCACCGAGCCAGTCATCACAGCTTTGCACTGAGATTTACGACGTTTGGCCTCCACGAGTTGTGAGACAGCGGAGGCTAATTAACAACTACAAGGTTCTGGCACGCAAACAGGGGGGAGAAAAAGTATTGTCACACTTCGGTCCACAGACCAAGACTGCTTTCTCTAAACCACACTGTTCACCCTTCTCCAATGTTGCCGAATAAGGATATAAATGTCACTTTTCTAAGTTTCTTCCAATTTCTTTTGCCTTCCGCGCCAAGTTAATTTTCTCACCAGGCCCACTGACATTGGCAGCAGAGGTTGAGGGTAGTTCAGACTCATTTCTCCCAATGGCCCTGACTTGGTCTTGATGCTGTGTAGAGTGTGATTGGGAGAAGTCCAAGCCTAGTCCCTGCTGCAAACTATCCCCCAAGTGCTTGTGGTGAGCTTGGGAGAGGATGGAGCCACTCTAATAATTCATTAGGAGCTAATCTTGCACCATATGAGGCGCGAATTGGAAAAAATTAACCAATTGTTTTTGATGCGTTAATTATTAAATGATAATTCACTTTACGGTGTATTCAGGGAAGCGCTTTGAGACATAAACCACCCCCCCGCCCCCACCAGTGCCCATCACTGGTTGAGCCCAGAAGTGGGTCACACTGTGTGTTGGATTTCCAGCTGTGGAGTTAGAGGGAATTCCGACTTGTGTTTCATCAGAAGGTGCCAGGTCTCCAACGTTTAGCTCCTCAGCGCAACTGTTCTAAATCGTGTGTGTGTGTGGGGGGGGGGAAGGAGAGAAGAAGTGCCTCTGTTTGCACGTGCCCAATGCCAGCCAACAATTAAGCCTGATCGCTTTTTATCAATAACGCACTAATTAACACAACGTATTTTGCACCCCATTAATAGTAACAGTCTCGTGGTTAATCCTCGCCTGACTCAGTTGATAGCAGTTGAGCCTCTGGATCGGAAGGCCCCAGTCTAAGCTGACACACCACTGCATTGCTGGAAATCGCTGTGGTTTGGATGGGACGCAAGACTGGGCTCCCGCCTGTGTGCTCCAATTGACTTGAAAGGGCTCGGAACAATATTTAAAACGAGAAGGAAGTTTATCCTCCAGAGAAAACGTTGGTCATTCACCTCACCGCTGCTTGAGGCAAACATTGGCGTATTTGCTGTCGCCTTTGTCTACAAATACACAGTCACTACAGTTTACAGCAATTATCTGTGATTAACGCTTGCTTTTCAATGTTATAGCTGTTATCCTGAGTGCAATGATGATTTTTTTTTAATCAGTGATGGATCGCAGAGTGATAATGAAACGACGATTTGGGGAGGGCGATACTTACAGGGGGTTCAGAGAAAGGTATGGGCTCGTTTGCTCCCCTCAGTAACAGGGCAAACCGCTTGAGAAACAGCTCGTCTGGCACCACATTTTCTTCCTTAACCTTTTCGTACAGAGCCTTGGCAGAAGCCACGTCATTGTCGATCGCTGGGGAAGCAAAGGACATTTTGGGTGGTCGGACCATGGCTAACAAAATGCTTTCCGTCCTTAAATATTATTAACGCAATCGGAAGTCGTGACGATCGGCAATATTACCATGGCATTTCATGAGGTACGAGTAAACGGTTTCCTTCTCTGAGAAATCTTTCACCAGGTCAAAAAGTCCTTTGATCTTCTGAACCTGAGAAAATAACGACAAAACCATCTCGTCGGGTAAATCTCTGCTGCTTCGTTCATAACTTCTGAGTGCGATTGTTTTTCATGTTGCATAAACTTGGTACAGGCGGCATCAACTCGGTCTCTATTCCCTTGAGTTTAGAAGGTTGAGGGGTGATCCGATTGAGGTTTTTAAAATTATAAAGGGATTCAGTGGGGTAGATACAGAGAAACTACTTCCTCTGGTGGGGGAATCCAGAACAAGGAGGGCATCATCTATAACATTAGTGCTTGTCCAATTAGGAGTGAAATTAGAGGGGGGCAGTTTTTCCACCCAAAGGGCAATGAAAATCTGGAACTCTCTCCCCCAAAATGCAGTGGATGCTGGATCCATTCATATTTTCAAGACCAAGGTGCATAGATGTTTGTTAGGTCAGGGTATTAAGGGATATGGGGCAACGGCAGGTTACTGGAATCGAGGTGCAGATCAGCCATGATCGTATAGAATGGCAGAACAGGCTCGAGGGGCTGAATGGCCTACACTTGTTTCTCTGTGTAAGTCTCAGCAGGTTAGGTAATCGTCAGGTTCAGGGAGAAATCACAGCCAAGCTTGATGCTCTCCTCACCCAACTCCCACCCGCTGCACTTTGCAGCAGGGAATGTCAAACAGCAATCAGGACCAGGAACTCTGGCTGGTTCCACCCCCTTCCTTAACACAAGAGGGCCTGAGGTGAATTTTAGTTGGGGTTGGGACGGCGGAGGGAAACGGGCTCGGCAGTGGAGAGTTGGGAAGCGGCAGACGGAATGTCAGGCAGAAGGCAGAAGCTTCCTGGATAGCAGAAGTAAAAAATAAGTTGGGAGGAAGAGTTATTTCGGTTACATTTGTTCAAAACTCTGGGCTGGAGCAGTGTTAGCAGGCGCCAAAGCAAAGCATCCAACAACAGCCTAGAAATGAGGCTTGCGGGACAGGGACAAACATTTCGAAAAGTAGCAAAGTATCTGCTTCAAAGGCTCAGCCATCTTAGTCAGTCAGAAATACACACCAGAAATTCACAGGTTTAAATTCAGTCCGTGCTGATCTCAGCCAGGGCAGGAGTAGAGGGGCTGTAAATAGTTTCAGTGCTCCTTTATTAGACAGTAGCCATTATTACCAGCACCCAGAGCCACTTGTATGATTATGCGTGTGTATGTTTGTCAGGTGGGAATGCTCTGGGCTGCCCTACTCCCCTGGTTGAATAGTCTGCTGACATTCAATGTCAAGTCTCACCTGTTGGATAAAGGCCACTTGGGTGAGGCAGTGGAAAGTACACATGGAACAGTAACTCTAAAAGAGCAATGTCTTCAGGAGGCGAGGAAAAGACTTTCCACATTTCGGTCCTTCTGAAAAACGTCACTGAACTTAATGTTTGTTTTTACCTGTCTGGGTTTCTGTGAAGTCTTGGCCATGTATGAAATCAAATTCTTCTTCTGTTCTGCAATCCCTGGACACCTCTGAAACAGTAGACAAACCACAAATATTGGTATCAGTTAACAGCTTGCTGTTGGGTTAAATGCTGTAAATGTCATGAGCTATTACCTAAAGAATGTCCCATAAACCGGTTGAAAATAAACCACACAAATAAGGGACATAGAGTTGGAAAATACTTAACATCTGAACTGTTTCCTCCTGTAGTTGCTATCTCCTTTTGGACTGGAAAGATGCCATTCACACTTTAATATTTCCTCTGACTTAAAGTGGTAAAGTTCGCTGAATGTTGTTTTTGATATTAAAGTGAAGGTCGTTAGTGCTAGAGAATGGAACATTTCTTGCTTCAAGCAATTTTCTCTGCAAGTCCACAGCACCACCCACACACTCTCCCAACACCCCTCGCTTTCACATCAAGATGCTTTCTTTTATTCGGCATTCACTGATTTGCAATCATAAAATCATAGAATTATACAGCACAGAGGGAGGCCATTCGGCCCATCATGTCTGTGATGGCTCTTTGAAAAGAGCTATCCAATTCAATCCCACTCCCCCGCGCTCTCCCCATAGCCCTGCAAACTTGTCCTCACCAAATAATCTACTTCTCTCTTAAAAGTTGTTATCGAATCGGCTCCCACCACCCTTTCAGGCAATGCATTCCAGCTCTGAACTTACTGTGTGAAAACATTTCTCCTCACCTCCCCTCTGTTTCTTTTCACAACTATTTTAAATCGGTTTTAAATGCACAGGCGAGTGCTCTAGTTATAGAGACCCTGACCTCACAGTAATGATCTTTCATTAACAGAGCAGTGCTCCAGTTATAGAGCAGGCACTGATTGCCCACAGGAGAGTGGTGTGAACTGATAGCTCGGAGCTGCACTACTGACTGCATGCTGTGCTCTGTTTAAGCCCAAGCGGAGAGCTGTGTGTGTGCAGGCACCCAGGTGAATGCCGAATCCATTGGTTGGGTCAGAGAATTTAAGAACACACAGCCCCAGAATGGTTCAGGGTAAGTCTCTGCCGGAAGACGTCACGGCCCTGATCGATTGGATCAAGTGCACTTTGGGCTCGGATTCAGCCCAAGTAAAAAAGTTGACACTCCACAACAATCCCTCACCTGAATGCATCAGATCTGAGGGACGAAAGGTCTTCAACTCCCACTTGGCTTAATTTGCCATTTGCCATTCTCTGGACTGTGCTTTTCCCATTATGTGTGTGTGTATATGTTTTTACTATTTCACTGCAGGCAGTGTGACGGAGTGTTTTTTTTTAAAATTGGCACAAAACTAGGGAAATTTAGTTCCATGATCTGAACGAGAACACCTAAATCTTTTTGTATAGAAAAGGATCACGTTGATTTTTGCGAGCAGAAATGACGGTTTTATGCAGCAACAACCTCGTGTATATTATCCAACACATCGCCAAAATTGGAAGCCCAAAAAATGCCTAATTATTGACTGGTTTCGGGTGTGAACATCCCCATGACTGGCAAAGCTAGTTGGGCCATTGCATCCAAAACCAGTGGAGCTACAAATTTGGGGCATGTGGCAGCTGTCACCAGAATAATTGTCATGTCACACAATGCAGATTTCACCCCTAAATCTCCCCGTGACAGAATGCGGGCAGTTCGCCCTGACCACACCGACTCTTGTCATTGGAATGCCGTTCTATCTGGAAATCCCATTCATGGAAAAGATGATATAAACACAGCCTCCGCCTAACGTGCAATATTTGTCAATACGTGTTAATTGTGGGCCGGGCGGTGCAATGTTTGGCTTGCTTCAAGCCTTTGCACTTATTAATCATATTGCATTACAAGCAAAGGCTGAGTTGTTTACTGTCAGAAGAGGGAAATGTACACCGGCTGACAGCATGAGTCCCCACCAACCCAGCAATCTGCAAGATCGCTGATTGTTTGTCTGCCACCTGCTGGGAATAGACTCTTTGTCAGTGCATGTGTGTACACTGTCAATGGCAGCTCTTATTCCCTGCAGACTCTTCAACGTTTGCTCTATTTTACATCTTAAACCATCAAAAGCCTGAACGCTGTTGTCTCATTCCCTGAAGATTACCACCCTGTCATTTACTGCAAATTCAGAACATGTAGCAATGGCAACTTATGAATTTATGCATTTGTGAGTTGTTGTGAGCACGATTTTGATAAAACAACGCAGTGATAAAGCTTTGCACCTCGCTCTTAAAAGCAGCAATTTCAATATCACAGTAATGAGGAGAGATGCTGTGAAATGATGAGGGTTGTTAAAACACCAGTAAGGGAAGAAATCTAAACAGTGGTACGACATGTGCTAAAATGTTTAAGGGTTTGCAGTTTAGTCACCACAGCCATTTTATTGCATTGGCAGCTTAAACGTGGAAGATTTATAGGCAGATTGCTTCGGTTATAAAGGAATTAATTGCTGTGAACTCGAGCCTTCGTTTCTCGAGGGATTTTTTTTCAGAATTTCCTTTTACGATGACTTTTCCACATTGCTTTCAGTGTGAAGACCTGGAGAACGGCGCTTTATTTTATGACTTAAAAAATACACATCGTGTGCTTTAAAACCGAGAAGCAGCAATCCCCACTACATTAAGGGCACGCTTGGCCTAAAACAATTTTTGTAAACCAGACTTGCGAACAACTTGTTTACAATGCATGATTTTGGGATTATAAAATAAGAATGGGACCACAGAGAAAATCTGGCGATAGCCGAAGGCCGGGGAGCGAAACCCTGGCTTTCATTTTCAGTCGGCGGCAATTTATTTTCTTTGGATGTCAAAATCGAGAACTTCAAACCGGACGGTGCATTTAACACAGCAATCCCTCCTTTCAAATATCAGGCTGTTGCTTTCAAACAATATCCTTAAACTTTTTACAATATCCTTCAAATCACACAGCAGAGATACCTGATTCTCCACTCAAGCTCAGCAGCAACTTTTTAACCCGCATCCAGTTGCTTCTTTCTAAGCTAATTGAAGAAGGTAAGTTTCATCAGCAGAATCTTTTCTTAAAAAACATAAATAACAGGCAGCCTTTATTTTGATCTTTTTTTGGGGGGGAGGAGGGGAGGGAGTTGGTTGGGGTGGGGTGGAAACGGCATTTCATTTAAGTAGCAAGTACTGTTGGCGCAAATTGAGGAACTGTTACCAAGAATTGACAGAGCTCCAACCACTGTGAAAGATAAATTAAATTCAGATGGAAGGTTGGACTCAATAACCAAGGCAGTTCTTCTAATGCTGATGCACACACTAAACAGTCAATAAACACACGGGGGAAAAAACAATATCGGATGTTACCATGGATTCTTCGTAACCGTTTGAATGTTCACCAAGGGAACTGAAATGCGAGACGAAAGTCACATACCTCCAAGAGGAGTCTGGCATCCTCTGTTCTGCCAATGTCAAGAAACTGCAGAAAGAGATCAGTTATCGGACCATACACACCAAAGTGGTTGGCCAATCGTTCAGCCATGACATTCACTGCGTTAAGAGACAGGAGAGAGGCAGAAAATAATTAATTCAACACAGGGTTCGTGCAGTTTCTTCTACTTGTATTCACGTCTCATCATTTAAACTAGTTATACTGATTTTGCTCATGTTCCCTAAACCCCAGAGATTCATGAGCAAAGCTACACTCCACATAGTTCGGATAGCTATGAGATGATTGACCAAGACGAATTTAACGGCAGGATTGTTGGCCGGGATATCGGGAGAGACTCCCTTCTCCCTCATGGAATCTTTTAACGTTCACCTGAAAATAAGCCCTCAATTTAAAGTCTCGCCGCAACAAGCAGCACCTTCAGTAATATATCGCAGTGTCGACTTTTGTACCATTTAAAAAAAAAACCAAGAGGGTTCAAAAAATGTGCAGCCTCAACTTGCCCACATTTCCAAAAGGCAACAATCCGTACCAACAAGAGGAGAGAAATGAAGATCACCTATTGCGGAAATAAAAAAAATTAAAGCTGCCTGCCACCGAGCAGCTGGAAAACTGTTTTGAATTGGGACATTTACATTTGACATGTGGTTTGAATCATTACATAAATGTTTGCTAGCAATCTCAATACAGTATCATCCAATACCTTGTAACTCGCCTGACTGCAGAGAGATTACACTGTGAATTTTAAAGATTTCATTTTTTTTTAGCAATTTGTTATGTTGATGTTTCTACATCTTATCAGATGACTGAACCTTTGCCGTGTATGTTACCATCTTGAAATGTCACTACTGTTTAAGTTTATTCGTCACAATTTACAATGGTGGTCAGGTTCAATGTTTTTCTTCCAAGCCAGATGGTCAAGAGGTGTAATGCCAAACCCACTGTGGGCGGACATAACAACAACAATCCTTGCATTTGATACAGCGCCTTATCACGTCTTCGAAACGTCTCAAAGCGCTTCACAGAATGTACTGTGAAGTGAGTTGACTGTATATTTTGTGGGTGAAACGCGGCAGCCAATTGCGCACATCAGCGTCCCCACAAACAGCCGTGGATTGAAGTGACTAACATTATTATTATGCTGCCAGTTCTTAACTGGAGTTCCCAGCAGATGCCATGTGTGCTATCTCAGGGCCTGGGATTAACTGTTATTTTCAGGATCTCATGAACATGAAGAGCCCAAACCAAAGGAATGCAAGGTTTTCAGTCACTATTTAATCTACAGATCTCTATCTACCTTCCAAACTATCATGCAATCTTTACCTGACACTGAGCAGGCACAATGATCTTAAAATACTTAGTCCACAAAATATACAGTCAATTTGCTCGACAGTAGCACAGTGCGAGGTCTCATGTTGTGATAAGGTACCATATCAAATGCAAGGTTTATTATTATTACTATTATTAAAATCCAGCATTGAAACCTCTGATGGGCTGCACGGTACAACTCTGTTCATACTATAAATTGAGCACATTTAAACAAAAAAAATCGGTAAATTGTGGCTGGTAGAATTGCAACCTCCACATATCTAACTCCAATGCTCCGAATCCTTTCATAATCTGTCCTTTGGATGAGACGTTAAACTGATGTCTCACCTATTTTCACAGATTTAAAAATCCCATGACACGATTCAGTGTCCCGAGAAACAGCTCTCCAGATAAAACGTGTAACTGTGTGCAAATTGGGTACCATGTTTTCCTACAAGTACACAATCACTTCCCTCATCAGCAAATACCTGTAAACCATTTTGAAACACTTTAACGCTGTAGGCGCTCTACCAAATGTAAGGATTATTATCAATTCCACAGTAACCCCGAACACCTTATTCCCCTTTCATTTCCATCCATGGATTTGAAACCCGATTAGTTCTTCCAGACTGAAATTTTCTGTCATTTCTCTCCATTTGCATCCAACCAATTTTTGGGGTTAAGATTTAAGAAGCTAAACATTCACAAGAGGGAGAAGAAGGAAATAAAGGGAGTTTGGAAGGCAGTAAGGAGTAGGGGGGGAGACCTGTGGAGTCACTGACACCGATTGGGTCTAATGTCATGTTTCCGTGCTGTTAAAGGTCTTTGTAAATATTTGTAACATGTCACTGGCAGTATGGTACTTATGGGAAGTAGGGTACTTCGGCGCAACTTTGTCATCTCACTTCACAAACGCTGCACTTATTGTTAATTATTAAGTTATTATCCTCTTCAATCGTGCCTTCGGTCACCCTTCTACCCCTACCCTCCCTGCCCTCCACCAATCCTGATCCCTGCTCAGGTCCAAATCCCTGATTGTCCAGCGCCTTGGGTCGTCCTCCCGACGTGAAAGGCGCTGTACGAAGGTAGTTTCTTCTTAGTGAAATATAAAAAAAGATGAAAAAAAACACATTTTACAGAAAAATAATGCTTTACATTTGTCCACCGCATCTTCACACTTTTCTTCCAAAATCCTTCGGAACACGTAGGCCATACTTGTTACTTGCTGAGGGTGATTTTCTCCCGGCATATAGAGTGGCTCCACATACTCAACTGCTGCATCAATATTATTACTGCAAGATGACGAGAGAGACAAGAGAAACTAAATATTAGTGTGTGATTTTTAAAACACCAGCAGAAAACAAAGGAAAATTATAGAAAAGGAGTCAATCTTAATTTTTTTCACATAAACATTACAAAACAAAGGAATGAGACTTTTTTTTGCTGTACAGTTGTTATTGCGGCCAAGCGGAAAGCATAAAACTAGGAAAGGAATTTACGGCTGAACAGATGCAATCAGCAGTAATCAGATGCATGACTGTAACAAACTATGACCTTGATGAGCCAAAGTCACCACAGTGAACTTTTTTTTAAGCTTATGTTAAATAAAAGGGACTGTTGGGTTGTTATGTGTGCTCTCAGTCACTCATAACACGCGGCGCTGAATCCTTAAAACATGCAAATATTGCATTAAAGCATTGTCTTTGAATAATTCAAGCTTTAAAGTCATAACAATCTTGATTATTCAATTAAATATTTATCACCCTATATGTGTCCCCTCTGCAGCTGCCATTTAGTTGGAAGAAGCATGTCGGAGTTAACTTACTCTTCAAAGTATACACAAAGGGTTGAGAGATTAGGTAGATGTGGACACAAACTTGCACGAACAGCCCGATCCTTAGCTAAAGCAAGGCTGGGATTTGTAATGGCTCTGGACAGTACATGTCACTAATACTCCCCAAAGCAGAGGAGTAGATTTCCGAGACACTCTGATGTTTGGCAAGAAGTGTTGGGACACTATTGAACAAATCCTTAACACAGTGATTGCACCAAACATAATGCTGAATGCCAAGGAAACAGAGCGAGCCCAGCACATTTCCACCCATGCTGAAGAAAGGAGAACAGTGTGCAGGGCTGAATTATATGCAATCGACAACGTAATGATAAGATTATACGCCACACTGCTCAATGAAACATCCTCATATTCCGAGAAGTGAAGCTCATAACTGAGAACAATAATAATCCTTGCATTTGATATAGCGCTTTTCACGACTTCTAGACGTCTCAAAGTGCTTCACGGAATATAATGCAAAGTGAATTGACTATATATTTGTGGGCGAAAGGCAGCAGCCAAATGCGCACAGCAGTGTCCCACAAACAGTCATGGATTGAAGCGACCAATTTATTATTGTTTTTTTTCTTGAGGGATTATTATTAGGCGTGTGGAGTAAGGAAACTTGCCCATGGTTTCATCCCGCCGGGAATCGAACCCAGGTCTCTCACTTGAGAGGCGAGTGCTCTAACTATTGAGCTACAGGACTCAACGAAAGACGACAAAGTGGAAGGGAATGTCCACCAAACTAGAGAAAAAAAAGTATGAAAACCTATGTTTGAAAAGCTGACGTAGCCTCAAGAAAAAGGTTGGAAATGCTGCTGCTGCCAACTTTATTTTAGAAAAACACACATTATTTTCAGGCTCAGCTATCTTGATTAGAATCCTATTTTGAAGCAACAGCAGTTATGTTCTACAAAGATTCTCGCTGATGATTCACTTACTTCTTAATGTGAGCCAACAGCAGGTTATTGATAAAGAGCATTTTGGACAAATGGATGGACTGTCCCAGGTCTTGCATGGTCCTCTCCAGAAAATTAATGTGATCCACATCCCCCTTCGAACCAAAGGCCTGGACGAGTCGTGTCACAGATAGCTGGCTCGGTACTTGTCCAGCTTTCAGCATTTCAGTCAGTGTCGTTTTCGCTTCTAAACGGGAAACAATCAAGGACAAAAACTTGGTCAGAATTAGAACTCAATCCAACGATCGTTTCGCAAGAGGTGAATTTCACCGTTCCCAGTAGAAGGCCACTCAGACCGTTGAACCCGTGAAACAGTTACCTTGCTCAAACTCCGACATGTTTATCTTTCATTTATTTGCCAAATTCCCTTTTAAAAGCTCTCAAGTATTTTGTGTTTTAACCATCACAGTTTTTGGTTAAGCTATTCTATGCTCCAATAACTTGTAAGGGCAAAAACTCTCTTAACCTCTCACTTGGGTTTGTTTCGGTGATTATCTTTAAACACTGGAACTAATTTCTCTCCGTTTGCTATAATTTTGAACACTTTTATCAAGTCTCCTCTTAACCTTCTTTATTCTAATGAAAACAGCCACAATTTCTGTGCTGTTTCCTCCCAGGCCTGGTATTATCCTATTTCATCTTCTCTGTAACCGTTCCACAGCTTTGACATCTTTTCTAAAATGGGGCACCCAAATTTGTTGCCTCTCTATGTGGAATGACACTGACAATGAGCTCTAGTCCCTAGAAATCCACCTTCAGTTTACTTATGGACATATGGAATGTCTCCCCCATAGGTATCAAACACAATTTAAAGGGCAATACTCTCACGGTGTATCTTTTAAGTAACTAACTGCGGAAAAAGAGACTGAAGACAATTAATAAAAAAAACTTCCAATGAATACCTGTGAAAACTACGTCGCCAATTAATCTCTTCTATCTTACATGTCGGTGTTCATTTCCCCAGTTTTATGATTTAATTTCTTCAAGGAAAAAAATGGTCTTATTTGGGGAGGAGACAAGGGATAAAATAGCCTTCAGGCTTTTTATTTCACATTTAATTTTCATTTAATGTGTAAAGTTTTGGCACTCCAAAACAGTGATCGAAAGGCACACTTGGAAAGTGAAACTGAAATGAAATTGGGTTAATACACGTAATACCAGTTTATTTATTTCTAAAAATTGCATCTCCGAATTACTTGCTTTTTGAAGATGTTCATTTTTCAATGCAACCAGGGAGCGCAATACAAAGGAAATAGTTCCCGCAATAAAACTCGAGAGATACTCATCATCACAGCATGGTAAATGCAAAGGCTTGACTATTTAAAAAAATAGTACATTTAATGGATTCTAGAATAGAAAGTGCTACCACATAAAAAATTCATAGCGGCAGACTTCGATTTTGCATAAATCTGTCTGAAAAGCACTGCTGTATTATTGAAAGAAGTGACTATTGTCAGGATTGCAAACAAAACGACTTAAAAATAACCATATACCCCAAATCTTAAAAAAAAAGTACTGCCTGGCACGTAATTTATACAGAAGTACAACTTGCAGTGGTTCAGCTATGATTAAAATGCCTTTGAGCACAATTAAACTTTGTTCCTAACTTCTGTAATCCTAAAACTAAAGAATAAAATCCTTCTTAAATTTGTTCTTCACAGAAACAAACGGACCTAGGACATCATAGGAAATGTGACCAAGGCTAACTCATGGCTGCACAACATTAACCTTAGCAAACGGTAATTGCAATTGAATGGGGTTCAAGTTTAAACGGAAAAATAAAAACGACACAAATTGAAACTGCCTTTGCGTTTATTTGTGAGTAACTTATTAATAGTGATGCACACTTATTTATTTGTCATTTTGCCATTTATCATTTAGCAATTACTGAAACATTCAACTGTACAAATTCAACTATTAAAAGATATATTTATAAACCAGTGTCGCCAGATAGAAAGCGTCCCCTCAAATCACTCAGCAAAAGACAAAAAAAGTTCCTATTTAACCACGGAAACAAAATCTCAATGTTGGCCATCGCTGCTCTGTTATTAAGGTTTCCTGTGGGCTATTTTGTTGTTGAAACAAACAAAATTTTCAAGGTAAATTTGCTCATTCATCCATTTCGAAAATTCTTGAAAGCTTGGTACTTTTTTTCCTCTCCAGTCTAGCAAGCTTTGCAGCCCACAGCTTCAACTAAGACAAAACCATCCTCTGTTAAATGGAATGGAAACTGGACTAAGTGGCCAAATGACAAGTACATTCATATTCAGCTTCAGCTGTATTATAGATGCATATATAGTAATTTATGTCTCTCAGCTACTACAAAAGACTCTTGATAAGCAGGTAATTTGCTAAATGGACTCCTTTATCAGAGCATTCGAAAGGCGTTACATGAAAATCTGCAGAGGCATTAACATGATGTAAAGGTCATAATGTGTGACATACCTTTCAGATTATCCCGCCTAACTTGCGTTATGATGAGTAGGCTGTTGGCAGCGTCGTTCAGTGTAAAGCCCTTGATGCGGGTCTCAACTCTAAAGAAGCAGACATTTAGAAAGGAATTACTGACATGCTTCTGATACGATAATAAATGGTTGAGACTGAGGTGAAATTATAAAAACTACCATTCCAATGTTAAAAATTTTGCCACAAATGTCGACCTGTAGACAGCTTTTATGTTGGAACGTCAAATGTTGAAGGACTGTTCCCCCCCCCCCCACCTCACTTTCATTTTTTGGTTCTGACAGCTGCCATAAGTACCCTCGGCAGCAGGAAAGAGAACGGTTTAAGCAAGTGGTCTAGTGTGGGAAACATTTTATCGCTTAGACGTAAAGGCGTTAAGATAGTAAAGAAGACGCTGTTCAATCACAGATTGCAGATGGCTTGGGAGAGCGGTGGGGAATTGTGAGTTCTTGCTGGTCTCTTTGACTTGCCACAAGGCCAGAGTCACATAACGACAGTCACCAGCATCAAGCACCAACTGTAGTTTCACACACCAGCGCCTGAGACATTTGGTTTATGCTATGGGCTTGCACACTGCAGTAGAATCCTGGGGCACTTTTACCAGCTTCATAATTATTAATAAGCCAAAGCCCTGATGGGGAGGGTGGTTCCAGCTGGACAAGCAGCTTTTTATTTAAAATAAATCTCACCCCTCCCCAGTTACTTTCAAAATTGGTGACGTTTTGAATTATGGGCCTTGGTCCTTGACCAAGATTTTTCCAATTGAGGAAAGAACGACCCCTGCATGCCAGATAATCAAGACCAATTTTATAATAATAATATCGGAGGGATTGTTGAGGCAGAGCATTGAGAGAAACTTCCTCCCTTTTTAGAATAGGGCCACGGGATCCATAACGTGCACCTGAACCAGGCAGATGGGGCCTCGGTTTAACGTCTCACCTGACCCACCGCCAACAACGCAGGGTACCCAGAATCGCATCGGAGTGACAGCCTAGACTATGTGAATTCAAAATCCTAAAGTAGGGCTTGAACCCACTGTCTTCCGACTTAGGGGCAAGGGTGTTACCAAGAGCGCCGCCTGGTTGATCCAAAGACACTGCTTGAAAAGAGTCAGCAATTTCCCCTGGTGTCCTGGTCAACAGGCCATCAATTGGTCAATCCTCTCCTGCTTGTTTGGAGAACACTGCTTTGTGCAAGACTGCCACACGTGCCTAAAAAACACGACACTTCACAACAAACACCGTAACACGCTCGGAGATGTCCCAAATCGCAAATTCTTTTTTAAACTTCGTTTTTTGTTTAAAAAAGAGCGCAAGCTTTGACTTTGTGTAACAGCCGGTGAATTGGTTCGATTCCTTGAAAGCACTTCCCGTAGATGCTCGAAATCAAACCGCTCGGTTATGTACTGTACTTTAAAGCATCGAGTTGGGAGGGAGAACAGCCTTCAATGGGTGTGTGAACAGGGCATTAGATGTCAAAGGGCATGGAAGTAGAAAAGCGCCAATTTGTGCAAGAAAAGGCGCATAAACTGAACCGCGCTGTCCGCACAATTTTTCAGAGGACGGTACGAGCTGAACTTGAACAATCATCTTGCAGCACTGAACTGAGCAGCGTTCCTCCACTCCAAGCTCATTACCCGACCCCAAGGATTTTGCAGATCGGAAGGGAATCAGGGTTGTGGGTGAATTATTGTGATCAATCCAAAAAAAAAAATCCTTCCAACAGTACAAAACAACACTATCCTCGGTCACTTTCAGCCTCCAGGGCTCAATATTACAGCATCAGTCTCTGGATTTCCTTACTCTCAGAGCCAATCCTCTTAATCCCCGTCTAAGCACCTATTGCTCAGTCGTGATTTCTCCTTTTCCCATCTGTCATAGTCTTAAATCAACCATGAGACAGTATTGCATACAGTGACGGATTTGCTTCCCGCTATCTTCAAATCTTCTCTGCGATTAAAATGTTGGAACTATTGTCAAGGCATTAATCTTCGATTCGATCGAGCCAGCCAAACAGACACATTTTTTCTCCCCCCCCCCACCCCGTCGTCCAAAAAAACTAAACTCACATGCTTTTCACATTCATGGCCTCCTCCAAAAGCCCATCGCTCAGTAAAGTCTTCAGGAGAGCAGAATAAGCAGATAAGCTGAGCACCAGTCCCTTCTTTTCAGCTTCCAGGAAAACCTGATGAGCCTCTAATGAAAGTGAAAAGAACTTCCATTAAAAGAGGATTATGGTGAACATACCATTTTCTGCTAATGTTTACAAGCCCTTTTTTTTAAAAAAAAGGCAAAGAAAAACTCATTTTCAACAGCTTAAAAAAGAAACCATTAAGATTATTCCTTCAGTCTTTAGTGTCCTCCAGTACTGAGGGTTTAATTCTTAACTTTGTGAAAGCCATGCCAAAGGCTAAAAAAAAATCCATTAGTTTTTAATGAGCAACATTTTTTTGCCTGGATCTTACTGTAAATTAATTTTTCTTCTTAAAAAAAAGATTTAGCATTGCTGCATTGTGTGTGTCCTTTTTGAATGTCATCTTTCCAGACTTCCCTCCTTCCCGAGATTGGGTTACAATTCAATGAAGGCCTGGGTGACAATCATTAGTATTTTAAGTTAAATTGAATTGATAGCCCACGTTGTGATTCCACTACCGGAGAGGGTGGGGCAGTGTTTAAAGTGTTAAACCAAGATCTTGTCTTTCTGTCCTCAGGTGGATGTTAAAGATCGCACGCTGTTTGAAGGGAAGAGAGCTTTTCCTGGTGCCCTTGATCAACAATCCTCCAGAAGAAAATGTGGTTGTCCACCTCATGATTGTTCGTGGGACCTTGGTACGTGCTAAACTGCTGCCACGTCTGTCTACGTATCGACAGGACCCTGCACTCGACAGCAAATCCTGGGAAGCTGTTTGTGACCTTGACATTACAGTCACCACATCAACTAACCAGTGAAACTCATAGCCCTTGCAACTTGCTGCCTCTGCTCGACAGGTTCCTTCTGCATGTCCCTCGTGCCACCGTCGGTGGCCGCTCTTTCAGCCACTACCCCCGAAACTCTGGAACACTCTTCCTCTATCCCTCTGCCTTGCCTTTTCCTTCCCCATCTTCAGGTCGCGTCTGAAGACCTACCTATTCGATTGTGCCTACGGTGCACTTCCCCCGGTCTGGCGTCGTGCTACACCACTGTCAAGCGCTCTGGGACGCTACCCTGTGTGACGGGGGCTATATAAATGCAAGTTGTTGTTAAAATGTTGGGCAAAGTACTTGGGTATACAACACTTCAGGGTGAACCATGGTCACACTACAGCACGCTGGAAAACGGAAACACCACTATAATTCTGAGTTTCATTTAGAAACTGCCATCTCCAAGGGAGTGGGAATAAGTTTGACATACATTTTGTTTCTAAAAACCCCCCCTACCTACAGACACACAGAGAAAACTATTTACTCCCACATTTCCAGGGTAGGGAAAGGTGGGCAGAATTGAAGCCGTAGGAATTCAGTGGGCACAATGAATTTCTCTATTCTCCAATGTTACCAACAACAGTGGTTTATAGAAATTGACTTGGTTTTATCGAGTCTCAATTCTGAAAGCAGACAGTTTTGAAAAAAAAACACATATAAATTTGTGAGGTTATGGAGAGCATCATTGCAGTAAATCTGGCTAGTCCCTAGTAAAGAAAAAAAACATGAGGTCAGAGATCAGGACATATTCCTCTACAAAGACTGTAATCGCCATCTGGAACAGTTACCAGAAAGGGTGGTAGAGGTCAGGGCACTGGGCTCATTTAAGAAAAATAAGAGTCATAATGTTGAAGAATTAGATTAAAAGGACTTAAACGGCTTTCTTCACCCAAACGTCTCTCGCGATCTGGTTTCAACTTTGCATGGAAACCGAATCACAGGTTTTATTCACAGACGAACCTCAAAATTAAGCTATTTGACTTAATTTGAGTTTGATGTATCACATTAAGAGAGGCAAGCGGAAACCAGGAAATCTTTTTTCCCCCCCCCTTCCCTCAGATCAGGAAAATACCATGAAAAGAGAATTGACACCAGTCTTACCTCGAACACTGTTCTTCTTACAAAGGACATGTATTCTGTGCTCAAGGTCACTGGGAGTAAAATCAGCTCTGTTCCTGTTAGAGGCTGGCGGGGCAGGCGAGGTAAATGTCACTGCCTCCTCGTACCATGTCTGCAGAGAATTATCATTACAACAAAAGTGGTCAGAGCCTTGCAAGCTAAGCACAACCATAACTCTCAAATCCAGAATACAAATGCACCCCCTTCCCCCTTTTCATCAGTGTGAATATCCACAGGATCTGTGGTCGATTGCACTTACAATTTTCCTCATTCACAGAACTTCCAGGTAAACTTTCATGACAGCATAAAGATTTATGTTTGAGATGAGCACCATAGGAGTTGCAGTTTACGCATAATTAAAACAACACAATAGGAACCATGTCATTTACTCCTGTGGTTGCCCCTTCAGGTCGAGACCTGCAAAAAACATTTGCATTTTGTACAGTACTGTGAAGTAACCCGAGCAGGAGTGGGAAAAGAGCCTTACTTTCATCGCACGTTCCAACCAGCTAAAGCAGAACACAAAGAAATGCATTTTACAATTCATTGGGCTGTGCATTGCATGGTAATGGCTTACCAGTTATTTTGTATGGCTCTGTCTATATAAAAAGACCTGGAAGCTTTCCCACTTTCCATCAAGAGGGAAGCAAGCAGACCGAAAAAAAGGATGGGAGCCGTCAAAAAAAAAAAGGGTAACTGCAATAGATCAGACTCCAAAGTGTTCAAGCAGGGAATGCAAAACACAAATCGTTTTCTTCCATTTAGTACTGTAAATAGTATTGTAATATTCCATTTAGCTTGCTCGAGAACAGCACCTCATCTATCTGCTAGGGACCTTACAGCCTCAATATTGATTTCAATAATTTCAAACCATAACAGCTCACCTTCCCCCTCTTTTGTAACCATTACCACATCATCTGGGTCCCAGACACACCTTTTCTCTCTCTCTGGTCTGCCTGTTCTGTTGCAATTCCCCCCCCCACCTCTTTTGATTTGCGTTATTAACATCTCGTTTCCCCTGTTTTGTTGCAACCCCCACACCCGTTGTTTTGCATCACTAACACTTCTTTAACCCGTCATCCCCTGTCCTCTACCCCATTTTCTCTTTCATCTTCCTTGCCCTACCTCCCCTCTCTCCGTTAGTCCTTGATAGCCTCTCACTCCCAGTTCTGACGAAGGGTTGTGGATCCGTAAACGTTGACTCAGTTTCCTTCCTCCATGGATGCTGCCTGACTTGCTGAGTGTTCCCAGCGACTTCTGTTTTTGTTTCAGGTTCCCAGCATCTGCGGTATTCTGCATTTTGTAGGACAGTAGTCTTATCTCATGGTTATAAAAACTGAAGTGGTTTATAACAATCCTCTGGACCTTGATATTTCATGTAGAGTTCCGTACAATAGATCAGGCCTCCTGATACTGGCTTGGTTTACGTTTCCTACACAAGCCACAAGTGGAACCTTTGCAGCACCTTGCGGCAAAGATACCCAGCCACCAAATACACTTGTCTCATGTAGCTTCTTGTCGACTGTATTTCACGTGCTTTAGGAGCGACAAAAAGCACCTCAATAAAGAGGCCTGTAAGGCTCAAGACAACCGGTCTATCGACAATTTCTTTTTTGTAGACACTGAAGGACATTAGCACGAATAGGACACAATGAATTCCGCACGAACACCCCTGTGCTACCAAGACACTGAATCAACCACAAAGAATAGCTCTCAGACCTGCGTGATGTGAAGCAACTCAACTATTCTACATAACAAAACACAACCCTGTATTGTACATTACATTGTGATATTTTTCATTTTGCACACCGGCCATCCTGTGGCCATTCAAAATGAGATTGTCAATTTAAGGCAGAATCAAGGGTAGCTTTGTGCTGTGAGCCCAAGCCTGCTCGGGATTGGACCGAAGCTCCCTAATACTTCCAAATCTTTAATTAAGCTTTCACGAAGATTTAACTAATGCAAGTTACGTTCACAGCATTTAAAGAGAATATGATTCACCTCAGGAACTTCGAACGGGACTTCTTGACCGTTGCTCTTGAGAATTTCAGCCAGTAATCGGAGGGTACGTTCTCGTGGTATCACATTCTCCTCCTGCATTTTGGTCCACGTTGCATCAGCTTTTCGCCAATCGTTATTTTCCTCTGTTTAAAGCAATTTAACAAGTTAGAGCAGACAGGAGCAAGACGGGGTCAACAGAAAATAAATGAGACGAGGAAAAGAAAATAGGTTTAAGAACAAATGTAATCATTAGCTTTAAAACTTTTATGCCAGTAAAGTCCATTTCTTTGCCTTTAAAACCCCAAATATCCAATCAACCCAGCCGAGGAACATAATATTTCCAGATTAAAGAACTCATATGAAGCTATGCGCATTTAAAATCACCATAGTCAACATACAAGCAATGTTCAAAATACTACAAGCTTTAAAAATATAAAACCAATTTACTAAATGTTTTTTATTTAACTGCTTATAGTGTTCAAAATAACGTACAAAACAAAAATGAGTCATGGTAGCAAAACCTCCATTTCAAAAGTCCAGGTTTCTATCTTGGGATGATACCCTGATCCTTCTGTACTACTTGGTCACTCAATCCACGATTATTTGTGGAACGCTGCTGTGTGCAATTGGCTGCTGCGTTTCGCCCACAAAATATACAGTCAATTCACTTTACAGTATATTCTGTGAAGAGCTTTGAGATGTCTCGAAGACATGATAACGTGCTATATCAAATGCAAGGATTATCATTAAGGCCTTTAAATAAATAGCTGATGGATAGAAGCACTCAAGCCTCATGTATAATAATAATCCTTGCATTTGATATAGAGCCTTATCACATCGAGACGTCTCAAAGTGCTTCACAGTGAACTGAAAAGTGAGTTGACTGTATATTCTGTAGGCGAAATGCGGCAGCCAATTGTGCACAGCAGTGTCCCACAAACAGTAGTGCCTTGAGTGACAAAATTATTTATTTAGTTATTTTGAAGGGATTATTAGCCCCGGAAAGCGATCCACCAATCGCTTTCTGGTGGTGATAATCGGAAAAAATACTTTTGCAAGGAAACACCAAAAATGGCAAATCCAATGAGTACAAAGTAAGAGCATGAATACAGCTGGAAATTCTGCTCCCTCTTTGTCTCTGAAGAGCAATTTTGAGAACAACCATGTTCCTACTTAACTGCTATGTAACAGAGGCGTGTGGAACCTCGCCTAAGGTTTCGCCCCGTCTGGGAATTGAACCTGGGTCCTTTTGCCTGCGAATCGAGTGCTCTAACCAATATGCTACAGGATTCTTGTATTTAAAACCTCTTTCCAAAACCTCTTTGCCAACTCTCCCTACCTTCAAAACCATCTTAAAAACATCTAAATCTCTCCCACTTAATGTTCCCATCATATCTTCTAAATGTGCTGATGCTTTGAGATGTTCAATCTATATGAAAGGAGCCTGTATAAGTGTGATTATTACTGAGGCATACGAAAACAGTATTCATGAGAGGAAACCATACTGGTGAAGGCACTGTTTTCCCCTTTACAATGAGTGACATCATTAATTATTCTTACAATTAAGTGCAACTATCTCCCCGAACCACATCAACAGCCTGACATTTTCACTTTTCATATCGTCTAACCTCAGTGTCTTGGAGCAAGTAAGCCAAATTAGAAACACATTTTAAAGGTGGTTTTGTGCCCCAGGCTCATGTCCAATTGGATATGGCCTGAGACTCCCTAGACGGATGTATCTTAGGGCTCTTCACAACCTGAGAAATACAACACAGAACACCTTTATATTGGACACAATCCAACCCCTGGTCTTAAACTTTTTAAAGGACATTCTGCACAAAGTGCATTGTTGCTACTTTAAAACTTCTGTGTTATTACTTCCACAGGAAACATTCAACGCAGTCACGGTTCCCAATTCATTAAAGTAGGACATAACACTTCACCAACAGTTATTGACTCAAAAGATCTGGTGTCTGGTGTTAGGCATTATTTTTCTTTACAGGCTTCTTTACAGGAAGTACTTTACAAGTTGATTTACAAGACAAACACAAGGAGCCTCAAATGGATCATCACAAATGCTCTACAGGGCAGGGAGACTTGCTGATCTCATTGACTGACCGAAAGAAGTACGTTTGCCAGTACTTTGCCACACCTCCACCTCTCCAAAATGAATCTCACAAACAATGAATCTCCTTATAGTGGAAGAGATACAAAAGGGCATCTCTTTTACCCTGTTAACAAACTGCACAACCTTTTAGGTTTTGTATCTATTCTAATACATAAAAGTAGCTCCCCAACAGGCAGCGTGCAACAGAACAAGGTTAAGCTAGATTCAATAATAATAATAATAATCCTTGCATTTGATATTGCGCTTTTCACTTCGGGAGGACATCCCAAAGCGCTTCACAGAACACACTGTAAAGTGAATTGACTGTATATTTGTGGGCGAACGCGGCAGCCAATTGCGCACAGCAATGTCCCACAAACAGTTGTAGATTGAAAATGACCAATTTATTATTGTTTTTGGTTTTGGAGGGATTATTATTAGGCTCTGTGTGGAGTAAGGAAACTTGCCCAAGGTTCCCCCTGCCGGGAATTGAACTCAGGTCTCTCGCTTGCAAAGCGAATGCTCTAACCACTGAGCCACAGGACTCCACTACCATAATCAATCAAAGTATTGCAGCACAGAAATAGATTGTTTTCCCCACATGAGCCATGCAATTTATAAGCAGGGCTTCTGATTTTGGGTGGTGGGGTGGGTATTCTTAGTAATTTTTTTAAAGCAATTTTACAGTGTTTATAATTCGGTGTTTTTCAGGGCTTTTGTTAGTCTAGTGAGAAAACAAGCCTGAACACGTGGAGGGGACAGAGGCACCCTGACACGTGAGCAGTAGCTCTCTCTCCTTCTCAACCGCTTCACCAGACTGTCCTGGATCCAATCACATTTTTAAGTCGGAAGTAGACAGATATTTGTTAGGTCAGGGAATTAAAGGATATGCGGCAAGGTTTTTTTTTGAGTTAATAACGAAAATCAGAAGCCCTAATTATAAGCCTTTAATATTCTTTTCGAGCATCACTTTTCATGTCCTCTGAACAACAAGAGGGCTATTGCAATCATAATGCTATTTAACGGGTGCAATACTTGGGAAGGTTTACACAATGTACCGTATTTTGTTCACAGTGATTTCAAACTCTTGAAAAACACAGCTCTGATTTTTTTTATGATCCATCCAGAGCAGAAGTATAATTGCGGTCCTTAAAGAGGGTAAAAGATAACTTGAAGAAAATCCACTCACTGAAAAACCTCAGCAGGTAGAAGTACATCTGGTCTCGATCGCACTCAAATAGCTTCTCAGTCATTTGCACCATGTTCTCAAGCGCTTCAACCTGGAGCAATCATTGAAAAAATGTTTCAGAAATTAACATCGTTGACTCAAAGTTCCTCTCTTGATACCAAAAAGGTTTGCAAATGGCCCAATTATAAGAAGTGGGATTAAATCTACAATCATCAGGTTATATCTGGCAGGATAGCTGTCCTGGGCTGCTGTGTGGCATCTTTTATTTATTTTTTAAAAAATCATTAAAGCCCTCAAACACTGCAGAAGTTCATGTCAATTAGTGCACAGGTTATAACTGAAAAAAGTAATTGGATTGGCCAATCCAGGAGACATTAACACACTGACAAACACTCCAGCAGGTTTTAGCCTGGAGGAGCAGAAAGAAAGCAGATTGAACCCACTCTTGGCTATTTATATCACGGAATAAAAACGCTCATCACCACTAATTGGACAAATTTCAAGCAGCACTGGTAATAATAGGAAAAATACTGTTTTAATAAAAACACACAACCCCAAAACTGCTGGGGAATAACCACATGCAGTCAGTGTGCTGCTGAAAGTGAGCAATAATCGGACGGTGGCAATATTGCAAGCAGTGCTGATTTTGAAAGTAGCCCTTTACCATACATTAATAATCCCTCCTGTCCAGCAGGTTTATTGATTAAACTATATGTCACGGATGAAAAGACGTTATTCTTAAAGAAGCTTTGAACTTTATAACCACTGACGCGATTTAGTTAAACCGGTCAGATTGTAGTCCAATTCAGGGCTACGGTATTCCGATGTGTTAAATGCCCGATCGTGACAGCAATGACATATTGATGTTATAGGTGCTACGTGAAATGGAAAGATTGTAGTTTATTACAATCGCAATGTACAAGTTTAACCCAGGCGTTTTCCACAGAAACTCGCGGAGAAAAAAGGAAGTTAGAACCACTTGGGCTCCTTGCAGTTAGGTTCAGAGCAGCGCTCACAAGTGTTCAGTGCACACACCGCTCAGATGACCTTTGGCATGGAATACTTGCTCTTAAGTATGAGAAATCACCCTAAATATATATATAATATATATATATGACAGACAGATAGATCACAAGCTTCTGCTTGTGCATGATCACATTATAAAACTATTTACAAACTGTTCTATCTAATACAATTTACAATTAATACACTATTTTTTTTTACAACAAAAACAAAAAAAATCCAGTCAATTGGAGCGCTTGGATGGTGCTTTGTTTTTGATGGTATAACACACGCCGTAACATTTCTCGCAACCCTATTGATAAAGCAGCTGGTCTGCATTGCAAACTTCGCTTCAAAACTGACCGTGATCAGCATAACCTTGGTTTAACTTAGTGTTCAAAGTCAAACATATAACCCTCTGAGAAGCACACAATTTTATATGTATGTATATATATATATATATAAAAAGTATATATATACATATATACACTTAACAAGCAGTTAGCACATTCCAATTTATTTTATTCAGCAGTGGTATTTGTTAAGAGTGCTCAAAGCAAGGTCTAGTCAACTTTTTGGGAGATACACCGAGATTGGAAAATCGGCAGACAGTGTTGGAAGTATATATGGCCGCAATCTAACTTTTTCAAAATTTTCTTTAGATATTCATGTTCCATTAACTGGGAAAGCACAAAGCTTGACCTACCTGGTTCATGGCTGTGCACTTATCCGCAAACCACTGAAGCCTCCCCGGACGTGATCTGAGGCCCGGAGTCTGCAGAGAGAAATGTATTTCATAAAAATGTGCAGGTTAATAGAGGCCACTCGAATAAAAATGAATACATTTCCTGGTATAATTTTAATGTTTTAAGCTTGTATGGACGTTCTTATACCTAAAATTACCAAACAATCGTTTGACATACATATTTGTGGTGATATACAAAATTTACCAACACAGCAATGCAATTAGTTCCTTTCCCCCCAAAAAATCTACACAAATCACATAACACAGTTTTTACATAATCAGATGTTTTTATGCCTGTTCCATAAAACATCCGTGACCTATGGCATCTATCCTCAAGACGCTTAACATGTCTACATTAGTTCACGGTGAGTAAAAGATTTGTTTAATATCGAGTTTATGTGAATTCATTTAATTTCACTAAAAAAATCCGTCATTGTAGTTTTTTTTATTTAATATTTAACAAGGTACGTAAAGATGCTTAATCCTGACTAATTTAAAAATGTTACATTTACAATCAGATTGAGTGTGCTAAGTCTCTAAATTTAGAAGGACTTAAATAACATTCACTAACTCTTTAATTATTCTAAAATCAATCTGGTAGCACTCCAGAAGTTCGGAACAAGTTCAGATTCCCTACAATCAATTTGATGGTGTGCATAAATTCTATTGCTAACTTTATCACGAAAGTTGGTTTATACAAGAACTGCAGCATGTAATTAAATATTACACGAGTCGTTCCTGAAAATTAAATAGGGCTTTGATAGTAAGTAAAGGACAAATGGTACATTTGATTACAACTTTCAATATCGTCGCTTATCCAAATGACACTGATCTCAACAATACACAAATCCACAACATGCAGTGTATTAAATCTGCTGTGTTTAGACTTGATTGATGTGCCTGTCATTTCAAGGACAGCTAAGCAATAACACAGATATCCTTCAGTTTCATTCTGATATGGAGAACAGTTTTCACTTACAATAAGTCTCAATCCTCAAAAGAACATCTAGGTCAGCTTAACTAAATCTCCTATCCTCAGTGGATGTTCTACATTTACGGCTTATTGCTCACATACTAAGTACTGCTTTACTAACCAAGGTACCTATAAATTGCAGAACTGCCACAATTTATACAAGACTTAAACAGCCATTTTACACAATTTTGTGGTTTGAAATTACTTTCGTTGGAACGGGAAACTGTTTGATGTCCTTCATTCATACATTGTTCTCTTGCATATGCCTGAAATAAACTACAGTTTATATTCCCCAAGCATGACAACACTCCCAGTTCACACAATTAGATATAAAAAAAGGGTTAAACTGAATTTTTTTCTCCTGAAACACTGCTAAATAAACAGAACATCTTGCTTATTTATTTGCATCCATGTCAAAATCCAACAAAGATTCTCAATTAAATGTTCCCAAAGATGGAATCAAATAATTATTCCAATCTATCTTACATTAACATAATATATTGGGACTACGACAAGATCGTTTACACCGATTTTCTTAACTCCCAAGAATTCCTTTAAAAGTGCAGCTATCAGCACCCACATAATGTGACCTCATAGCACTATAGCAAACCGCCAAAGACACTTTCATTCCCATATTTTAGATTAAATACATTTAAAGCCATGCAAATTCCGTAAACCCAATACCAAATGATGCATGTTACAAATCTGTATCTAAACTAACATACTCAGAGCAATTTCACTCTACATCTGTTGTGGGACGCTTCCATCGGAGTTGTTCAAGCCTTTCTTATTACGTGTACAAGCGGAACTGTGCTCACACTTGTCAGATTAGGATTTTAGCTTTAGCCTAAAACTCCACATTGATTGATTTCGTTGCAGAACCGTTTCCTCTGATATCAGTATTTTCGAAGTGTACACAAGTCTCACATTGTCTGAAAGTTGAACAAAATGGTAAAAAGGGTTTCTAATAATCAACTGAACACCTCCAATACCTTGGTGGGGATGCGGGAGGTCACGTGGACACACTTGCATCGATTAACAACAGTACCACAAATCAATTACCGCGGGTCTTGGCTGCTTGGTGCTATGGGTGATTGCAGTAGAGCCCCAGTTATCCACATGCCAATTATTCACAAGTTTTGTTCATCCACATGGGCAAGTGGAACAACACAAGACAACAACAACAAGATTTCATTTATATAGCGCCTTTCACGTCGGGAGGACGTCCCAAGGCGCTGGACAGTTGGGTCGGGACCCGAGCATTGGGGGGAAATGGTGAGGGGAGGGAGCGAGGAGGGGGTAGAGAGTCGAGAGGGGAGCTGAAGGCACGGTCGAAGAGAAAGGTCTTGAGACCGGCCTTGAAGGAGGAAAGGGAGGAAGCGGCGAAGGCACTGGGGGATGGAGTTCCAGAGCCTCGGGGTGAGAGGCTGAAGGCCCGGCCACCGATGGAACAGTCTACAGTTTAGGATTAGAGGTAAAGATTTTGTGGAGAAAAAAAAGTTACAGAAGCTCAGAGAGAGAGAGAGAGAGAGAGAGAGACTCAAGAGAGAAAGCCAGAGAGAAAGAGAAAGTGCCGGAAAGAAAGTGGCAGAGAAGGCTAATGAAGGGGCGAAGTTGAATGCTATCGTGACAATACAACTCCACGTGGAGGAACAATATTTTAGTTTGCAAGATAGACAATTTGAATTTTGTCCAATTATCCATATCATGTGATTGTCGGCAAAGGGTCAGGTGCCTTTTGTGTGGATAATCAAAGTCCTATTCACCTACAAAACACAGTCACTGCACTTTACAGTATATCCAGTGAAGCTCTTTGGGACATCCTCTTGACATGAAAGGCTCTGTACCAAATATGAGGATTTTTATTATTATTATAATGATGTCCCACCAAAAAAAAACTGATACACAATAAATCTCGTTTGAATACTGATTGAGTACAGCTCAAAGATAGCTGGTCAAAAATAGTTAGTTCCAACATGGGAGTCATTGGAATTTAATTTCTTAATAAAGAATCAAAAGTTGTGCCAATGGACTTCACTTTGACCTAATTTATGATCGTTAACGAGGGAGCAAAGGGGAGATGAGGAGGTTTTTTTTGAACACAATTGTTAGGAAGTGCAACGGTCGAGACAATATCCATATTAGTTCTCAAGTGAGAACAAGATTGATATCTAAAAAGGAATCATTTGCAGCGGTTCAGGAAAAGGCAGTTGAATGTGACTGAATGGATTAATCTTTCAAAGAGCCAACACAGACACGATGGGCCAAATAGCTTTCTACTGCGCTGTAAATTTCTATGGTTCTATGAACCTCAGTGACCCACTTACTGAAAGGAGTCCTCATTGGATCAATGTGAGTTCCACTAGACTCCCTTGCTACAATATCCTGCAAATTAAAACTACATTTTCTAATTATCTAAACCAGAGATTAGCCAGAGATCCACACCTGACGTTTTATTGTAAATTTAGGCTACACCCTATGGCAAAACTTTGGAAGGCTGGACCACTTACCAATCTACCAAGTGATGACCAACACTGAAGTCCACGGAGAGCAATCTGGCTTTCTGCTCATATCTCTACCTTTTTCTTAGAATCATAGAAAATTACAGCGCAGAAGAAGGCCATTTGGCCCATCGTGCCTTCAGTCTCACCTGTAAATCTACTTTAATTTCACTGGATCCCCACTCAACTTGATTTCCACTATTCTGTTAGTTTTTTCTCTTGCTTTTTTAGTCTCAAAATGTAAACTTCTCATTCCTTCGCTCGTGTTTCTTTTCTCCCTCTCACTTGCCTCAGACGCCCATGCTGTTCAAGAGCCTGCTTTCTTGTGTTGTCAGCCCTTAATATTTATTTACAGAAGGTGGGGAGGAGCTATCACATGCTTAAATTAGTTTTAAACAGCGTTTTTTTTAATGTGTACTTTTCCAAAAAAAAAAATCATGTTAATGTTCAAACGGGGAGTAAATTTTTCATCCGGAAAAGTAATTGGGTGTTATTTTGCGGCGTTTTAAGTGTTCAATTAATTCTGTCCTTTCTGAAGGCAATAGTTTGTTCATCGTCACAACCTTGTTTGCACATGACCTTTGGTACCATTCTTTCAGCTTGGCTGACCTCTTCATCAGTTGGACACCGAGGTCAGGTTTGGACAATGAGGGCAAAAGTTGACAGCCGGCACAAATTGAGGACCAGCACTCAAGTCTAAAGAGTCACAGGCAACAACTTAGGCTAAGCTTGCTCATCATTACTGACGCACATTTCACAAAGTGAGTTCAAATTACGAAATGACCTTGAAGCTTTCAACACTGCACATTTACCACAATTTCACGGTTGCAATCTACTTCTGCACATTGTGTCAGAAGTGTTCCTAATCTTCGGGGTAGGACTCATTTTTCGTTAGAGCAACTCACCAAGTCGCGCGGTTTAGGTGACAGCTCCGGTCTCGAAAGTCACCAACCCGCCCCTGTTCACTTCAGATTTATAACCATTTCAGATTATCACATAACCCAATCTCACATTGGGGCCACTCAGTGATCTGATCAGTTTTTCAGTATTTTATCCCTCCTGATTCGAAACTAAAATCAACTCACACTGATAGTGATTGTTTTCAATTGCAAGTTTCTATTGTAGCCCCTTTTTTAAATTTTGCTCTTAAATATGCTAGTTCTAATTTTGTTACCCAGATAGAAAAGCATTGCATTCGTTAGGGTTTAATCTGCTGCTCATAAATTATGCTGAATAGTTTACCTGCACTCAATCACAGCCTAGGCTCCCTCATGAAGACTGGCCACTTGGCTGAGGAACTAGAGGGCTGTTGTCACCCATGAAACTGAGCCCCGGCAAGAGTTAGCACATCCAAGAGTGGAAGGGAATTCAAAAAGGTAAAATGTATTTTACGCCTCGAACAGCAATTATTAAAAAAAAACTTAGTACAATAAAACTTATCTTTATAAATCATACAACTGCCTAAGTCGTACATGCACTGAGTCCCATTCAGTTTCCTATCAAAACTACTTAAATCTATTTGCACTAGTCGTACTAATTATTGTCGAAGTCATAACACCACTCCCCTACCCTCAATTACTCTCGTATTAACTGGCTGCATCGGAATCGCAGGAAATGCTGTCCTGATCTGTCAATGCAGGGGCACTTACCGAACGGCTACATTAAATTGCGCAAAACGTAGTCTTGACTTGCCATCACGTGCACACTTACCGGCTGCATTGAATTACGTATGTGCAGTGGCGATTATTGATTAAATTAGATTTTATACGATTCATACAAGTTTCCCTGCAACTTGGACTTTGCGCAAGTCACATTAAATGTCATAGTTACGACTTAGGCAAGATTTACAGCATTGTACATTTATTATAAGCAATACATTCTTAAATTGTCACCTTCTTCATCTGAAAATTCTTGAAATAAGATGACACAAGGTTTGTTGGGATACAGATCCCAAACTTTCGAATTGGAGGCACGTTTGGGTCAGATGGCTAAAGTCTTTGGGTTCAAAGTGCCAGGGGAAGTAAATAAAGCCGGGTTTACATGTTATTGGCTCTAATGAAAACAGTTCACTTGTTTTGTTGTTGTTGAGACCTACCCTCTCTGCACACTAAACAGTCACTCTCTATCAGCTGCAGTTACTTTTCTTGTGGGAAGACTATTGACTAGCTATATGGATTAAAGCCATTGTGGTACAATCTCATGCTTCACATATTCATAAAAAAAAGTGAATGTCCCTAATGGAAACACTAAACAGGCTACAACATTTCTGGGTTGGAAATGAATAACACTGAGCCTTTACTTTTCAACAATTCTTTTTCATTAGCACATTTTTGAAGTCGTTTGCGTTTTACTAAAATCAATCCAGCGTTGTTTCTTCGGAGCAAAAAAATAAATTTCATCTTAAAATGATGGCACATTAAGATTAACTACTGAGATTAGGAAGAGTAAAGGATAAGCAAAGACGACTGTATCCAATCTACTCAGCACAAACTGGCTCGAGGTTATGGCATTGATAGGGCCATCTGGCTTTCTCATTGCTGTCCATCTTGCTGTCTGCCTTTAATCAGTGAAATAAACCCTCTCTATGACAGCGAGTCTTTGGGAGTGCCACAGGATGCTCGCCAGCTATCAAAGTGCACGCACGACTGTTTGTGGGACATTGCTGCGTGCAACTGGCTGCCACGTTTCGCCCACAAAATGTGCGGTCAACTCATTTTACAGTATATGCCGTGAAGCGCTTTGAGACGTCTCGAAGACGTGATAAGGCGCTATATCAAATGCAAGGATTATGAAATGCCGCAGTCACAAAGAAAGTCGAAGGAACATGCCTTACAGCAGTGAGAATAAATTGGAAAGAGTTGTAAGAGGTGTGTGCGCGGGGTAGGGGGGGGGAAGCAAAAGGTAATACAAAAATAAACATACGATCGCTTCCCTCCCTATTCAAATTAATTTGAATTAATTAGTAGAAATTAGTAGGAACTTTCCTCCTCCCAAAAAAACACATATAAAGTTTCAACAAGTGCTACAAATTGGATTAAAATCAAAATACCCAAATAATATTATTAATAATCCTTGCATTTGATATAGTGCCTCATCACGTCTTCGAGACGTCTCAACAAAGCGCTTCACAGAATATACTGCGAAGTGAATTGACTGTATATTGTGTGGGCGAAATGGGGAGTCATCCCAAAAGAAGTAACACAAATGTGAAACACAAACTACAGTGCCTTCCTCTCTTACTTATCCCTTTACGCTGCAATGCGAGATTTTAATCAAGACCAGATACAGTATGCAAAATTCAGTTGAGTGATCAGTCACCTTTGGCTGATCATAAGCTGCTTAAGGAATTAAGGAAGGAAAAGTTGAATTTAATATGATGCTGAGGCAGACAGTGCTTGCTTGGCTGATTATTTTCTCCCAGACATGCCCTACAGTAAATCTGACCAGATTCACCCTCTGTCTCCAGCAAATTAAATTCCACTGCTTTTAAGTACAACAAAAGAATTGAGCAGTAAAGGGGATTAAGAACTTTACACCCAGGACTGCTGGTTTAATTTAATTGTTCCACAATCAAAGATTTAATGTGCAAACATAATATTTGGCATAAAAGGAGCAGCCCAATCGAGTACGAGTTATAGAAATATTCAAATTTGAATACATCTGACAAAAACAAAAAAATGATTATTGTACCAGGCGGGCAGTAAAAGAAATTCTACACTTATCACCACTAATAAGGTTAACATTATTCAATTTGTAGACTAAATTGCATCAGTCAGTATTAGACTAATACTCATTTTGGGTTCAGAATATTAATTGACGCTGATTGCTCAGGCTAAAACGGCTCTGTGAATAGCACAATGGGAGAAATCCCACCTCAATGATTTTTCGGGCCTCTTTGTATTTTCCCGTCTGAAGAAAGGCAAAGAAGAGGTCGTACAACATCGTCATTTCACCTCGCTCCTGGTTCACAAAGTCCATCGCTGCGAACCAAAGATTTTTAAAAAATATTACTTAAAACAAAAGAAACACACACACACATTAGTTCAAGACGACACGTTCGAAACTATTTAACAACAGAGCCCTATAGCTGGAACGTATTTATTATGCGTTAGATTCTGTATCCGCCAGGAACAGCGTCTAAAAGTTCTACACATAAGCTTGGTGTGGAGGGAGACGAGAGAGGAAAGAGAAAGGTTTAAATCAGCAGCACTTTTAATACAGTCATAACTTTTAAATTATTGCCATTTAGATTTAGCATCTCGAAAAGAAGATTTTCCAGAATAGGTATCTTCCCCTCAGCAAATGTCCTTTGCAATCAGGCAAGACGTAGGTCGCTGTAACTGCTCCCTAATAACCTCAGAAGTGGGAAAGAATTGATTTTGCGTTCAGCTATAATAATCTGATAAAAACATTTCGATTGTAAACTCAAATCTGTTTTTAAAAAGACTGTGGACCAAGTAATTTGACCACTGATAATGACAATAAAGACAGCTTTATCCTCTATAAGGAATGAAGCTAATATTACCTTCAGCTATTCGTAGTGAGCTCAGCTCTGTGACACCAGTAGAGCCTTTGCAGTGGTATTGGGTTAAGCGACTCAAGCACTGCAGATAACAACACTATGTTTGAATTTCAGTTCCTCCCAAAAGTGCAGGTAGAGGAGCACACATGGGTTTTGTTGGCCTGTTCCCCAGGTGGATGTTAAAGATCCTATAGCATCATTTCCAAAAGAGAAACGAGTTTCTCCTGGTGTCCTGATCAACCATCCTCCAGATATAATTAGCCATTCAACTCACGGCTGCTTGAGGGATTTTGCTATATGCAAAACTGGCAGTCATCGCATAAGAAGTCATTACTCGGAAGCGCTTTTGAGACGTTTTGACATTATAGGTACAATAAAAATCCTGTCTGTTTTTATAGCTCTTTAAAATTTTAATCAATATTAGGTACCTCTTGGTGACACAGCAATTTATTCATCTACCGCCAGAAAGGCCACAAGTTTCTTCTTGATGGAGAGAAAATAAACTAATAAATCCAACTCCTGGCAGCAGGCTCGTGTAAAAGCACTTGCAAAAGATTTGAGAATAGGTCCCCTGACTCCTCTCTCAATTAAGCACGAAGCTAATGCATTAGTGCAGATAGCTGATGAAAAGTAATTTTTTTTAACCTTACAGCTGTTTCCTCAGTTTTGCATCCTTTGATGCGTGCATTTTAATGAAATTCTATTTAACTTTTATTTAATAAGACTGTGGCATGTTTTGGTTACAGAAAGAAGCCTCCAAAAATACGTGGCACAAAAGAGAGTCTGAAGACTGTTCTTAGAGCCCGGTACTAGAGCCAGTAACGAGAAAATGTGGAAGGGAAATGAAGAGTAAAGAAAGACAAGTCAACAGCTATCTGTCTTACACATTGACCAATGTTCCACTCAGAGTAGCTAGCACTAGCAGGGCAACATACTGTCCTGGCCAAAGGAAATTTACTGTCCTTCCTTTTTTACATGAATGTAGGCAGTGGTGCATCATCGGAGTGAAAGCAAAGAAAGGGATACACCCAAAGGAAGAAAAAATAATAATTCTTGCATTTGAGATACCCTTTTACGTCTGGAAGATGCTCAAAGTGCTTCATGGGATTTGCTGCATTTTGTAGGGACTGTATTTTGGAGGCAAATGATTAATAAACGTCCAGTTAATTAATCTCAACAACAATTGCCACACATTACACCTCTAAAGAAGGAACGGAAAAATAACATTCTTTTATAACATTATAACAACAATAATAATCCTTGCATTTGATATAGCGTCTTATCACGTCTTTGAGACGTCTCAAAGCGCTCCACAGAACAGACTGCAAAGTGAATTGACTGTATATTTTCGTGGGCGAAACGTTCCGACTTTATACATCACGTGCAAAGGTTAGCATCAGCTACCTTTCTGCAAGAGGCCCGTGTCTCCCTGGTCCACCAGTCTGCACAGAACGTCGTGAAGCCGAGGCATCTGATTGTATTTCTTGAAGCAATCGATAACTCCATCTAGTGCAGAGGAGAAATCCCCCCTGAAACAGAAAATAGAGTCACGTTATCACAGCCGTTATACGTACAGTGATCATGGATTCGATTGAGTCTGTGTCCCTCTAGAGAGGCATCTTAGGGCAGGAAACCCTGCACACCAACTTGTACCCTTAAAAGACTTCATTTTAAAAAAAAACACACAAGCTACCTGATTCCAGAATCATCGTATTTTTCTTTATCTCTCCCCATTGGGTTCCGTGACTATGGTAAGGGCAAATCAACAGGCTGTGAATGTTTCTGCCAATGATATTCTAAATCAGAAGTATAAGGTTACTCCCTATTCACTGCCTTCCTATTCTCCTTCCATGTGGAGGATCAGTGAGCCTCCACCGTATATCTCGTCACTCACAGTACTATTACAGGAACTGGGAACTCTCTCTACAGGCAAATTGGTCTGCACTTGGCCAGTACCACTGACGTTTCAAGATTATTCTGCTACATTATCGCCCTATTCCAAATTTCTTACTTTAAAGCATACCACTAGCCTATGCTTCACCATCCATTTCTTTAAGGCTTCTAATCTAAAATATTGTTCAAGATGGTGTTCGTTTCCAATACAGTCTCTCTCTTCCTCCCATAAGGCCTCTTCTTCTAATTGGAAGAGAAAAGACAGTTACTGGATCGGGCTGCAGTAATAGTAATAATCCTTGCATTTGATATAGTGCCTTATCATGTCTTCGAGTCGTCTCAAAGCGCTTCACAGAATACACCATAAAGTGAATTGACTGTATATTTTGTGGGCGAAAAGTGGCAACCAATTGCACACAGTCCTTAACAATATTTCCTTGACTGAAAGTATGAGTACCGCTGAGTACACTTTTCATAAATTCCGAGTTAGACGCAATGCAGCTAAGTACATGAGCAGAACTGCAAACCTGGATATGACCAGTGTACTTACAGGGCAAGCATCTGTCAAATTTTATTCTGAACTTGCATAAAACGGAAAGCCTGCAAATCATGGGCTCTAGTTTGAAGTGGTAAGCACCTTTATGAAAACGGGAGCTTATAAGCCCTACTCCCGTGATTAAAGCACGCCATGTAAACATGCCCTAATTTGGTACAGCTTCTGCGACCGATTGCATCTGTGCAGATGTTGCTGCTCATTCAAACTACCGGTGTTTGTTTTTCATGGAGATGCAAAGAGACCATGTTTGAACATTCCTTTTCATTTACTTCAACAGTTACAGAGCTTGAGGTTCTTTAATTAATAATCCTTGCATTTGGTATAGCGTCTTATTCCATCTTCGAGACCTCTCAAAAGCGCTTTGCAGAATATACTGTAAAGTGAATTGACTGTACATCTTGTGAGCGAAACGAGGCAGCCAATTGAGCACAGCAGCGTCCCACGAACAGTCGTGGGTTGAGTGACCAAATAATTAGTATTATTCTTTAAAGGGATTATTACCACTGAAACAGCGATCTGCCAATCGATTAACCACCGGGTACCTACTTACTGCAAGGTAAACAGGCGTGTGGAGTGAGGAAACTTGCGAAACATTTCGCCCTGCCCGGGAATCAAACCCAGGTCCTCTTGCTTACGAAGCATTCCACGCTCTTTTGCATGAGTGGCCATAATGGAACAAATTCCCAGTTAGATATGGACAGCACACAACCTGGTGAAATATATTTTTCAGATCGGTCTGCACCTCCTCTCTCCCCACAGCAGTACCCGCTGCCTCCGCTCTACTGGGTCCGGCCTCCTCCGAATCCTCCTCTCCACCATTGGCGGCTGTGCCTTTCACTACTACCCCCCGAAACTTTGGAACTCCCTCCCTGAACCCCTTCGCCTCGCCCCCCCGTCCTCAGGTCGCACCTGAAGACCTGTCTCTTCGATTGCGCCTTCGGTCACCTTCCCCCTTCCCCTGGCTCAGCCTCGGCCATTGTTTAGTGCTCTGAGACACCGCCTGGCGTGGAGGGCACTATATAAATGCAAGTTGTTGTTGTTGTAGCCTATAATAATTACCCCTCAAATAACGCTATCCTCAAAATCCACATTACTCTTAACCTACGTCGCATTCCTACTACAGCATCGCCAACTCAGAACAGCAAAATACATCTAAAAACAAACACTTCAATTTGTATAATCTTCAACAGCTTCAATATAAAAGTCCCAGAGGTAATTTAAGGTTGCGATTAAGTCGTAGGGNTTTTTTGTAAATAAAAATTAGGAGCATTTTTATCCCGTTTGAGGTAAGAATTAAGACTGAATTACACATTTCTATCTCTGCCTCAAAAATACATCATAAACATCATCAAATGTATATTTGGAGTCCTGTGGGGTAGTGGTTAGAGCATTCGCCTTGCAAACGAGAGAACCTGGACTTCATTCCCAGGTGGGGCAAAACCTTAGGCAAGTTTTCTTACTCCACACACCTAGCAGTAAGTAAGAACCTGGTTGTTAAGTTGATTGGTAGATCGCTTTCTGGGTGTAATACCTTAAAAAATAATAGCAATAATTTGGTCACTCAATCCACGACTGTTTGTGGGATGCTGCTGTGCGCAATTGGTTGTCAATTCACTTTACAATTCATTCTGTGAAGCGCTTTGAGACGTTTGGAAGACGTGAAAAAGCGCTGTATCAAATGCAAGGATTATTATTATTATATTATCATTTAAAAAATGGTTTTGTCTCGTGATCCAAATGGTAGGACTATTCCAACTCCCAACTGTCTGTTCCCAAATCTCTCTTTTATTCCCACTCACTGTTATTTATTGGAAGAATAATGATATTCTTGAATGATTGCAAGGCAAATAGTACCCAAAGTTGAGGCATCAGAGCGAGCAAGCAAGAACGCACACTTGCCTGTGTGTGTGTTTATAAATAATCAGGCGAAAAACTGACACAGAGCACTTTACTTGCACTAAATTGCAGCTAATCACGTTGACCACAAAGAATTTATGCCCCCCCCCCACCCCTTTTGACCGGCTGTAAGTAGGTAGAGCTGTTCAGAAAATAAAACAGTGCCACGGTTATGTTGAATGACGGTCTAAGCTGCTGTTAAGGAAACCCGCTACACTGCAAGCTAAAAAAGTCTCAAGTGCAAAAATGAAATAACTAAATTGGGATCATTATGATCTAAACACAGTACTATTCTCCTGTGTAAACGGGACTTAACATGATAGATATGTACCTTATACCCTTCCCAAGCCATGTTTACAGTACAGTGAGTGGAACCCCACTGAGACATTCAAATTTTTGTCATTTTGTATGAAGACAAAATTACAGGTTAATTTTTCTCTGTGAATAGATGGTGCAACTAAATAAAAGCAATAGACTAGACAAACAATAGGACACTGCCGTGAAAAGCATGCAGCTGCTATTCAACTGCTTAGCCTCCATTTGTTCCGTGATGAAGAACTTTACAATGAGGAGCAAGAGACAGTTCACTTTATATAATGTAAGAAAACATTGTGGACTGTTGATTTTAATTGCCATGCAGCGCAGTAACATTATGTTAAAAGCTTCAGTTAAGTGGCAATTCATGACAGGCTTACTGATTGAAAAGCATGTCTTTTGAAGCTGAAAACCGCAGGGAAAGAAGCGAAATAAGGGGGTGGTGGGTGGAAGTGAGAGGGAGAGAGACTGGCGGGAAGAAAAATACTTGTGTAATAAATCCCCAATCTGTAAATCTAAAGCAGATGTTGGTGTTCAGGGAAATCAATTCTACATCGTACAATCAGGTTTGCACAATCACACAGTTAAAGACTAGCTCTTTACTGAGCTAAATGTTCCTCTGTTCATTAGACATAATGAGGAATCTTCAAGGAGACTGGTGTTGCAATTACAACTAATCCTCAAAAAATTAACTGTGTTGAAGGCTTTATAATTTCCCTAGGTACAATTTAGCTGTCACTTACTTTAAAATTTACTCAAACACGCTTTCGAAATAGCTGTAACTTCACATGTCAAGTGCTTTCCAACCAATTAAGTCTAACTGGAAGTCACTGTTAAACAACTGAATGACTAGACAAGATAGCTCATTTCCCTGCTCTTTTGTTCAGAATAATATGCTGCATTTACATTATCAGCCTCAACAGGATTTTCTGACAGGGACAGAAAAAATTGCTAACGCTGTCCATACTAAGCACATGAAGCCTGTCATTTACCAATCATCCTTCAAAATGCAATAGCCATGAATGCAACTTAATTACAACCCAATGATCCTTGACGAAAAATCATCTTATCAGTGTCCTGTCTCTGCAAAGCAAATGAACCACTTTTGTCCTTCACCCGCTGATGATGCTAAATTCATAATTGCAAAAAAAAATCCCGAGTTTAAAAAAAGAGCAAGTTGTACGAGGGTTTTAGTATCGTTACAACATACTTATGGACAGGGGAGGGGGTGGAACACACAGAAGGGGGGAGCGAGAGAAGAGTAAGAGAGATGTGTGTGTGGGGGGGAGGGAAGAGGGAAGCTTACGTGCGACAGCAAACTTTTTAATTTCCACGCTTTGACTCAAATGGGAATAAATATCAGAAGGTCTAAAGCACACGGACCAAATGCGTTAGTTTGAAATGCTTTGTTCTTTTAAAAAAAAACTCTCTCTGGTCAAAATGTGCAAGACCATGTCTACGGTTATTAAAACGCATTTTATGTCTGTCAGCCCCACGAAGCATCACAATAAGATGTTTACAGCAACACTTCTGTCTTAATTAGCAGTTGCACACAGTCGCACTGGTTTGGGAAACCAAAGCCCCATTTCCTTCCTCCACCGCTCTCTCTGCCCAGACATTTATTGGATCCCCCTCCCCTCCCAATCAAAATATTTCATTAGCAGTTGCTCAAATATAAAGCCCTATTCGCAAAACAATGCGATGAATGGCACGATAATTTTCAACGTACCTCATAAAAAAAGCCAGCGAGTTCGATTGTTTACACTTGGGAATGTGACACTTCAATCATCCTCTTGGAATACTGAGCTGACAAGTCTGACAATCTGAAGAGCTAATTAAGGTGAGGAATGCCGCTAATGCTGGAAGAATAGAACACCTCTGCACTCCCAGCAGTAATCCCAAGCTTTCCTCTACACTGCCTGACCATGTACCTCACCTTTTAGTTTCGCAAAAAAAAAAATGCCTGCTGTTGCAATGCCGTGGCGATTGTGCGGGCTCCTTTCTAAGCCTCTCCAAGCCAGGCTCCCAAATGGATGCTGTGCTAATCATAACAGTCAAGTTAACATTCAAGTCAATACGGGCACTCATTTCACAGGGGTTTGTTTCACAGGGCTTATTCAGGAGGTCTCCACTGAACTGGAATTTAGGGAAACTTGCTTCTGGAAGGGGATTGAGAAGCAAACGGTAACTTTCCGTTGGCTCTCCAGTTTTCCAAACATGAATTTCCAAGCGGTTAATGAAGGCTCAATGGCTTAGAAAGATGTCGCATATAGTTAGTAACGTCAAAGCATAACATTGTCGAGCTAGGTTTTCACCCCTGTACTGCATCGTCTATTTAGACATGCAGTGTCACTGTCAGCACTTGTTTAAAATAAATGATTGATTCTAACTTGGGCTGTTACTGCCGATTTGCGCGAATTTAATCTCAGAAAGATGAGAGCTGTGTGACGACATCGGGGTGGGGGGTGGGGGGGGAGAACCGGTTTACAGGAGATACTTACTGAGCGTGGCAGCATGTAAAGGAGCCGAATTAACATCAGTAGATACTGTAATTAACCCAGAGTGGTTCAGTGATCATGTCATTTCAATTGTATATGTAAATTTAGCTTCCTCCTCCTGTCAGATTCGACCTAAAACCTTCCAGGGTAACGCATGGCAACTCTTAAGATCAACCAAGAAGGAAGCCTCCCAGCCCCACTTGATATAAAGTTAGTTGATGTACAAAACCAAACCAATTACAAAAAGGATCTACTCTTTGCTTCTCATCAAAAACGTTTTCATTTCAAAAAATGAAATGATTGGGTTTGCTACTTCCCAACGTTTTACATCAAGCCTTTGATTTTTGTGGCTATATTAACGTACACACACACACACAAATGTGTCGCCTATTTGAAAGAATACTCATGAAATCTTTTTGTTCCTCACCAATTTTCTCCACCCTTCCCAAGAGGATATTTTATTCTACCAGGGATGCAGTTCAACAGGCTCTGGTTCACCCTCTGATGTGCAAACCTTGCCAGCGAGTGACGGCGAGCTATTTTTTAACCAGGCTTGCCTCAAGGTCAAGTCTGATTCTCTACATACCTGGACAGTGATCAGGAGCAAGTATCCTGGCTAATTTACCTGCGTTGAGGCCCACTGTAGCATCAAGACCGGACTTGGACCTGGGGACCTTATTGCACAATCACTCACTGGGTAAACTCACTGAATAATCAGGGATGTTCTGAGATTAAATTCGTGCAAATCGGCAGTAACAGCCCAAGTTAGAATCAATCATTTATTTTAAACAAGTGCTGACAGTGACCTGCATGTCTAAATAGACACTACAGTTTTAGCAAAGCAAAGCTAATATGAATCAATTCCTAACACAAATCCTTCCTATCCAACTGCCATGTTGATGTGTGAAATTCAAGGGTGAATTTTCCTCAATATACATACAAAGGGAGAATAAAAACAAAATTACGGATAAGATTTGATTCGACACAAATTTTCTACCCAATTTTGAGGAATCCATTTTATGATCTAAAAAGGAAATTTTGCATGAAAGTCAGTTCAGCTTCTCTCCTAATCACGTACGTCTTGTGAAACATATTCCATTCAGCAGCTAGAAATGATAAGGGGAGTCCTCTGCCACAGCAGGGGCATTTGCTGTGCCGAGCGAGGAAATCTCGCTGTGGAGTTTCCAACTTACTTCTCGAGATCGACTGTGATCAGCGGAGAACACAGGTTGCTCGTGGGTTTGGCGAACCCCAAGTTGATGATCGCCTCGTGTAGCTGTGTCACTGCCGCCTTGTCCCCTCGCATGGCTGCGGCGTTAAGGATATGGAAGAGGGAAGCTGTCGTCATATCCCTTAAATCAACCTCTTTCTCCTTTATCTCCTTTAAGATGTTAATAGCATCTGCGGTGTAAAACATTCAAAGAGTTAAAATTCATGCAACTGCTTTTTTTTAAAAAAAACTAAAAAAGTGGCATATTAACTAAGCAAGAATGCAAATTCTGGAGTATAATGCGGATTTCAAGTTAATTAGCACTTGTGTATCTGCGCGAGACTACAATTATACACCACAATAGCATGATTTTATCATTTCTCTGCTGCCGCGTCTATAAATTATAGGCAGTATCCGTGTGCCCACTCTGCACTGTCTAACCCGGCACAGCCTGCCCTATAGCTGCACGATCTCACTAAATGGATGCTTTTATCCTCCAACGATAACATCTGCTAAATCACACTATTGTTTCTCCAGCAGATGGTTTGTCACGAGGCCAGATAATTAAGATGTGTTTACACTGTATTTACATCCAGACTAATGGCTTGACACCGATACAGCCTGTTTGCAGGGCCGATACTAATTATCCAGTCTTAGCAAGGGAAAGCTTTCTAACAGTCTACATTNAAAAAAATAAGGTTTGATAATCTGAGCAAATTAATTCTCTTTATGGAACAGACCGAGTCCATTCTTTTAGCACAACAAAGAGCAAGCCAGCAATGTGCTTTTTTTTATAAAAAGCAACTAATCCAACTGAATGGATTATTTCAAAATGTTTTTTTAATAAGTTTCAAATACATTTCAAAATTGAATTGCACCGCATTTATTTACAAATAGAATATTAAAAAGGTTTATAAATGTCGGTAACTTTGCGTTCAATTTATTACTTTGCAGAAGCCTTCTGAAACAAAAATAAAGCCATTAGCTTGGGCACGGAAGGCAATCTATGCCACAAGTCATGTTCTTCAAACTCAAATCGAACGCCTATGTTAATAAAAACTAACGGCAAAGAAAAGCAGATGCACTGAGCTGTGAAAATGTAAATGACAAGCTTGCCAAGCCATTATATACTACAGTAATGGGATGCATTGCCCAGCATTTTTGGGTGAACTCACACACAAATTATTATGCGATATGTTAATATAACCTTTGAAGACATGATCCAACAGCAAAATAAATTCGAAATACTTTTCTGCTTTACAGCCAGTGTCGTGCATTAAGCCACAGTCCTTTCATCTTTAGTCTCTTTCCGCAGTCGGGAGCTTACCTTCCAATTTACCATGTTTGGATAGGACCTTCACAAGTGCCAAGTACTTATTTACGTCAAGGGCAAGCGAGGAATCTTTGCGGTTCCTTAAATTTTTGAGAAAAGGAAGAGGTTACTTTTTCATGCAACAGGGCAGGTTTTATATTGCTCCCTCAGGATGTTGCATTAGTGTACTCTAACTTCATCCTCTATAAATGTCAGTGTGCAACCCCTCTCACTTTTAATTTAGCCACAGTCCAGGTTTTGATTAAGATTTCATGAAGGGTTTAAGATTACTACCTGCTTAATTCAACAAGGTCTGTATATCAGCATAAATTAATCTGACATGTTTCTACCCTGGTGTACTTACACTTCTTGTTTCAGGTTCAGTGCCTCTTCTGCATTATCATGTCGACAGCAGAGATTTATTAGTGCAGCGTAGCCACCAATAACCATGTCCGATTCGTACTGGGCTTTTACTTCGAGGGCTTTTTGCATATTCTAAATAGGACAAGAAGAAAAAATAACAGCTCTGTCAAAGTCAGCCTCGCCATTATAAGGCAGAACTACAATGGTCCCCCATAACACCGGCATTTCCAGACGCGTTGCTGTTTTAGCCAGCGTTCGCCACACAGGATTTTTATTTAAAAAAAAGTTGTCAGTTGCAATTAATAATTTTCATTTCATTCTTAAATAAATTACAACGTTTCAAATGAAACCCAGAAAACGTCAAGCATTCTATCTACCAATGGAGCAGCTCTCACCCCATGAGATTTCATACACGGAGGAATTTTCAGTGGGCTTGAGGCCACTCTCATTGTCACAATCTTAAAAAAAATTACGTTTATATCGTTAATATAGGCGCTACATATTTTGTAGTTCTGATTTCCATTTAGAAACAAGAAAGCCACACAGGCAACAACAACAACAAAATGACATTTGTACAGCGTCGGGAGGACATCTATTCAAAAACCTCTGAATAGAAAATGTTGCTGTCATAGTAACATAAGTAGGCAATTCGGTGCATTGTGGCTGTTCCACCATTTTATTAGATTTGCTGTAATGGTTCACCCTCCCACTCCACCAATGAATAGTCTGTCAATCTTTCCAATCTCTGCACGCACGCCAAAAATGGCAACTTCGATGAATGCTCTGATCTAAAGGTAACCCAGCAAGGAGTCGGTACGCATGGGGGACCGAACAAAGAGAAAGAAAAGATTAAATTTGAAGAGATTAATAATAATAATGATCCTTGCGTTTGCTACAGCGGCTTATCGCGTCTTCAAAACGTCTCAAAGCGCTTCGCAGAAAATACTGTAAAGTGAATTGACGTGTATATTTCGTGGGTGATCGTCGATGACTTTGTTGACTTGTGATTCATTCGCTTCAAAAGGCACTGTGAACGGCAGAATTCAACCCCAAACCGTGACTAAAATAACTAAAACAACAGTTTCTGAGGTGCCTACATCGCAGTACAGCAAAAGTATAACACAAATAAACTCAGTAAACCTTTCCTCCGGCTTTTATAATGCAAATAAAATTCTGGCACCAGTCCCGACTGCAACGGAGAGCCAGTGGATGTCACCTATTCAGATTCCAGCTTTTCCATTACTTCCACAAAGGGAATCATGTTGTTGCTTAGAAGTTGTAGCGTGCAATAGACTTTGTCACTTGGCTCTCAGTATAATTAGGTGGCACTTTGCATTTTTTCCAGATTGGTTTGTCACAAAGCAAGCTTTTCTGTGAAGGAGTGCCACACTGTAAGCAATAGGTCAACTGCTTCAACAACTGAACAGCATCAGCTTTGTGTCACAGTAGGATGACTCTTGGGAATCATTCCCTATTGACGGAAATTACGCAGTAGTTTTGTTTTGTTTCTTGCAAGTGCTTAAGTAAGACGCCCAAAGCGATTTGACAAAATCAAGTAAATTTGCAATCACATTGAGCAGATTAAAGTTCTTTTGAGCTAAGAACACCATCAAGTAAATGGTATGGATCACGGGTCGAAAAGGGTTTTAACTCTGGTTTAAGCTTTTCCGCAACTTGAACTCGACAATATCAAGTGCCAATGTCGAAAAGCTATTCTACAAATTGAAACTGTCTACATCGAAAATGTATAACCTAAAGCTTGAATTGATTACTTGCAAATTCAAGTTATGAAATCCGATATTCTTCAAAAATCCCTGTTGGTTTTTTTTATTGATCGGGAGAATTATTTGCGTTATTTTTATTTACTGCTTTACTCAATATTAAAACAGATCTAGAACTTTAACATTTGGTTATTATATTTTACATTAAGTTATGGTGATACCGAGTCTTGCTTTACAATGACTCCACAGACTCGTGGAGTCCTGTAGCTCAGTGGTTAGAGCACTCGCTTTGCAAGCGAGAGACCTGAGTTCAATTCCAGGCAGAGGGCGAAACCTTAGGCAAGTTTCCTTACTCCACACAGAGCCTAATAATAATCCCTCCAAAAAAAGAAAACAATAATAAATTGGTCATTTTCAATCTACGACTGTTTGTGGGACATTGCTGTGCGCAATTGGCTGCCGCGTTCGCCCACAAATATACAGTCAATTCACTTTACAGTGTGTTATGTGAAGCGCTTTGGGACGTCCTCCCGACGTGAAAAGCGCTATATCAAATGCAAGGATTATTATTATTATCATTATCAGATACCTAAACTGCTCTGGAATTAGCAGTAAGCAAGTGACCAAGTGGCATTGATGGGACAGTCTCTTGATTTTAAAGGCTGAAACACTTAGCAAGTTATGTGGTCTCACAAAAAAAACAAGAAGATGGCCTCTGAAGTTGGGATAAAAGGGGTCTCCTCCCCATTCCTCTGGTCCAGTTCTGAAGAAGGGTCACACCCAAAACATTTCCCTATTGTTCTCTTTCAGACCGGCGATGGGTTTCCCTATGTACTCATTTCACCATTGAGCTGAGCTGTAGACTGTACGCTGTGCTGGTTAGACAGTGCAGAGTAGGCACACAGGTTGATCTGTAGTTTTCGAAAAAAAAATCTAATTTAAAAATAGGGGATTATGGAACTGTACTTAGAAATTAATGCAAAATACATTCAAAATAGGTCAGCTCATCAAATGTATTACTCTTAATAGAGAAGCACTGGCATTAAAATGACTTTGCGTTCCTTTGAGAAAAACAAGTAAACGTTTAAAACGGCTTTATTAAAAAGCCGACTGGGAAACAGAAGCGTTCACTGCGCGGAGTGGAGGAACGTCAATTAAGAAGGAGTTGTAACCCGTTCCAATCTCCAGAACTTTCGAGAAACCAGTTAGTGATGGAGCTCCTAGGAGCTCGCTTTCTGTAAATACCGTAGTATAAAACTTTAAACACCTTCTGCTGTTATTATTGTTTAAAATGTTGGGGGCTTGAGAAGGCTCTGCGATGGACAAATAAAAACAAGGACAAAATGGCACCAGACTTTAACGTTGGTGGTCCAGCAGCGCAGCTATTGGTATCTACACCCACCAGCGATCTTCAGCTATTTAAAGTTGCTAATAGACCTTCTGTACAACAATGTGCACTGACAATCCAGATGCTGGAGGCTTTTTGTCCAGCACGGAGCCCTGTATGTTCAGACATCTGTATTAAAATCACCGTGGCCACAGGAGTCGTGGTAGAACCACTGCATAGATTACCATTAGAAAAACAAATGCAACATTTTAAGATGTGACAGCCATTTTTCGAGGCCTGACCCATTAGATCTTGATCAAGTTTATTCATGCTGTAAAAGTCATAAGCGCGGTGCGAAGTATGCGGTTCTTAAGCAGGCTGAAGGACATTCAGGGTTATTTTTAGTGAACGCTGAATACGTTATGTGGTTTAAGAAGACAATATCTGACTTAAGTGATTTTCCATTTCATGATATTTTAGCTTAAGAACAACCCAAGCACTGGAAAGCTACAGAACCACTTCATTTTTAACAAGATGCGAGCTAGATGTTAAGAACATAAAATTTATAGCCACAGCTGTTTATTAGGATCACGAAGGCCGCCTTTAATATTTGAAGTACGTATCAAGTAATTCACCCGCCGAGGAATTATTTAAAAATGAGTCTCTGCTCGCCATTTGTATAATTTTCTTATGACCTGCAGCACTGAACATAAAGATGCTGTTAAAACCCTTAAGAAGCCGGGTAGCATCTCTTAAAGCTTTTAAATGAGTTGGATGCCTGAATTTGGTATGAATAAAAATCACTAGTATTACAGCGTGGCTGGGTTGGTAGCTCTTTCGCTTCTGGGTCAGAAGGTTGTGGGGGCGAGCTCGACATCGGAACCCCAGCTCATAATCTCAACACGCCAGTGCAGAAGGAGTGCTACATTTTTGAAGGTGTAGTCCACTGGATGAGACGTTGCTGTTAAGAGTAGCTACCATATTGGTTGCGTAAGTCACTACACTCTCAAGTTGCCCATTGTTTGAAGCGCTTTAAGACATTTCAACCTAAAACCGCATCATATCAAATGCAAGCATTATTTATTATTGCCATAGTTTGCTAAGCACCCTAAACCCCCGATAACCCGTCGCGCCAATGGAAAAGAGCTCAGTGACATGTTACCCAGAGTGGCGAGTGAGGCCTATGCACAAACAAATACATAAATAAATGCGGCTAGGATATTGACAGTACGATGATTTAAGTGGTAGTGACAAGTTAAGCCAGGGTGTGTGTGGGTGTGTGTGTGTTCGTTGATGGCTAGGACGTTGATCTTGTCATTGTACACCACACAGCAATTTATTCGAATTTGCCATAAAACGTCACACATAGTGGTTAATGGCCCAATTATACAGAATCCGATATCGGGAATACTTGCACTTGATCCGGCCGCTTATCACATCAGCAAAATGTCTCAAATGTTTCACTGGATTTACTGTAAATGTAGTGACTATTTGTAGACGAATACATAAGCTCACAGCATTAACAGTCATGTTGTAATTGATCAATTAAACTGGAGGGTTGTTAGCTAGGCACCAAGAGAAGCTCCCTTAACTCTTCAAATTGTGGCAAAGGATCTTTAAAAGTACACATGAACAGGCAGATGAGACTTCAGTTTAATGTCTCATCCAAGAGGAATCAATTCTGACAATGCCACCACCACAGTACTACCTGCCTAGCCTGTAAGCATAAGTAAAGTAGAACTTATACTCCGTCTAGGATGATGGCTACACTGAAATACACCTTGTATATACAGTATTTTACTTTGCATTTCTAGTGCAATGTGATTTTGTTTAACACCCAAGAATTATCTTCAACTGGGTGAAAGGAGGGCTGGCTGTCAAGAGACCAGCAAGTTTGCCTCATGCTAGTTGCTATTTTTTTGTTAAAAGAAAACACAGGTTACTTTATCATCTATTCAATTCTGCACAATGAGCAGCTTGACACAACACTTTGAATATCATCAACAGACATTAAAAAATACTGAAGTGTCCCAACAGGAAAAAAACATTAATACAAACAGTAACTTGGAAAGCAGCTTGAAAATCAAGTTCACCTCTTCACCGACCGACCACGCCAATTCCAACAGTATCACTGCTCCTTTAACTTCTCACCCACAATAACATATCTTCCGCAGAAGCATCTTATAGTTTTCAAACTCACAAGTCCAGAGTAGATTTTACAGTTACTTAAAGTGAATGCTAATCAGGGCAAAGCCATTCGCTGTTTAGCTCAAAGTGCAATAGCCCTTCACAGAATCATAGAAAATTACAGCACAGAAGGAGGCCATTCGGCCCATCGTGATTGTGCTTGCTCTGTGGAAGAGCTACTCAATCAGTTCCCCCCGCCCCCCCACCCACCTCTTTCCCCATACCACTGCAAATTTTTCCTTTTCAAGTACCTATCTAGTTCCCTTTCGAAAATTGTTATTGAATCTGCTTCCACCGCCTTTTCAGGCAGTGCACTCCAGACCTTAACAACTCTGCAACCCCTGTAGGTAAACACAGATTACATCAGAACAAAAATCAGCTACTGATAACAGGTCTGTTTCTACTTTACAAGCAATGGCTAAGATTCAAGGCGGACTCTCCTATAAAGCTGGAGGGTGGAGGACGCCGAGGAGAAGGAGCTATCCTCTTCTGAATTTTCACTGAGACTGAGTTCTAGAATTTCGTACCTCTTTTCAGTAAAAATATCCCTACGTTTAATACAATGCTTTTTCATATCGAAAGGATGTCTCAAAGCGTCTCACAGGTAAAGTGCAGTGTATTTTGTAGACAAACATGGCAACCAATTTGTGCACAGCAATGCACAGGTACGAAGAGAATGACCTATTTTATTTGGGGGTAGGGGATTGTTGACCAAGTCACTTGGAGAATAGCCCCATGGGATCTTTAACGTCTACCTGAACAGGCAGGCGAGACCTCAGTTTGAAGAACAACGCCTCTAACAACGCAGCACTACACTGGAGCGTCAGCCAAGGCTGTGAGAGGGAATTTAAAAATTACATTTCTGAGCTACATCTTAACAAAGATGCACACCTAAGAGAGAAGGGACTATAAGGCAACCAGAGAGGGGACGAGGAAGGATAGTCTTGTGGAGTATAAACGCGGTATGAACTCGTCTGGCCAAATGGCTTGTTTCGATGCTGTAGATTCTAGGTAAAATTCCCCGATGTGGGGCTTGAACCCACAACCTTTGACTCAGAGGCAAGAGTGCAACCAAGCGAGCCAACCTGCCCCCACCAAGCGAGCCAACATGCCCCCACCAAGTGAGTCAACCCGACACCAACTCTTGAAACATTCTGTCCCTCTCTTCTGAGTTCAAACAACTCGCATTCTTTTGCTGACCCTGGGCTCCAGTTTACATCCGATATTCATTTCACCCCAGAAATGATGCAGCATTACCTCAGTACTGCAGAGCATCTGTATCAGTTGTTTCAACAACTCTCCGACGGGCTGGTTCTCTGCTTTTAGCTGTGCCATATTTTCTTCTAAAGCAGAGATTTTAGCTTCAGATCCCTAGCAAACAGAAATTACGCAGATCAGCAACTTACTTTGGGAGAAGAGTGGGGGTTGTAAAAACTATTAGCATAAACATTTTAGGATAAGCAATTTTGTCTCCAAAGTACCATTGTTCCATGCAGACTCCCCCCCAATTATTTTGTTTCTCTCGCTGGCATTAACAGTAGACACGTGCGCATTTTCTAAAAATAAACACCACTGATGTCAATCAAGAGGCGTTTCTTAGTAGATTTGTCAATAAAGAAAGCTGAATTGGGACTCTTTCCAACAACTGGAAGGAAGTACAATCATATACGTCACCCTGATTCGAGGGGGTCATCCCCTGAAAATAGAATCGAGTTAGACTGATATTGCCCCAAACTGGGGTCAGGGACTTCCAGAATCTTTCATTAAGAAATTGTTTTAGAATTATTGTCAAATTGGACCCATTTTCCCTCATCGAGTTAACAAGAGTTGCCCTTCTTGTGGAAGATCATCAGATCGCTCCCCCACCGGCTTCACTCCAAAGTAAAAAAAAATATTTACCACCTCTAAAAATCAGTCAATTTGCAAACAAAGACAGCAGTGGTGTGAGGAGTGGTGGAACACAAGGCTGTTTGCGATATAATTTAAATATACATGAACACAACTGCACTCTATTTGTCATTGCTATGCTGAACATCTGCGATGAACATTTAGAGTAAAGTCTGATCCGAAACATCTTTGATTCAACTCCCATTGAAAAAGGTCAAAACACAAAAGATTTGCTGATTTAAAAGCAGGTAATATTGAAGCGGCTTTGTTCGATCGTCCACTCACCTTTGGGAGGTCAGTAGCAGTCAGCTTATCCTGCTCATCCACCAATAAGAGGATATCCTGAAACACATTTGTTTTAAAAAAAATTACAATAAATTTGTGTAAATGGCTTTTTTTCCCCCGTTTACTTTTACTCAGTTCTTTTGGGGGCAGGAAGAAGGAAAAAGCAATTCGTTCCAAATAGGAAAAAATACAATAAGAGGCCTCTTTATCTGCATTTGGCCACGAGCTCCCGATCAGATTCCACATCAGATATAATGTATCAGCCAGGGGAAGTAATAGTAATAATAACCCTTGCATTTGATATAGCGCCTTATCACGTCTTCGAGGTGTCTCAAAGCGCTTCACAGAATATAACGTAAAGTGAATTGACTGTGTGCTTTGTTGGGAAATTATTTGGCGACGGCTTTAATGGCCTTACTTATTGAACTTGTTTTTATTTTGTCAATATGCGGTACAGACTAATAAAACATTTTGTGAATGAACAGAAGCACAGTCTCTGTTTCAGGCAGGTTAATAACTTTTTGGCTGTCAGGTTGGATTGAATTGGAACCTAAGAGCCATCGCACAAGGCCAGATTTGTTGTGTTATACAAAAGGACACTTTTACATTATTGATGCTAACTGAGTGCCTTTTACGATGGACCCACGTCAAGTGTATGAACCACATACCTCACAATAGGATCAAAAGCAGTAAGATACAATCTATTCTGCATGATAGGCAAGGACAAACTGAGCTGTGAGGCAGCAAAAGTTCTGAGAACAGCCTTCTCTCCTGCACTGCAATTCCTCCACTTAGATTATCAAGTGGGGGATAGAGCACTCGCCTCACAAGTGAGATGCCTGGGTTTGATTCCGTTGAAAGAGCTACCAAATTAGTCTCACTGCCCCGCTTTTCCCCATCGCCTTGCATTTTTTTTCTTTCAAGTATATAGAGTATCCAATTCCCTTTTGAAAGTTATTATTTCTAGGGAGGATCATTGGTTGACTTTATCTTTCGATGCTTGAGGTTACAAGAGGCCCAATTGTAGTGTTGCCCTCGCTGAGATCAGTTAACTCAACACAAGCCAGGAGTCACCTGTGTGACTTCTCGGTTTTGCAGGGCACCAAAACTGTGTGATCCATCAATATCATCGATTCAGTTATTAAGATGTATGCAAGTGTGTGAAGGCAGATTTCAGAACATACCGTCTAGCTCATAAACAATAAATTCATTACTACTCTCGTTGAGTCGTGTTTCGATAGATTTAAAGCAAGATTAAAAATTAAAAAGCACCTTGATTAACTCAGGCATGTGATAAGAGTCCAGCACATTTCGAATTCCTCTGTAGATATTTACTGGGATTACGATGCCCTGAAACAGAAAATTGGGGGGGAGGGGGGTGGAAGTTGAAATCATCTAAAAAAAACATTGAAGACTTGTCTAGAAATTATTTGAATTGTAATTTGCTTCTCCAACTTTAGACATGTCATTAAAAGTGATCCTGGCGTACTTAAAAGCAGCAATTTTAAGTATAATAGATACATGTCAGCAGGACGCGCATTATGTAACGAGAATGAAATGGTACCATCTTCTTCAGCTGATGGAAGTATTGTCTCAAATGTTCCTCCTTGGCCTGAACCTCAGAGTCGCTCATGTTGTCAATCAAGTTATAAAGAAAATAGCCAATGGTCTCTGTGCGAGAGAGAGAGAGAGAGAGGGGGGAAAAAGATGAGAAAAAAAACAAGACAATCGTTCCACAAATTACTAAGGCTGTCATTTATCAAGATTAATCTATGGCAAATCATTTGGTGTAAGAAGTCACTCTGTTGAAAGTGTCGACAACGGCAACATTGATCATTGAGGCATGTGGATCTCACTGCTTAAGAGCATACAAGGCAAACCGCTCAGTACAAGGAATACTAATTACTAGCCGAATGAAAACACACACAGCGGAGATGCACCCGCCACACTTTTCATATCGTAACCTGCAATTTCCATTCACCCATCAATTTCACATTTAGAATTAAAATTTTATCTCGAAAAGACGCTACAATCCCATGTGGTTTAAGTTTCTGTGGTTTTTTTTTTTGAAAAATAAAAAACGGCCGTGAGCGGAAAGATACAAAACTGGTTTCCTGAAAACACGCTTCAAAAATTTCACTTTTTTTATATAAAAAAAAAGCAATCAGTGTTACACTTGTAATCCTTCAAGCCCATCATTAGATAGAACGGATTTGAGGACGAGTTACAATCAAAGAAATTGAAACACTACCAGTGGGTCCTGGAGGGTTTTGGCAATAACGTTCATCTTTGTACAACAATTCTGTTATCTGGGAAGACAAAATAATCATATATTGTAGCTGATAGAGGCATGCAAGGACAAGCAGTGTCTGAAATTGCATTCTCTAAATAACAAAGCACTTTCCTATAAAGGTATTAATCAACAGCACATTGTAACATTTCATCTGCCAGGTGCCAAGCGGGCAACATTTACTCAATGGCTCGACTTCGGGAGAAAGAAATTCAAACGAAATCTGAACCATTTCCAAGGACAAACACGTTTTAAAACATGATCCTATTAAAGTATTATTTTGAGTTAATGACCAGAAAGAGGAGAGGGTGGGGGCGGGGGGAGGGGGGGGGAAGTGAAAGCAGACAATACGCACATAAAAATGCTTATAGCAACTTTGGTGTGTGTCAGCTTCGAAAGTAATTAAATACTGCTCGAATTTGCCAGAGGGTTGAAAAGTGACCCCAATAAGCTGTGCGTTGCTGCAAAGCAGTGAATCGCGCATTGTCTCGGCAATTCAATTTCTAAAATGCAAAGAGGAACAAAATTCCACAACGTACGGAAAAATAATGCTTTAATGATTCTCGGGATTACCTCGGTGATTATAACAAGAACCTTATGGTGCGATTGCATTGGTCTTGCAATATTTAAATGCCGCAGCTTAAAAAGGATTCGGTTATTTTCCAGCACTTACCATGCACAGCAAATTGATGTCACCGGACCTGCAGAGGGCAGTAAAGGATAAAGAATCACTCTTCTGATATTGTACAGTGGAGCTGTTTCTTCTCATGGAGAGGGGGAAAAAAAAACGAACTCCGGGATACGGGAAAAAAAAAATGCCGAGCAAGTGCAATCCCGTTCTTACACTTTATTCAACAAACGTATGCGACTCGCAACTTTTATCAACGCGTTCGTTCAACCTCCAATCAAACACAAAAGGGGGCCGAGATCTTTGTTCCGAGAACTTTGTCCCCTTTGTCCAAATGTTTCATTGGATGCTGTGTCCATCGAGGTGAAGGAGATCACCGTGAAAGGCCGTGCCCCCCCACGTTGTGGCACAGCTGAATAAACGTCCCTCAAACGGTGCCCCAAGAAGGTACCTTCATGGCAATCCGAGAAAAGAATGTACATCCTCTCACACTACTGCCATTTCTACTTCTCACACCAGACTGACTTAGAGGTTGGGGTGAATCTAATGCCCATTAGTGAGTGGTTTATGCTACAGACTCCCGTTTACTAGGGACTGGGCTAAAACCCGCACTCAGTCCGTGGTAGAATGGAGCCCCAACTCTCAGAGGGGGCGGAAAAAAAAGCTCAGCTAATTCAGTCTGCCACTCCGAACCTTTCCCTTTTAAAATAAAAATAACTCCGGTTTCTAGAATTTTCTTTGAAAGTCATTTGATAGTTAACACGTCACAGAATGAAAAGTTGTCAACGGGAAATGTCAGATAAGATGAATGAACCCAACAACTGAAACTGTCCAGATAAATCGAGTAACCAAACCACAAGCTGCTTTTCGAACATATCATGCAAATATATGTGCCTCGTGTGTAACATTTATTACGTGTAACATTTGCATTCAAATTGTAACTAGAGTAATAATGTCCCACGGACGAAAAAATTAACCAGGTAGCCTAAAGGAAGTTAGTACAACAAAAAAAAACCGGAAGAAACTGCTTATTCTTTAGTTTAGACCCGGTGCTATATTTTGGTTTCTTGCATCTCAGTGCAAATAGAGAGATTGCTCTGTGGGAAACAGTCTTAACAACAGTTCCTTGTCTGTGATGTGAATCAGTAAGGTGTTCGCATCCCAACATATACTTGAGAATGTGCAGATCACATGTTTCAAGCCTGGTAGTGGAGGGGGGCATGGAGGGGAGGAGATGCTGTATTCTACGCTCACAACTTTTTGCGTGAAGGAATATAAGAGGCAAGAATGCTTTCTGTTATCAAATCGATCTCGCCCACAAGATAAACAGTCAATTCACTTTACAGTACATCCCGCGAAGCGCTTTGAGACGCCCTGATGATGGGATGAGGCGCCACATCAAGTGCAAGGATTATTAAATCTATATTTTTAAAGTCAAAGGAACCTGAAAGCTCAGTCATATTCCCCCTTCTACACCACCACCCCCCACCACACACACACACACACACACAAAATAATCCTTAAAAATTAAAAACAGAACTCTTAAATCATCAGCGTATCGTGTGCACTTGATTTGAATTGTTCAGATCCTGTTCTATGGAAAACTTGCTCAGTTCTGCAGCTTTGGTCCTATATTCACTAATGAGCAGAAGACCTAGGAATTGCTGAATAAAAAGGTTCAAGCTGGTGTTCTGTCAGCGTGATGTTAACATATTACTGTAGAAATAACAATGGATGCACATTCATCCAGCGAGCACAACCGTATTTATGATCATTTAGCATATCTAAATGAATGACCAAATCATTTTAATATTGCAAAAAAAAACATTTGTGCTTCACCGGAGCATGGTACAGTAATTGCTAGCTAAACATGAAAGCAAAATATTAAGTCAGTCAATGCCAATTTCGCAACAGATGCGACCCACATTACAAATAGCAAAAAAAAGTATTTTTTTTCTGCTAAAATACCAAATTGTGCAGTAATTAGCAGAATATTTAATTGCCAATGTAAGCAGTCGAACAGTTCTACACAGTAAGTTCTAATTGAGTAAATCATTCTTACAACACACTACATTAACTGGTTCCATAACTGCTCATTTTGCTCAAATGCTCTAGATTTAAAATTTAAAAATAGCTTACCTTTTAAATCCTAAAATAAGGGCTCCTCGGAAACTATTTAGGTCCACTGCAGGATTATGAGGCGAAGATACTGTCAAGAAAGGAATATAAATTTTTTATATATATATTATATATACATACACACACACACACACACAGTAAAAGTAAAAAGCCCAGCAGCAAAATCATTTATACTCCGGTAGATGTACAAGTATGGGTCATGATTAACATTTAAAGAGAGCTAGAGAGCAAACCATATATTGATGTCAAGGAGAAAGAAGGAAAATGTTCCTGAAAGTTGATAACTCCAATAAATGGTGTCCAAATAGCCTCTTCAAATACCGTTGCAATATCCACTAGGACCTGGGTGAGTGCCAGTGCCGGCATTTTTCGGTACAGCTTCTTTTCAAGTGCCGAAAAATGCTGGTAAATGCCATTACTGTTGTGATTGTTTGAATCCCGCGAGCAGAAGATAGTGAATAAACTATCGAACAAAAGTCGATATCCCTGGCCACTGAAGCACGGTGAGGGAAGCGTGTCCACTACAGCACCCCATGCAGCATGCAGAATTTTTTTTTCTTTTTTTTACATTTGTCTGTTTTGGGCCCAGTAGGTACTAATTCACGATATCCGTAGTCCGGTAACCCGGGGGTTTACTGTACATTCCGGCCACAGACAGTTGCCGATTAGCTCATCTGAGGTAGATCGATACAGAATTCAACATAGGTCACTTTTCAGGGCAATCCTCTTTCAAGATCTTCCTTTTTGACCATGCCTTTGGTCATCTTTTCCCCACCACCCTTGGCCCCCAACCCCATTGAATCTTCCCTTCACAAACACTGGGCAGAGACTATCTGAAGGTAGGAACAGAAGATAGGACCTGGGATTTTCCTAGTTTATATGGCTCACCTACTCATGAAATAAACTTGAGTATAATTCAAAGGGTTACAAGGGTTTTTTCTAACTAAATTGCGCATGTCAATATTATTGCAATGGTATCACTTATTAATCGGTACTTACACATAGAATAAACATTGTCTAATCGTCCATTTACAGATTCTGCCCTAAGTTCTGATGCATAAAATCCAACCTTGTTAATTGGACATCCATTTTCCTACAGAGACAAAACAACAATCATGTCAGTGCATTTTTAAAATTCATAATAAATAACTATGCTTTTTGCATTTGACACAAAGCCTTACACGTTAGAACAAAGTTTGAAACTGCTTCACAGGATTTACCCTAAAGGTTAGTGACTGTGTATGTTGTTGATGAATTTACATTAATAATATAAATTGAACTTTTATTGATCCATTCGCTGATCTGCATATGGTACAAATGACACTAATTCAAAAGGTCTGTGTATTGCCAAACTGATGTTACAATAGTCTTGTTGTAACAGTATAATCTCGTCTATTTGCATTCAGGTAACATCCGTCACCAGCTCTCTACTTTAAATGGACCTTTTTTGATCTTGTGGCTCAATTAGTGAATAACCAAAAGTTAAATTATCCCCAAACTTTAATCCAGCATTAAATAAAAATATTTTAAATCAAATAATTGCATATGAATTTGTTCAACTAAATACGATCAAAAATAAATCCGACCGCAAAGGAATTAAAAATGGCTCCACATAAATGTTGCTTATTTTCTACCATATTCTATTTTCACAATTAAGAGGAAACCATTTGAAATTAGATAGAACTGTCCTTCCACCCAGTGCAATTTAATCAGTAGCAGCACATTTGTGAAACGCGGGGTCTTTTGTTGTGAGCCATTATAGATGCCAACCTCAAGCTGGGTACGAGCCATGTCAATGCTGTCAAATGATCCCAGCACATAGTTTGTGTAGGTTTCCACATCTGGTTCCACTCCCAGCTCCTGCATAGCATTCAGTACCTGCAAGGTGCCTGAAAACAAAGGAGCAGAATGAACTTCATATTTTATTTAGCAATGATACATATAGGTAGTGCTGCCTTTCGTTATAATAGATACAGGAAAGACACTATCCCATAAAAAGAGCTCCAGAGGACAAATCACCTCTGGCTGCTCACATACACATACACATCTCAATAGTTGGTGTAAGACTGATACTGGTAAATGTCTGAAAGCAAGTCACTTGCTTGGGGAACGGAAAACAAAATGTGGAAATGTCGAGGAAGGACTAAATACGTGATGAGCTGTAGGATTAAATTTTGTGTATAGACTTTTAGCTACAAACAGCCCATGAACACAGTGACAAATCCAAACTGTTTGATTAAAAGGAACAAACATAAACACCATTATAGACGTATTTCCACACACATGCACAAAAACAAACATGCTAAAAAGCTGTATTTTAGTATAACTTGCACTTATATAGCACCTTCCAAGCACCTTAGAAATATTAATATCAAGCAGGTAGGCAGAAAGGATAATTAAGCACGTTGATTACAAGCATGATAAATGAGATATTTTTAGGAGCATTTTGAAGACACAGAAACTTTGAAGAGGGTTCCAAAGAACGAGGCTGCCGAGAGCTGGGGTTCAGTGGCTGAAGGTTCAACCATTAACGGTAAGACGGAGGGAGTGAGGAGAAAGGATTTGTCCAGAATCCAAAAACTATAGGCAGGAAAATACAGACAGTCGAGATTGCATCTTTAGGGAAGGGTAAGACATTGAAGCAATTTGAAGACCAGGACAACAACAACAACAAATTGCACTTACACAGCACCTTTCATGTCGGGAGGACATCTCAAGGCGCTGGATTTATTTTTCAGACATGAAGTACTGAGACCTAGTGGAGTTTGGCAAAGATGGGAGTTATGGAGCCCAGTGTGGGCGAGAATTCAGGATGATAATATTCAGGTTGCCTGATTGTTCAAAACAGCACAAGTGCCTCATTGAAGATTCACCTTCCTTCATCAGGTGCAATTCTCTTTGTAACTGAAGGTGGATTTCTTTAGAAGATACTAATTGGGATGATTTGTCCTGTGTACATTTGACTGGGAGCCATAACCGGCATTGCCAGAAGTGTTTTGCACTTTCACTATAGCACACAATTGTTCTTTGGTTTACAATTATTTTTTTTTGAAGGGCAGGAAGCATGCCATTCACTGAGAGCAAAGTGCACTGTCTCAAATCACAGTTATAATTCAACAGGTTAAGAGAGCACTTAGCAGTGTTCAAAGACCACTCGGTGATCTCAATCAGTTTTAGCTGTCATTTTACAAGCACCCAAACTTGCTCTCCCTGAGAAGAATCAACTAAACTTTGTACTATATTGAATTATGAAACAGATATGTCAAATGCATTATCTATTGTCTCAGCTGCATGTACATGTCTAGCCCCCTTGAATTGTCCCAGTAATCACACCTACACACTACATTCCCCCTGACTTCCCATTACTCACTGTGACAGCATTAGCCGGGGAAAAAATAAACTCACCGCAAAAAAAAAAATATGTAAAGTATGTAGAAAAATTAAATGCACTTGTCCTTTGGATTTACACGTTGTTTTCAATGTATCTTGAAAGACAATGTATGAAAACCTACGAAACTTTACAGCACACTTCCAGCGTTATTAGTAATGTTCCCTTCCTCTTAAATCACATCAGAGGCAAATGCAACAATTCTGTTATCAAGCGAGGAGTCGTCAGCTGATGCGACATCTTAGAAGTAAGGCAGCATATGCTGTTCACAGCTCATCAGCTACCTCTGTCAGTTATTTGTAAATTTAAAATTTGCTTAAAGCCCTTCTGCCCTCGAGTGGCACCTTTAGAAAGTAAAGCAGCCTTCAATATTTTATGCAGTGCGCTACGGTGCTGATAATCCAAAGTGATTTCCCTTTGAGCACAAATATATATGTGGGGCTAAGTCACTCCAAATTAAAGTCACAGCACTTTCTCTATTTTGCCCTAGAACAACTCAATATTTATATTTGTGTGCGGTGTGTGTTTGTGGGTATTTTGCTGGGGGTGTGGGGGAATGGAAGGAGAAAGCGGAGAGGAACAAAATGCAAATAAATTTAAGTTAAATGAGCACAAACATCTTCGAAGTAGGTAGGTTACTGACAAAAGAGCACTAGACTTTAAAATGAAGGAAAAGCATATGTGCTCAAAAAGATTCAACAATGTGCACAACTGGGAATAATACCACTGATAATTTATAGCATTTTTTTTTGAAATGTACATATTTTTAAAAATCATCACCACTCACATATACACCGGATTCCAACATTTCAAATATTAGACTGTTTTTGTCACACGCATTACACTGCCCAGGAATTTTGCGATTTAAAACGCTTTAGATATTTAATGTGTGGGTCGAGAGAAAAAAAAAAGCCAGAAAGCAATTGTAAAATTAGTTGATGTAATTTCTGAAGTAGCATTTTTTTAAAAAAAACTCAAAAGCACAAAGCATCTGCCGAGAACTGGGTTTATAATCTGCACCAAGTCACATTATGGATAATGTTCTTAATTAAAAGAATAATGATCAGGCTGAATAATTCCATCAAGACCCCCACAGGAATTCTAAATCAGGTACAAGTGGGCTTTAACATTTGAAAAGGCACTATTTTTAAACAAAAGACGTAATTGGAATGCTCATATCACATTAAAAAAAAATGTTCACCGTCATTAACGCTTCTGTTCTTTCTACCACTCGGCAATTCCACTCATTTCAAACAGATGCCTCTACAGCTTATTTAGAAAGAACTTCTTCATTTAATGAAAAACTATTCCTAATTAGTAGTGTGCAAACAATTAAGTCAGCAACATCTCTCCGTAATGACCCTCTCAAAACCGTAGCTGCAGCACAGATGCAGGAATACTAATCGCTATCTGACGGAGGGAAAAGAGACAGAAAAATATGACCCTTTCTCAGACCCAAATCCTTCTGTAAAGCTGGGGCAAAACAGATGCCAGTCAATTAAACTCTATTTAAAAACCTAATAGGGAGAGGGGAAAAATTCCAGACAACATTATAATGCCCACAAATTACTGGCACAGCAACAACATCAACATGAATAAATCACGATGTTGAAAGGGGTCAACTGCAATACTTGGCAAGCAATGACAAATATTTTACGTCTGAAAATGCCTCCATTTTTTAAAACCTATGTATGAATCCTGCCTTTTACTGGGGGGGAATGTACATTCAAATGGCTTTGTGTATTCTCTATATGGCTCTTCTGAGTGTGGCTCTCGAGAACTAAAAATGATCACTTAACAACACTTTCCTGGTTTTATTGCCTGAACTACAGGAGTACAGTATGATCTGTGTCAATTATAATTCTCCCATTTATGAATTGTCATTTACCACAACATATTTAACACAAACAGGTTCTACTGATCATCGTGCACTTGCCACCCATTTGCCCACAAATAACGCTCAGACTGTTCAGAACAATTTGTTTGTAGTATGATTTCTGGTGTCTGACTCCATCAACCACCCCAATTGCTCACTCCACCTCATAGAACCCACGTGCAACCTTGGTATTTTGTTTGACCCTCAGCTTGCTTTCAAACCCAATATCCAGTACTTGATCAATATCACCTTTCTTCACCTATGGGACATCACGTACCTCTGCCCTGATCTCACTGCCAACCTCCAACACACATTCTAACCTTTTCTAATGCTCTCCTCTCCGGCCTCGTTCATCCATATACTGTATATAGCGTTTTCGTTTGTATGTTATGAAGTGCACAGTCATTCTCTGGTGCACCACGCTTGCCTAATGTTAAGTGTTTAGCTGGATGCCGGCAAACATTTGAAAAGTTTTAGAACCCCAAATGTAGCTTTAGCTGGTTAAATAGCCCTGTACATTAACCCAGTTAAAACTACATTGATATTGCAAACACTCACAAGTTTCCCATTGTTTGTCCTATGGACCACTGTTCAGGTTAGGAATCTGGTTGGACCATCATCAAAAGTACTGTGGACCTACCTGGTGCAGGACAGGATTACAGAGACCACTACAGAAAATCTACTTGTTTGACCTATTGAATTGTCAGGTATATCATCCTGGAGCCAACTCTGCCCCAATGAGACCCTGCTTACCACCACCCCTCTCTCACATACACATACACACACACAGAATTTATTTATCAACCTTGCATTTGATTCAGTGCCTTATCACTGTCAAAATGTCTCAAAGTGCTTCATAGGATGTATTTTTTTACTGCTTAAGTGCACTTGTAGGTGAACATTACAGCCAATTTGTACAATATCCCACAAACAGCCACAAAGTGAATGACCAATTTTATCTGAGGGGTTGCTGGTGAGGACAACCTTTATTCATTTTCAAATAATGTCATGGCATCATTAACATCCAACGAATGGGCAGACAGGAGCTCAGTTTAACGTCTCTTCTAAAGGGCAGCTGATAAGAGCAGGTTTGAGCCTTCACACGGTGGCTAGCAGGTACCAGGAACCCTGCATATCTTTTGAATCACAACAGATCAAAGTACTCATTACTCAAAGGCCAACCAAGTGAAGGGAAATTATGTCAAGGAGTGACCAATTCACACAGAAGGAATAGCCATGGGGTATCCAAACAACACCGACAGACTAGGAACAAATGCAGAAATACCAGATTGAAGCTTGGAATACGATTAAAAAACACAATCTCCAAAATTGAGACACCTCAGCACTCTAGAAAGACAACGGACTTAATTTGCAAGATGTTTTGCCAGCATCTTTCAGCTGCATTCTAACCAAACAGCTACAGAAATACAAAAAACATTTGGAGACATCTTGTATGCAGCTAATGTGTTTTTCATATTAAAAAAATCATACAGCACTTAGCCTGTATTTAAACTGAATTACATTACAGCTCATTGCAAGCTGGGGGTAGTTTTGCTCCCACTAAACATTTCATACTGGCACGTGCAAATTATGTACATATGTATGAACTGACTAAAATGATTTTTATACTCAATGCTAACACCAGCAGCGTGGTCTTGCAGAATGGGGCTGTTAGTGGCACAGTGCATTGGGAATGCAGTGCAATAAGGTAATATGGATTCAGACACTATTTTTAGAGAAACGGGGACAAAATGAACACGAGAAAAGAACAGCTTTATAATATATAAAGTACCCAAGTGGAAGAGGAAAGAAAACATCTGTTCCAACAAGGGTCTCTATAAAATAATCCTTGCATTCGATATAGTGCCTTATCATGTCGTCATAATACCTGAAAGTGCTTCACAGGATTTATTGTAAAGTGTTGTGACTTTGTATTTTGTTGGCAAACAGCACATTTAAGCACATTTTTCATAGGTTTTCAAACTACAAATTAGCTCAAGCATTTACAAACCATGAATCCTGGGGTTTGAGTTGCGCACAGCAGTGTCCCACAAACAGTCGTGCATTGAGTGACCAAATTATTTACTTATTTATTTACCCCCAGAAAAGCAATCTGCCAATCGACTAACAACCGGCTTCCTACTTACTGCTAGGTAAACAGAGGCAACGTTTTGCCCTGCCGGGATTCGAACCCAGGTCCTCTCGCTTGTGAGGTGAGCGTGCTAACCACTACAGGACTCCAGTATAAATATTTCCTGATTTACAGCATATTTCAAGAAATATTCAATCCAGACATTTACTTTATAATAATAATAATAATAATAATAATCCTTGCATTTGATATAGCGCTTTTCACGTCGGGAGGACGTCCCAAAGCGCTTCACAGAACACACTGTAAAGTGAATTGACTGTATATTTGTGGGCGAACGCGGCAGCCAATTGCGCACAGCAATGTCCCACAAACAGTCGTAGATTGAAAATGGCCAATTTAATTATTGTTTTTGTTTTTTGGAGGGATTATTATTAGGCGTGTGGAGTAAGGAAACTTGCCCAAGGTTTCGCCCTGCCTGGAATTGAACTCGGATCTCTCACTTGCAAAGCGAGTGCTCTAACCACTGAGCTACAGGACTCCACTGAATTTACAAATTGCATTGTCTTCCTTTTTTTTAAAACCTTCCAAAAGTATTTTCCAACAAAAGCAGTTGCCACACTTGGTAAATTCTGCAAAGCACTTTGAGGAGTTTTGGCCCGATAAGGCATCATAAAAAATGCAAATTCTTTTTCTTTGTTTCTTTCTTGGTTGAGATTTTTTTTGCCTTTTTTTTTGGCTCGTTTCCCCACATATTGCTCCAGAAGTACTTTATGGCCTCATAACGTGCGTGCAAAAGATCCAGGCAATTTTCATGTCTGGAAAATTCTTGAAACAATGGCCGAACTAATCTGCAAAGTAAATCAGGCTAATATCTTGTTTATAGAAGCACCTTGCACTTCCAAACTGTTGCGGCAAGAATATGAAACAGCATATTCTCGTACTTCTGGAGCAATATGTGGGGAAACGAGCCAAAAAAAAAGGCAAAAAAAATCTCAACCAAGAAAGAAACAAAGAAAAAGAATTTGCATTTTTTATGATGCCTTATCGGGCCAAAACTCCTCAAAGTGCTTTGCAGAATTTACCAAGTGTGGCAACTGTTTTTGTTGGAAAATACTTTTGGAAAGTTTTAAGAAAAAGGAAGACAATGCAATTTGTAAATTCAGTCTTACAATTTAGATCGTTTGGAAATCTGCTTCTGCAGTTATTACGAAGCACTGGCTACCGAATCAAAAAACAAATGGAAGAATTCCCAGTTTTTCGCAATGAAGCTTCAACACAGCTATGTCATTATAATGGTCTAAACTCTGTGTCTTGAAGCACAATGCAGCCCATTCCTACACACAGATTCTGCATGTCAAGAAGAGGGAAACATTTAACGTTCTTTGCTTCCAGCTCTGTTTTATTTCAATGACATTTCTTTCCCCGAACACACTTTCACCGTTCGAAGCAGATCCTGTTCTTATCCCTTGTGTCAGAATTATAAACTTGAAGAAAGAAAGGCAGCATTTCCAGTGAACATATAAGTCGGAACGACCAGAAACCAGAATTTTTTTGACATTTGGTAATTCCCTTCATATTTTCCTCCTATTTAACATCAAGCACGATTTAGTCGTTGCTTTCCCCCCCACCCAGTTAAAAAAAAGTGAAGTAAATTTTCTCTGATTTGTCAAATGTTCACAGCAAAGTGCTGCTTTTCCTTTTTTTTCTACTTCATAATTCTGACAAGAATTCGATCGGATGTGCCTGCTACTAACGGCAGTAAAAAGCAGTTGCGGAAAAGAAGTGACAGTTAAATTAAATAACAAAGAGCTAGAAGCAACAACCTTTCACGTTTTCTTTGCCTGACGTTCAGTGTCTAGGACGAGACAGGCGATACACTTCATAATATTTACTCCAAGCCAAGCCAAATGCAGAAAAGCCCCCAAATTTGGGTGACAAAACGAAAGAGAAAATGATCTAAACATTTTTTTGACCAACTCAGGAGTTGTTTGGTGACATGCCAAAAATCGGGAGGGGTAAAAAAAAAAAAGACGGAAGGTTTTAGGAGACTTAGTGCCAACATATGGTGCAGTAAACTTCTGCGCAGCCGCTGACATTGCAGCAATTGCCTTCACTGCGGGGGAAAAAAAAAATCATACAATCCTAGAAATTAAAAGTACAAGAGGCCATTTTGCCCCTCACAGCCTAGAAGGTGCCAACTCCTCCATTGGAAGCCAACTGCACTAATCCTCTCCTCTTTCACAACACTTTTATACTCCTCTTCAAATGTCCTCCTGACGTGAAAGGCGCTATACAAATGTAATTTTGTATTGAAGTTGATTCCCTTTCAAATTGTTACGGTTCAATGGTGGCAAAACCATTGGAGACGATTACGGTGCATAAAGTGCATTGGTAGACAGGATCCACACTGAAAGGTGTGTCAGCAGGCTTAGAACGGACACTAAGATGAAGCAAATTCAGCAAGAGGAAAAGGTCATTGAGCCCCACAAGGCCATCTCATCTACCCGCCATATGCCTCCAATCCCTGCCTCTTTACAGACATGCACCCAGTTGCTCTTTGAACTACTTTTTGAATGGTTCGAATTTGGTAACGTTCACAAGTCCCCCAGGACACAGCAGATAGTGCATTGCACTGTACCTGTACGTACAAGCAATGAAGATCATGCATGTTTCTCGCGCAGTTGAGGGTCCATTAAGTGATTCAATAATCTTCCACCGGCACATAGTTAGGCATCTTCCCCTCCTGCCCCCTCACCCCGCCACTCTCTGGAACTCTTACAAAAATCCCGTTGCATTCCCTCCTTTCCACCCAGCTTTCAAAACCCTTCCCAAAATCCTTCTCTTTGCTTGTGCCTTCAATCACCTTCCCACCCCATCTCTGCACTTGTTCTCCTGCATGACAGGTACAATGTAATTGCAATTTCTTGGTGCTGGTGTTGTGTACGATCCATACTTATTACTTTATGCATTATAATAATAATGCTTTCATTTGATATAGCGCTTTTTCAGGACTTTTAGACGTCTCAAAGCGTTTCACAGAATATACTGTAAAGCGAATTGACTGTATATTTGTGGGCGAAACGCAGCAGCCAATTGCGCACAGCAGCGTCCCCACAAACAGTCGTGGATTGAAGCGACCAATTTAATATTGTTTCTTTTTCTTGTTATTATCATCAGGCGAGTGGAGTAAGGAAACTTGCCCAAAGTTTTGCGCTCCCAGGAATCGAACCCAGGTTTCTCGCTTGCGAGGCAAGTGCTCTAACCACTGAGCTACAGGACCCCACAATAATTGATTATATAGCTTCAATTGCAGGCTTCAATCCAAATACCCAACTGAATGAAAAAAGCCTAAAATAGCCACAAACCTTGCACATTTTTTTCTTTCTGATGCGCTGCAAGTAGAGGCCAGAAATAATGAGGCCGAATAGGTAGGTTTTCCTTCTGGATAATCTTCATGAGCTCAATTGATATTCCTAGAGACACAAAAGAAAATTATTTAAACATGCCAAGCTCCATCATCATATAATTACATAGAAGGCAAACTAAACCCTACTCCCAAGATCTAGGGTACTTAACATTTAAATTGTTCAAGTGCAGGTAAGACCATAATAATAATCCTTGCATTTGATTTAATGCCTTCCACACCAGAAGATAACGCAATGCGATTTGCAGGATATACTGTGTAGTGGAATGACTATGTAGCTTATAGACGAATGCAGCAGCCAATTTGGCACAACAAATTCCCACAAACAGCCGTGAAGTGAATGATCAATTTTATTTTCCGGATAAAGGAAAAGTTTTGGCATTGGTGAGTCACAACAGTATATTTGGGGAACATGATAACCACTCCGTGGCACATGAGTTATTTTAATCCTTGCATTCGATAGTGCCTTATCATATCGTTGAAATGTCTTAAAGCGCTTCACAGGATTCTACTGTGAAGTGTAGTGACTGTGTATTTGTAGGCAAACACAGCAGCCAATTTGTGTATGGCAATGCCCCACATACAGCCATGAAGTGAATGATTTTATTTTATTTGAGGGATTTTTAGTCAGGACAGCGGGAGAAACTCCCTTATCTTTTCGTCGAACAGGCAGATGAGACCTTGTTTTAACGTCTCATCTGAAAATGGCACATCCAACAATGCAACACATATCCCTCGCACTGCATTGGTGTCAGCTTTGACTGCAAATTCAAAGGCCCGATGTGGGGCTTGAACCCACAACCTTCTGATTTAGTATCAAGAGTGCTAGCAATTGGGCAGGACTGACACCTAATTCTGTTCAATACACAACACTTTCTGTTGACTTTGCTCTGTTTGATAAAAAAATCAAACTGTATCAACAGTAAAATGTGGTGTATCAGCATGCCAACTAATCATCAGCGTGTGCATTAATCCTCACAGGAAAGTGGTTGTAAGGCTGCAATAACAAAACCCAATTGCATGCATGCACAAATTGCACGTGTAGTTTCTAGGCCAGTGTTTCTTCAACACCTTGCAGCGCGGGGTTGAAGTAGAGCAGAGAGAGTCAGAGAAACAGAGACAGAGGTAAAAGTCAGATGAAAGAGGGTGAGAGACTCGAACACAGAACCAGAGATTGGAAAAAAATGTCAGGGAGAGTGAAACAATTGAAAAGAAAGTGGCAAAGAAAAATAGACTGTATAGTACAATATTGACAGCATAACTCCTGATGGTATATTTTTTGGTTGCTATTGTTGCCGATTTGTATATTGCATGATGGCCAATTATCTGCACAATTTCCTTATCCACAATTGGGCAGATAGTCAACTCTGCGGTATTATAATAGTAATAATAATAGTGCTTGCGTTTGATCTAGTGCCTTATCGCGTCTTTGAGATGTCTCAAAGCCCTTCAAAGAAATACACTCTAAAGTGAACTGTATACTTTGTGGGTGATAATCTCCCTGATTAAAGAAGGACTTTGATTGTTTTATATTCAACTAAACAAGCTTTTGAACAAACAAAGAAAGTAGCACAATGCAATACTACTTTCATTTGCTCAATTTTATAGGCATCATCATTCCTCCCCCCCCCCCCCCCACCCCAAACCCAGGTAACTCACACAATTTGGCTGTTCTTCATCAATATGTCCAGGAGTTACCATTGGCAACAAGCAAGTTCCATGAATTTACACATTACAGAAATCCAACCTCTGGAAAGCACTTCAGCAAAGGACAAAGCTCTTTATGAATTACTGAACTGTAAGTAATTTTTAGTTAAGATTCATACCAGTCTTCTTAGCCTCCAAAGCGCAGTGAAGAGCGAACTGGAAAGGGGCCAAATGTAGGTTCGCCTCCTTCAACCCCTCACAGAACTGCTGCACCTTGTCCAACGGCTATAGAGTGCAAACAATAAGTGCAACTCAACAAGTTTGTCTCAAACTACAGGCAACATTTTTAATCTGACAAATATTTACAGTGTATTGTTCAATGGGGTTCGGACGGCAGGCTCGTCTTTTCTTACCTTGTCTGAGTTAATGCAGTGTCGGATAAAGAAGTTACCAAGACTGAAGGAATCACCATTCTGGGAATCCGTTTGAAATGTGGGAAAGGTTTTCAGCACCTGGAAAGCTGTGTCTTCCAACCCATGGGTGATCAGGCTGAGACACAGATTCATCGCGTCTGAAAAAACAAAGAATGCATTATAAAAATGAGCCAAGACATAATAATAATAATCCTTGCATTCGATATAAGCACCTTATGACGCCTTCAAGACGTCTCAAAGCGCTTCACAGGATATACGGTGAAGTCAATCGACTGTATGTTTTGAGGGTGAAACGCGGCAGCCAATTGCGCCCAGCAGTTTTCCACAAACAGTCGTGGATTGAAGTGACCAATTTATTATTATTTTTTTGAAGGAATCAAGACATCAGGGTGGCATCCATCTATATTGAAGGGGGGGGGGGGAATCATTCTGCAGTGTTCACAATGTTTACTCAATCTTGTCACACATGCTATTAATGATATGTCATCATAATTGCACATCAAAATATTTGCTACACTGAACTATGCCCATACTTGATCTATTAATACTGACAAATGTCTACATCCATTTCTTATATTTCCCATACAAGAGAAATTTCCAATTTGGAACCATATGTTTCATTCTCAAAGATTTGAAAGAAATGAGAGTGAGTTTAGTTATTTTATTAGTCTGTCGCAACTCTTTACCTTTTTAAGTTAATTTCCCTTCCTTTTCTTCATATCCATTATATACTCTTACTTCCAATGTACTTACCAATCTTCCTCTTAAAGGCATTCATTTGACTATATACCAATGGCTCACCTAGGGTGATAATGCATTACAGACTCGCACCATGTTTTACGTGAGGAATTAAACATGAGATAATTGTGAGTGTAGTGCCATGTCCCTAGTTTCTCTGCTTCGTGCTTCAGAATGCTGCTTGGAAGTAGGCTGGAAGCAAAATGTTTGTGCATAACCCATCCTCAAAGATACATAGTTAATGAGGAGTTTGCACATGAACAACACTGCCCTTTTCATTGTTTCACTTGAGGAAAACTGAGTGGCACCATATTAGGAGAGAGAGTTCTATATTCTATATCAAAGGTTTGATTCAAGGAAAATCTGCACTTAAGGCAGTTCAGAGCAAATATTTATTTTCTTTAGCACCTTTGGATCTCATTTCTTCTTCTATCCTGTGCTTGAATGCATTGCTAAAAAGTTACTATTTGAGAGCATGGCACAATCTTAAATTTTAAGACCGCACAGGAATTTTAGGGGCAGAGTTTTTCATTCCAAACACAAATACTGAATCTTACTCTCGCAGAGATTGCTCCTAAAGGGCATATTTTGCTCGACTCAGTCAGGATATTTAAAATAAAACTGAGGTGACTCTTCTCAAGCCACTCAAATAGAAAATTTGTTTTGACTTTTGAACAACATGAAAAAAAAGAAAATGTTTAACAGTTTAAACAGAATTCAAAGACAAGTATTTTAAGGTTAAGTCAGGTTAGAAGAATCACAATTGATCACTACATATGCGTAGTATTGCTTTGGAACTTGCCTGGTATATATCCCCTGTCATGTCTCATCCGCTCCACAATATTCTGGACATACTGGGGGTAGCCAGACTTGGCCAGGCTGAAGATAATTTGCATCAAATCCCTGTCCATCAGGCTGGCATCTGTCTTTTCAACTTTCTCCAGTGTCTATCAACAAGGGAAAGATTTACCACGTTAAAAATATGCTTCATGTATGTATGTGTGTATATATATAATATAGATATCTTAAGGCAGTGCTAAAGCAACAATTTATTTTCTTTAGCACCTTCTGATCTCATTTCTTCTTCTCTCTTGTGCATGAATGCACTGCTAAAAGTTGCACCATCAAAACACCTTGAGCAACTTGAAACAACGTGCTAAACGAAAATCACAAATATTCATTGGAAAAAGATCTACTGTTCACTTAAATTACATGTATACAACTAACTGCATTTCATTTGTGGTATTACGTTTAGAAGGCATTAAAGTTAGGCTCCTCTCTGCTGGCTGAAAGGGTCCTGTGCGAAATGGCTTTGTTTCTTTCTCAAGTACCAAAAGGGCTTGGGTTTACAGCACAGTGCAGCCCAGAAGTCAATAACTACAGTATTGTCACTTACGATGCCTAGTATAAAAGACTGAAAATCTCACACGACGTTTAAAATGTGAGAACAGAAACATAGGAACAGGTGTAGGTCATTCAGCCCTTCAAGCCTGTTCTGCCATTCTATAAGATCATGGCTGATCTGTACCTCAACTCCAATTGCCAGTCATTGCCCCATATCCCTTAGCACCCTGACCTAACAAACATCTATCCACCTCAGTCTTGAAAATGTGAGTGGATCCACAGCATCCACAGCCTTTTGGGGAGAGAGTTCCAGATTTCCACTCCCCTTTGTGTGAAAAAATGCATCCTGATTTCACTCCTAAATGGCCTAGCTCTAATTTTAAGACTATGCCCCCTTGTTCTAGATTTCCCCCACCAGAGGAAATAGTTTCCCCCTAGCTAACCTGTCGAATCCCTTTATTATTTTAAAAACCTCAATTAGATCACAGAGCTGGCCAAATCAGGGGGGAAAAAAGGTTGACGAGCAGAACAACCTTTGCTGGTTTGGGATTCACGATTCAGGAATCTGTACACATTTCACTAACAGGAAGTAACAAACAATGCAATAGATCCAGTTTCTGAGTACTGCATTTTGAACCGCACTCCTACACCACAGGAGTGCGATCTGGATTTTGGAGATATTTTTGGTGAGTGGAGGAGCACAAGTCCAATGTTACCATCCATCTTTTGATATCCAAAAGCACAAATGCCCAACAGACATATCAATGTGGTTTTTCACTCAAAGCAAAGGTCAATAATCGCAGATTTCAGTTCCCCTTCCCTCCGCCCTTCCCCCATTATAGTCAAGCGAGAAAAAAAAAAGATCAATTGCTAAAATGTGTTCACCACACATACTGACAAGCTATGGACATTTCACACACAAAGCTGCTGCATTAACATTCAGTCTCCCCTGTATACTTATCGAATCTTTTGACATGAACAGTATTCCTTTCATTGATGTAATCTTTCAATAAACTAAAAATAACAGTGTTTGAATAATTGTTGGGTCAGTTGGGTACCTGATTGATTTTGTCAATATCTCCCTTGTCAGCGTACACATTCAACAAGGCAACATAGGTGTCTGGCCCAGGCTCAATCCCTGCATCTGCCATCACAGTTAGGACCCCCTCTGCGCTTTGCAAATCGCTGAAATAGAAAGTGTTACAATTCAAAACGGAGAGAGAAAAATGTCTCAGCGGAGAATGCAATAATAATCCGTGTATTTGATATAGCGCTTATCACGTCTTCTGGATGTCTCAAAGCACCTCACAGAATATACTGCAAAGTGAATTGACTGTATAATTGTGGGCTAATGTACTGCCAATTATACTGGATTCCTAATGAACACTGTAGAGATAAAGATGGGGGGGGGAGGTGGGAGAGAGACCACCAAATTATCAAAGTGCCAAATCGCGACGGTTGGCTGTACTCTTGCTTCCAAATCAGAAGGTTGCAGGTTCAAGCCCTATATCAGGACTTTCAGCCCACAGTGTTAGGCGGCCACTCTGTAAAACAGTGCTGGGGGAAGGCTGCATTGTTGGGAAAAGCTATCAATTGAGCGGGACGTTAAACCAAGGTCCCGTCTGGTCTTGTTCAGGTGCAAGTTAAAGATCCCATGGCACTGCTTGGGAAGGGAAGGGAATTTCTCCTGGTGTTCTGACCAATACTCCTCCAGATAAAATTGCTCATTCGCTGCATGTCTGTTTGTGAGACATTGCTGTGCGCAAATTGGCTGCTGCAATTGCCCACAAAATATACAGTTATTACATTTTACAGTAAAAAAATCCTGTGAAGTGCATTCAGACATTTCAGCAGCATGATGAAATGCTATGTCAAACACAAGACTTATTATTATCGTTATTATAAGCGCTGAAAGAGTGATTTGGGAGGTCGGATAAAATGCGACCGAAACACTGAATTGAGTTATTGCTTCCATCCCACTGAAGACTGCATTATCCAGAATACCATGATTCCCAAAGAACATTATATCAGCCTAGTATTATTCATACTTTTATTTTTAAACAACAAGAAGAAAATTACATTGGTGATTGAATCATAGAATTTTACATCAAAAAAGTAGGCCATTCAGCCTTCACACCTGTAATGTCTCTCTTATTTTTGCCTCAAGTCATTGCAGTGTATTTGGTTGCATATCCTTTCAGTTCAGTTAGAAAGTGAGACTAGATAATCAGCCTGTTGCTCTTTCGATGGCTAAATTGGCAAAGCCACTTGTGTGAAACTGAGCAACACAGTGTTGGAGGTTGAATGCCTGCCATGTGCTAAATTAGCTAATCTCATCTGAATTGACAATAAGAATACTACATTTGGATGTTGAGTTGAGAGAGAAAAAACAGCCAGGATTCCTGCTCCATTCAGTATTCTCTATTCAGAGGTGCATGTTTGTGTGTGTATATACCGCAGTCTGCAAATATAAGATTGAGCTCAGTTTTAATGCCTACCTCCCCACTACACAGTTAGATAGACATTCAATACCCAAGATCGTTCGTAAAGAATGGCCACTTGGCTCTAGCCCATTTCAGGCAGGAAGATTACACCACCTCAGGATAAAGAAATGGCTTGCATTACACTTACATTATTTTACCCTAGGAAATACTTACCCAGCTTTTGCATGTCCAGTCACCAGAGAATTGAACACAACCTCTGTAATTGGTAGATCTTTGCTCTTCATGAAGCCAAGAATCTTACTGAGAAACAAAATAATTTGTTCTCAATTAACGTATAATACCAAATATATCTCCATCCAATTCCTTGTGCAGCACACAGAGCAATTACGTAGCATCTGGAAGCTAAAATACCTCACCTCAGACCCCCAAACTTTGCAGATTTTATATGACAATTGCCCAGGAAACATGTCAATTCCAGTCAGTTTCATGAAGTCAAAGAATGACTGGAGGTGTTGTGATTGCATAAAAACTTTTTTTTTAAAATAATGATTTTCCCCTACTGGCAAATTGGGCACGTGTGCACATCGGGTGAGGACAAGATCAGGCTCAGCTGTGATCTCCTTCTCTCCCTACCTCCTCCACCGTTTCTCGCTTAACCCCTGTCCCCTATCGAGAAGTTGCACATCTTGTCAATCATCTGGGTTCACTGATAAATTCTTTTCATTTTTTTTGCGCGGAAACCCATCGCCATGCTTAAGAGTATCCAAACCAAGCTGAGATTTCTATGCATCCCACCTACACCTGGAAATCCCAGCGATAGATTGTTGGAATGGTATGCGCCCTCTCTCCGTGGAGGGATTCATCCCGTTTAGCTAATTCCGGAAAGTATTAGGCGCAGGTTGGCACGAGCCAAGGCCTGGGGAACCCAGGCGTACTGCTCGAGCCTAACCAGCTAAAACTCATTAATATTGCTTTCCAGCTGCTTGTCCAGCTAGGACCCAACCCGTTAGGTTTTGGCTTGCCGGGTTAACAGGAGCTGAGTGGGTTGACTTCCTCCCCCAGTGACTGGTCTGCCCTTCCAGGTCCTGCCAATGAGCCAGGCTGGGCTGTGCTGTCATCAGCAGTGCCCTGGAGTACTGTGGACATGCCTGGCTCAGGAACCGAATTATCGAGACCGCCACAGAGGCTGACTTGATTCCGACATTCTGTTGCCAAACATGTCACCCAGGAGCCAGTTCAGCTTCAAGGAGACCCTGATTATATTGACGAAGAATAGCCATGTGAGGAAGATAATCTAACCAGTATCTGTGATCTTGTACCCTAGCACAAGTCTGCACCAAGAGCACAGAAGGGGAGAAAACTGGAGAAGGGAAGAGGGCAAATTGTTTTCTCCGTTGCAGGTTACTCATGATCACGCATCTCCTCTCTAGTTGGAACCGTGCCCCTGTGCAACTGTCCAACTTGCTCCCTGTAGACAAGGACCAGAGAGGCAAACCACACAACATTCATTTTCCGTTTCTTTTCAAGATGAAACCTGTGGGGAAATGACATTTATGTGGCATACAGCCGTGGGACGTGAACTCACAATCTCTGGGATGCACGAAAACTGTTTTGAGTGTTAAACTAGAAGCTTGGTATCAAGGCATTGCCAACAGCTCAAAGAGGATAATGTGTACTTTGTTTCAACGAAAGCTTAGAGCAGCTCCATAAAACAACCCAGAAAAGGGAATATTATGCAGCTTTGTGTTTTAAAAGCAATGAACGAACAACGTTTTTAAGATTTTGATTCTCCACAATATTTTAACAGGATCATTTACCGCATTTTTTTGGTGTCAGAATAAAATATACACATCACAGATTAACACTGAGTTACATCCTGGAATTCCTAATCACGTACCCTTAAATCACCATTTCTTCATTTTCAGTAGTAAAATCTGCAAAACCGTCATGTCTAAATCCTATGCATTTATTTAGAGCGGAGGTTAAGAATAACTCTCCTTTAGGAAGAGGGCATTGTGATGAAGGAAGAAAGCACCAAAAAAGGCACAGCCAGTATTTTATGCCTAATATTTTATTTTAGATTATTAAACAAGGTAATAGGTCATGTGTTGGTGAAAATAACCAAAAGGAGTTATAAAATTGCATTGAATGCAGGAATGATCTGCAAAGCATCTGAACACAAACCATGTCTGAATGACATGCTGCAAGGAAACATTCCTCTGTAGTGAAAGCAGAACTGCACTAATTGAACAGCAACTTTAAACCCAGAGGGGCATAGAATATACAACGAGAAATCTTATAGGTGGTAATAAACAATACAATATACAATTACAATACAAAATTACATTTGTATAGCGCTCTTCACATCAGGAGGACATCCCAGGGCGCTGGAGAAAATCTCATAGAAACCACAAAAATAAAATGGCTCAAAGAGCGATCAAGTGAACTGGACAACAGTTACCAGGGTAAGAAAGAACTTCCATTTTTGTAGTGCTTTTTGATGTCAGAAAATCTCAAAAAGCATTTCACAGATATTCAATGTCAAGTGTAGAGACTTTTTTTTGTAGGAAAATGTAGAGTTTGCACTCCAGTGAAATCCCACAAATAGCTACGAAAACAAGTGCGTTGTATGCACAAAGACACATCTAAGTCACTGAGAACACTCTTTCAGCCTCAGCTCCATTTGATCAAGGACTGAGTGTTTATATGTTACTTTAGTTACTGACATATAATTTTAAGGCATAATCCTTTTAGAATGTGATTAACAGTGATTTTAAAAAATAGCATTTTAGTTGCTCTTTAAGATCCTCTGTTTTTTTATGTATCGTTTCACATTCTGAGAATCAGGTCAAACTTTAAAAAAACGATTTCCTGGGCAGATTAATCGCTGTAGATCTGGATAATTTTAAAAGCCATACCTTGCACCTTCAATGTCTCCATGACTGCAATATGCTGCTATCAATCTCTGGAAGGTAACCTGGACATTAAAGAGAACAAATAATTGATTTGAGTGAAAATATATAGAGTTTGCAATAATATACTGCTGTGTCTTACAGAAGCATTTTGTCAGTGTTATTGGGAATCTCCAGACAACAAAATAGCAACAACAAATCACACTTGTACAGAGCCTTTCACATCACAAGGACATCCCATCACTGGGGTTTCCATTTATAAGCACAGCATCTACAAGTTGACAATATTGGGGCAATTTAGCAGCATATTTAATATGCATCACATCAAAAATGCCAGAGGCAGATTGTCCATCCACTCCCCTCCACCCCATTCTGACACTTGTTCTCAGTGCCAATAATCACAAAACTAGACTCTCAACTATGGACTTCTGTCTTCCAGATGTTGACTGCTAGATAGCAAGAGTAGTCACTCTAAATGTTTGTTTAGTAAAATCCCAACATCCCACTAACCAGCAATGCCAAGTTTCCTGGAGGTCACAGTAGAGAACTGTAACATGGAGGGAAGGCCACAACCTTCACATCCAAGTACATTTGATGTAATATATTAAGTGTGCAGTAATTCCTGAACCCGGGCTTAACTTGTCACTACAAGTTTAGTCATCATGCTCTCAATAACTCACTCGGTTTGGTTGCACATTTGCGGATTCCATTTTCGCCAGAAATTCTGTCGGTGAAAACTGGTGCTCATTCTGAAGGTAGACTTTCAACAGAGCATTGTAATGGCTGACATCATAAACAGCCCCTAGGTTTCAAAGATAAATGGTTAAAAAAAGGCAGTCCCCTTCAACTTGCTAACTACAAGTTATTGAAGGCAAGAAGAATTGAGCTCAGAGTCCTCCTGTGACTCCAACAATACACTGATTACTTACGATAATAATATTAATCCTTGCATTTGATATAGCGCTTTTCACGTCTTCGAGACGTCTCAAAACGCTTCACAGAATAGACTGTAAAGTGAATTGATTGTATATTTGTGGGTAAAATGCGGCAGCCAAATTGCGCACTGTCTGTGTATAAATCAACCTCAGCATATTCAAATAATTCATTCCCAGCATTTCTGAGACAGAAACTTGTTAGTAGTTTATATCAATATAAATTGCTACAAATATTTGCAATGGGCTGAGAATGTATCTCGTTTAGTGCATTTCTGCAGCTCCTAAGTGACCAAAGAACACATCAGACTGCAATGGCTGAGCATCCATAGAGATGCGTTATATAACGTATCTGCCACCCAGATTTTTAAAAAATGCTTCAGAAGTGTTTATGAACATAGTGAGTTGCCTGGAGCTACTGCCATTTTAGATACAGTCACGCCACAGAAAGGGAAGTCATGTTTTAGCTTACTTGTCCACACACCGTAAAACAGGATAAATTCACAGCATCCATGTTTCACATTTGTGAGATAATGAACAGACTTGTGACAATCACAATTCAGGATTTGTCGCACTGATGTTCAACGCTTGTAGAATATGATGGATCCAGAAGAGTGGAATTCATGCTGACTAAACATAGATAATTAAGGGAGGACTTTTGTTGTGTGTAAATATTTCAGAAAATTCATTTTCGTCCGAATTTTTAACCCCAAATACTAACAGCAGCATTCAAAGAGTGCAAAAATGTTATGCGTCAACGTGACACCTAACCTCAGGTGAAATGATTTGCTGCCCTTCGCTTACTATTCCTCCTTTTTAAAATGGATGCTTACCTCGGCCACCCCTTTCCCCTTCCCGAATTTATGCAGAATTCTGCTCACAGAAACAATTTTATATTGATATGAATAATAAATATTCTCGTGGTAAGTCTTCGTACCGAGCTCCTGCAGCTTCTCCCAGATCCGATGAGCTAAAGCTGTCCTTTCCGATAGTTGCACTTCTGGAAGCAACGACCCGCAACTGCGTAACAGGAGCAAAGCTTGATTGCTGCTGGGATGGCCTGGTCAACAGAAAAATAATATTTTCATTCAAATAAATACTTTGAAATATACAAAGCGTTGCAGATGACAAGAGGCACAAGAACAGCAAGACACATGGCATCTATATCGATAGGATTGAGGGGTGTATAAATTTTGTGGCCCTCCCCTCAGCGGGCTCCGACCTTCTTCACATTCCCCCGCCTCGCCCGCCCCACCATTGGCGGGCAGGCCTTCAGCCACTCTGCCCCCACCCTCTGGAACTCCATCCCACGGACCTCCGCCTCGCCCCATCCCTTGCCTCCTTCAAGACCCGTCTCAAGTCCCTCCTCTTCGACCATGCCTTCGGTCACTCTCCTCCCCCCCCCCCCCCCCCCACCCCCGCCTTCCACCCTTCCTGATCCCGACCCCCAGCTCGGGTCCCAAACACTGATTGTCCAGCGCCTTCGGGCATCCTCCACCATAGAGGCGCTACAGAAACGTAATTTTATTGCTTTTGTTTTTGAAAAATAAACTGGTTAACTGTCAGTGATTAAATTAACAAGTACTGGATGGATTATTGCCCTGGAATATTGGGCATTAATCTGGGCAAGAGGGTTGAAATGTGTTGTAATGTTATTAGTGTAGAGGTTGAGTGGCAAATCCATAGATTCAATTATTTTGATCTAATGCCTGACATCTTGTTTCTGTAGTTTGTTTTTTTTTAAATTTGACATGGCAGGTTTCTTGGCTATATTAAAGTAGATAATATCTTTCTCCCCCGCACACACTCTTAAATTACACAAACCATCAGTCACACACCCTATAAAATAATCCTTATGTTTGATATAGCTCCTTTCACATCGGGAAATTTCACATATCCTAAAGCACTTCACAATATATACTGTAAAGTATGAGTGGTATTTATTTTGTAGGTAAATGTGGCAGCTACTTGTGTACAGCAATGTCACTCAAAGAAACAGGACGCGAATGACCCAATTTTATTGGGGGAGATTGTTGGCCGGCATCAAATGACCTGAAGCCATAGGTGGCTGTATGAAGCATTAAAAGAAACTGGATACATATTAAAGAAAAAATAAACAATGTAAAGGGTATGGGTAAAAAGCAGGGAATTAGGATTATAGTGCTTGCCTTCCATAGAGCTCTATATTTTGTGGGTGAAACGGGGCAGCCAATTGCGCACAGCAGTGTCCCACAAATACTCGTGGCTTGAGTGACCAACTGGTCTTCTTAATAGGTACCAACCTGATCGACAAGTGTCATGAAATATCTTCTGCAGCAGTGTTTTGGTGATGCGGCCTGTTCGTCGAACAGAAGAGTCCAGCTTGTTCAAAGCCCAGTCAAAGTGCTCAGACTGCTTGGCCCGGATGGACGGGACGGTCTCATCTTTAGTGAATGAATCCTGCTGTGCGGCAAGGGCAAACCGCCCCACATTGGTGTTCAGAGATCTGGAAAAGTTAACGGTTGAAGATAGCTTTAGCGTGCATATATACCCACGCAAAAACATTGTCACCATTAATGTAGATCGCAAACCTCCTTATAATCAGAACATTGTACCCCGTCGACTGAGTCCAATGTCTCAGTGGCTTCAAGCCATGAAACAAAATGGCCAAATTCTGAGTTGTCGGATCACCGGTGACGACACCACTTGTGCCTTCGACATCTACGTGGAAACCAGCAACAACAACTTGCATCTAGCGTCTCGAAGCACTGAACAGCGATCTGATAACCTGGTATCGAGCCATTCTCTAGGGCTTGAAGCTGGGTGTCACACGAACAAGGTGGGACTATATGGAAGAGCGCTGTAAAGGGGTTTCCGTGTATATCGACACGAATAATAATAATAATAATAATCCTTGCATTTGATATAGCGCTTTTCACGTCGGGAGGACATCCCAAAGCACTTCACAGAACACACTGTAAAGTGAATTGACTGTACATTTGTGGGCGAACGCGGCAGCCAATTGCGCACAGCGATGTCCCACAAACAGTCATGGATTGAAAATGACCAATTTAATTATTGTTTTTGGTTTTGGAGGGATTATTATTAGGCTCTGTGTGGAGTAAGGAAACTTGCCCAAGGTTTCTTGCCGAAGAATGTGGAGTACATTTGTTAGGCAGCAGATACAAGCAGCTGAGCCTCAACAAAAATATAAACATAAAAAGGTACATGCAGTTGTGCAGAAACAGTTCTGTAGTCCACGCAGCAAAACACAAACAAAGGAATCAACATGTTACAACTCACAGTACAACTCATGTTGTAACTCAATAATCATCCCCCCACCTCTCAGGCCCTTTGGAAAAAGAACGTTTCCGAGAAGTGTCACTGAAAGCATCTACACGCTGGAAATCTGTGGCTCTTCAATAATTTCCTTGGCCATTTCAACATCTCTGCCACCGACCATTTAAAGCAGAACCATTTTTGTTGATCACATCATAAGAGAAAATAACTTCTCCATTTCCTCACCATACCTTCAAACCTAGCTTCATATTCCGGGGCGCTCTTTCTGGAGATGAGGATTTCCTAACTCTGCCCATCACGCACCAAATCTTCTAATACCAGGAATTAGCACACATTTTTCCATGTGCACTTTTCTGTTTAATCTTCTCCAGGCCAGACCCCCGAAATAACTATAACCAAGTCTGGTAAACGAAGGGTTTTCCTTCCAACAGACGTCCCAAATTAATCTACCATCAGAAATATTGCAGTCATTCCTGTATTGTTCAAAATAATAAATGTTGGAATGTAATATGATGTGTCTTAAATATGAGTTGAGAGTTGACTATCCTCAGTGGGGTCTCCTTGAAGCTGAACTGGCTCAGGCTTGGCGTCGGAATCGAACCATCCCTTGGAGGTCTCGGTACTATGCCCTGAAACTTTGGAATTCTTCTCCCTTAATAATAATCCGTGTATTAATCCCTTCACTTTGCCTCCTTCTTCCCTGTTTTCAGATCACACCTGAAACCTTCTTCTTCGATCATGCCTATGGTCACCTACCCCGGCTTGGGATCAGCCTCCGCCACTATTAAGCACTATGAGACACTAACTTACCTGAAAAGCACTATACACATGCAAGATGTTGTTTCAATTAATTCAGGAACCTTGAAAAGAATGAAAGGGAAGGGACAAAAACAAAATGCAACGTTTATATTGCACCTTTCATGTCAGGAGGATGTCCCACGCCTCTATACAAAGCATTCACCAGGATCAATACACTTTATACAAGTATACTTTATGCAAGTGCATTTATATCACATGAAGGCAGTGTCGTTGATCTGCCCTTGAAATGTGGTGTCTCTTCGAAGCAATATATGTACATTGGCAACGTACAGTCTGATCCCCTTGAACGCACCCCTGTATAGCGAATGTCCTTTTATACCATGAGTTCACTGTGGACCCACACGATATCAGCAGAGTACTTCCGGCACTGATTGCTGGGAACACCCAACAGCCGTCCCATCCTGCGCGGGCAACACCAGGTGTGTTGCTTTGTGAATGTAGTGCTAATGCAATATAGGAAGTGACTTCAGTGGTAGCCATTTTATAAGTCTCCTCATGGGTTTTATGGGCCCCAAACCACCACATTATAATGGAGTCAGACTTTACAGCTACCTGAGAAGAACCCAAACCTGTGACCTTCCGGATCCAGTAGCATACCAAACCATGTATTATTCCCCGGGTCTGAGCACTGTGAGATGCTTCCCTGCACGGGGGGGGACCATATAAATGCAAGTTGTTGTTGAGACATTGGTAATGAGTCATTTGGTCCCCCAAATTAATGGCTTTATTACTCGAACATTTTTGCTTATCCCACATTTGATGGTCTCCCACATTATCAAAGTGCTCTGGGACGCTGCCCTGCGTCAGGGAGGCGCTATATAATCGCAAGCTGTTGTCGTTGTTGTCACCCGAAATACTGAACACGTGTCCCAAAGTCAGACCATTCACAGCTTCACTGGATGCGATGCTGGAGAATCTCACCTTAACCGCTGGGTGTGCCAAATTGAATTGTAAATTCCAACTACTGTCAAGAAGTTTTTCCCGGTTTTAATGAGTCAGGTTCCTCTTGATTTTAAAGACATTCAGATCTATTTATATCTTGAGATGTCTTCCCGATGTGAAAAGCGCAATTGGGGAGGACAAACTTGCAAGGCTATGGGGAGAGCGCAGCAGAGTGGGATTAATTTGGATAGCGCTTTCAAAGACCCGCATGGGCACGATGGGCCAAATGGCTTCCTTCTGTGTTGTATAATGCTATGATACAAATGCAATTTGTTATGGCTGTTGTTAGTCGGACACCTCAATTTCCATCTATTCTAAGTGGGTCAGTTTGTCCTCTTGTTTTAATGGTCTCTCTGTTGGTGCCTTAGGTGTTCCTAAATTGGAGGGTGTTTCCCGTTTTAACGAGAGATTTTCTCTCTTTCACCAAATGTTATGTTCCCAGTTCTGATTATCCTCCTGAGGGGGGTAGAAACAGGGATGATAAGCGGGGTCTGCTTGGAGCTGAACTGGCTCCAACGTGAGAAATCTGGCAACAGAATATTAGAATCCAAACCCAGCCCTCTGTGGTGGTCTCGTTAGTCCAGTACCTGAGACAGGCGGTCCATAGTATTCCAGGTACTGCTGATAATAATAATAGTCCTTGTATTTGATGTAGCGCCTTATCACATCTTCAAAATGTCTCAAAGCGCTTCACAGAATATATTGTAAAGCGAATTGACTGTATATTTTGTGGGCGAGACGCAGCAGGCAATTGTGCGCAGCAGTGTTTCGCCAACAGTCCTGGACTGAAGTGACCAATTTATTATTTTTTTGTTGAAGGAATCATCACAGGTGGAGGTCAGGTGGAGTCCTGTAGCTCAGTGGTTAGAGCACTCGCTTTGCAAGTGAGAGATCTGGGTTCGATTCCCGGCACAGGGCGAAACCTTGGGCAAGTTTCCTTACTCCATACGCCCAATAATAATCCCTCCAAAAAAACAAAACAATAATAAATTGGTCATTTTGAATCCATGACTGTTTGTGGGACATTGCTGTGCGCAATTGGCGGCCGCGTTCGCCCACAAATATACGGTCAATTCACTTTACAGTGTGTTCTGTGAAGCGCTTTGGGACGTCCTCCCGACGTGAAAAGCTCTATATCAAATGCAAGGATTATTATTATTATCACCTTCAGAAAAGCGATCCACCAATCGACTAACAACTGGGTTCCGACTTACTGCTAAGTAAACAGAGGCGGGTGTGTGGAGTAAGGAAACTCGCCCAATGTTTCACCCCCTGCCCGGGTCCTCTCGCTCGCGAGGCGAGTGCTCGAACCACTGAGCCGCAGGACTCCACATGACAGCACAACCAACCTGGCGCATCGACAGGACTTGGGGAGGGCCAGATCAGTCATCAGGGACAGGGAATCATCCCACTCAGCTCCCGTTTACCCTGCAAGCCCAAGCCCTAACGGGGAGGGTGGTCCTAGCCGGACAACAACAACAAGATTCCATTGAGAGAGCGCCTTTCACGTCGGGAGGACGTCCCGAGGCGCTGTACAGTTGGGTCAGGACCCGAGCATTGGGGGGAAATGGTCAGGGTGAGGGGAGGGAAGGGAGGGAGGGGGCGAGGAGGGGGTAGAGAGTCGAGAGGGGAGCTGAAGGTACGGTCGAAGAGAAAGGTCTTGAGACCGGCCTTGAAGGAGGAAAGGGAGGAAGCGGCGAAGGCACTGGGGGATGGAGTTCCAGAGCCTCGGGGCTGAGAGGCTGAGGGCCCGGCCACCGATGGTAGGGCGGTTAGGGCGGGGGACGTGGAGCAGACCGGAGCCAGAGGAACGGAGGGTACGGGCAGGTAGGTAGGGGGATAGTAGGTCGGAGAGGTAGGAGGGAGCGAGGCCGTGAATGGCCTTGTAGGTGAGGATGAGGATCTTGAATTCGAGCAGCGGGAAAGCTGACCTGACGGCAATACCAACGGCAAGTAAGGGCGCGTGTGTTTTTTTTAAGCTGGTTAGACTCCCAGCGGTTACCCCCAACGCACGCTCTGGGGTACCGCCCACCCCACCCCCAAAGCCTTGGCTCTCGCCAACCTGCGCCTAAATGCTTTCCGGAATTAGGGAGGGAGGGAGAGAGAGAGAGAGGGAGGGAGGGAGAGAGAGAGGGAGAGAGAGGGACCATTCCAATCCAACAACAACAACAAGATTCCATTTAGAGAGCGCCTTTCACGTCGGGAGGACGTCCCGAGGCGCTGTACAGTTGGGTCGGGACCCGAGCATTGGTCAGGGTGAGGGGAGGGAAGGGAGGGAGGGAGGGAGGAGGGGGGAGAGAGTCGAGAGGGGAGGTGAAGGCTGAAGGTCGAAGAGAAAGGGCTCGAGACCGGTCTGTCTCTCTGGGACATTCCCACGTGGAGGTGGGAAGGAAGGAAGGAAGGAAGGATGGGGGGGGGTCTCAGCTCGGCTAAGGCTCTACACACGTGTCTGACGCCTGAGCCCTGTTCTCTCTCCCCGTGTGTGTGTGTGTGTGTGTTGTGTGTGTGTCTGCGCGCGCGCGGAGAGCCCACACGTTGCGGCTCCGGCCCGCGGGCCGGACCGGGCCTACCCAGCGCGACCCACCTGATCCGGGTCCCGGAGCCGCTCGGCGGCGGCGGCGGCGTCGTCCTCGTCGGGGGAGAGCGGGTGAGGAGCCCCGGTCGGGGCCGGGGGCTGGGCCCGGCGCTGGGCCCGGCGCTGGCGGCTCCTCGGACGGTCGGCGACAGGCGCCGCAGTCGCCGGGACAGCAGCAGCAGCAGCGGCGGCGGCGGCAGCGCCGACCGGAGGGTGAGCAGCGCGGCCATTGCTTTCCCGGCGGCGGCCAAGGTCAGCGGGGACTGAACCAACCCGCCTTCCCGGGGAGGGGGCGCACCCTCTGGCGCCCCGACCAGGCGAGGCTTTCTCTCGCCGTCAGACGCGCAGAGCGACGGCCACGGCCCCGGTGTTCGGAAGCAGTGTCGCTTTGGCTGTGTCACGTTGAGTGGTTTGTGGTGTTTAGGTTATACCTGTGACCCCCACCCACTCACACCCACACACCCCCCCCCCCCGCGCTGCTCTTGGTACAGGCCGGACCGGGGTGGCCGATCGCAACGCTCCGCTCATCAACTCCACTCCACTCCCCACCGCCGCCGCGTCTGGAAACTCTGAACCCGAGGCGGCGCTGGTGGGGGATTGGGGCCGAGTGGGTGATGCTCCTGCGTTGACCTTCAGTTAACCCCCCCCCCCCCCACCCCTGCTGTGTATCATCAGAATAGTAATAATAGCAATAGGCATGATAGCACTAGTAATAATAGCAACAGGAATAATGAAACCGTAGGAATAATAGCAATAGGAATAATAGCAATAGGAATAATAACAACAATAATGAGAATAATAATGATAATAGCAATAGTAATAATAGCAATAGTAATAATAGCAATAGTAACAATAGCAATAGGAATAATAGCAATAGTAATAATAGCAATAGTAATAATAGCAATAGTAATAATAGCAATAGTAATAATAGCAATAGGAATAATAGCAATAGTAATAATAGCAATAGTAATAATAGCAATAGTAATAATAGCAATAGTAACAATAGCAATAGTAACAATAGCAATAGTAATAATAACAATAAAAAGAATAACAATGATAATAACAATAGTAATAATAGCAATAGGAATAATAGCAATAGGAATAATAACAACAACAATAATAATGATAATAATAATAGTAATAATAGCAATAGTAATAATAACAAAAGAAGAATAACAATGATAATAACAATAGTAATAATAGCAATAGTAATAATAGCAACAGTAATAATAGCAACAGTAATAATAACAATAAGAATAACGACAACAATAATAATGATAATAAGAATAATGACAATAATTAATAATAACAACAACAATAATAATAATAATCCTTGCACTTGATATAGCGCCTTATCACATCTTCGAGACGTCTCAAAGCGCTTCAGAGAATATACTGTAAAGTGAATTGACTGTATATTTTGTGGGCAAAATGCGACAGTCAATTTGTTGCCAGCAGCGTCCCCACAGACAGTCGTGGATTGAGTGACCAAATTATTATTTTTTTTGAAGGAATTATTACCCCTGGAAAAGCAATCCGCCAATCGACTATCAACCGGGTTCCTATTTACTACCTGGTAAACAGTGGCGCGTGGAGTAAGGAAACTTGCAGTAACATTTCGCCCCCTGCCTCGGAATCGACCCTGGGTCCTCTCGCTTGCGAGGCGAGCGCTCTAACCACTGAGCTACAGGACTCCACATTTACAATCATTTACACGTACAGTAATTTAACAGAGAATTGGATAAACGTATGACAAACCATGTAGATTAATAATAATGTCAGGGCGTTTGGGCCAAATATCCTTCTTCTGTGCTTCAGATATTCTCTGTTTCGACACTGCGCTAAGTAGGAATAATAAAACCTAGCAACGGGGGAGAGGGATGCGTTCTGCGCCCTGTCAAACTCTGTTCGTTGGATTATTGCGATGACTCCTTTCGGACATAGTTTTTTTCCTCTTCTCCTGAAAGTGCCAACTAACGCCAGGTGACAGCGTTCTCTTTGACCGAGCCTTCAGCTCCCCTCTCGACTCTCTTCCCCCTCCTCGCTCCCTCCCTTCCCTCCCCCTCACCCTGACCATTTCCCCCCTCCTCGCTCCCTCCCTTCCCTCCCCTCACCCTGACCATTTCCCCCCTGCTCGGGTCTTGATCCAACTGTGCAGCGCCTTGGGACGTCCTCCTGACGTGAAAGGCGCTTTATAAATGGAATCTTGTTGTTGTTGTTGTTGTTGTTGTCACGGGTGCTCTTCAGTCGCCTGCTCGTGCTCATCGCAAGCCTGGACGCCGGATATCCGTAGCCTATTCAATCATGGAGTACTTCGTAACAGAAGCCATTCTGGCCTGACCCAACACGTCAGCTTGGTTCAGTTGGTTTAAAAACTCTTGCTTAAGACCTGCCAACTGCCGAGAATGACACTTTAATGCAGTGGGGGGGGGAGACCTGCGTCATCAGAGGTGCCATTCTTCATATGAAAAGTTCAACCGGGGTCCTGCCTGTCTCTTCAAGCGGACGCAAAAGATCTCCTGACACTATGTGAAAAGAGAAGGGGGTTTATCCTGATGTCCTGGCCAACAAAGCTCCAGATAAGATTGGTCGCTCTCTTCATGGCTATTTGTACAGCATTCCTGTGGCAAATTGGTTGCTGCATTTACCTACAATTATTACACTTAACTGCAAACCTTGTGAGATGTTTTGAGGCATCTTGATGACATAAGGAGCTGTAGCAAATGCAAGAATTATTAATATTCCATCAATCCATATTCCACTGCAAGTTAACCTTCAAAAACTCCTTTGTTAAGAAAAAACAGTTTAAGACCATTTCTGCAGCATTTCACCAGCCCTTCTGCTTTTGGGACATACAAGTGCAAACGTTGTGAGCCTCGAGTATCATCAGCTTGGCTTAGTTGGTAGTACTCTCGGCTCTGCGCGTTCAAATCAGACCTTGAACCCATATTCTGACAATCCAGTGCAGGATTGGGGCAGCACTGCATTGGTCGGAAGGCCATCATTTGGCTGAGTCATTAAACTAATGTCCTCTTGTCTTAAGGTGGACACTTCCCAGGTTGGGCGAGACGTTGGGCAAGTTTCCTTACCCAACACATCTGTTCACCTCGCAGTAAGTAGGAATCCGGTTGTTATTCGATTGGTGGATTGCTTTTCTGGGGGTAACAATCCCTTCCAAAAATAATAAAAATAATAATAATGATTTGGTCACTCCATCCATGACTGTTTGTGGGACGTTGCTGTGCGCAATTGGCTGCCGGGTTTTCACCACAAAATATGCAGTCGATTCACTTTTCGGTATATTCTGTGAAGCGCTTTGAGATGTCTCGAAGACGTGATAAGGCGCTGTATCAAATGCCAGGATTATTACTAGTAGTGTAATTAAGATCTCATCAGAATATTTGAAAAGAGAAGTGTAAATTGGTAATGCATCTCATGGATGTTTGTGGGATCTTGCTCTGTGCAAAATACTTGCCCTATTTCCCCACAAACAAGTGTCACTGCATCACGACACTTAACGATAAGTGCTGTGAAGTTCTTTGAGTCACTCCAATGTTGAAGGTGCTATAAAAATGCGCGGTTTCTGTCTCTCCACTGGTGAAAGATTGCGCTGAACCCCAGAATGCTGAAGGTGGTGCTGTGGTTTCAGTGTTGCTTTGGCCAACACAAGAACTGCGCTGCAATGCAATTGCCCTCAAGGTATGAATTGCAGACAAATGTACACACGCTTTGGCCTGGAAATTATATTTCGCCCACAAAACAACAGTCAATTCACTTTACAGTATAATGTGTGAAGCGCTTTGAGACGTCTCGAAGTCGTGATAAGGTGCAATGTCAAATGCAAGGCATATTATTAGATAATTTGAGTCAACATTAATGTTCCTCCAAGCAAAACAGACCAGAAATTAAAAATATTTTTTATTGAAAGTAGTATTGCAATGAAGACCAAAATACCATGAAATATATACAAACTGCTCTGTTACTGTTAAACATTATAATGCCATTCAATCATGGCGTAACTTTTTTTTATAACATCACAATCCTTGTGCTTTGTAAATAGTGATTCATTTCATCACCTCCCAACTCCCAACAGCAGAAGCCGAGATTTTAAGAAACTAATTCCTTCCAAGTTGTATTTTCCACTCGCATAAGCAAAAAATGTTATATGTAAGATGCAGAGATATGTAGAATATACACAGGATGTTATCTCAGAGTGCATTCTCGCAAAGGACGGATATTTCTGGACACTTTGACTGTGAAATTGCAAGGCTATACATTCCAACTCACTCACTGAGGTGTTTGTTTGGGTCAGTCGTTAGCATTCTTGCCTCTGAGTCGGAGGGTTGTGGGTTCAAGCACTACTTTGGGGCTTTGAATTCATATACTGTCGGCTGACCCTCCAATGCAGTGCTGGGAGATCTCTGCATCTTTCGATGAGATGTTAAACTGAGGTGCTGTTCAGAAGGACATTAAAGATCCCATGACGCTACTTAAAAAGAGAACGAAATTTCATTTACTTGTCCTGGCCAACAATCCTCCAAAAAAAATCCTGCTTATTCACTTCATTCCTGTTTGTGAGACTTTGCTGTATGTAAATTGGCTGCCACGTATACTATAAAATACACAGTCACTGTGCTTTAATCCCGTGAAGCGCTGTGGGATGTCCTCCCGATGTGAAAGGTTTAAACTGAATGCAAAAATTATTATTATTGTCATTACTTTACAATATATCTTGAATAATCCTTTGAGGTATTCTCCTGAAGCGTAAGGCAATATATGAAATGTAAGGATTATTATTCCATATAAACCTCTCGATTATGTTACTGCCTAACATAACATGCTTCACGTCCCCCGCCTCGCTCGCCCCACTATTGGCAGGTGGGCCTTCCGCCACTCTGCACCCACCCTCTGGAATTCCATCCCGCAGTCCCTCCATCTTGCCCCCTCCCTCGCCACCTTCAAGACCCACCTCAAGACCCTCCTCTTCGACCGTGCTTTTGATCTCCCTGCTTCCCCCCCCCCACCCTACCCTCCACCCTCCTCCACCCCGACCCTCAGCTCGGGTCCGTAACTCTGTCTGTCCAGCGCCTTGGGACGTCCTCCTGACGTGAAAGGCGCTATACAAATGTAATTTTGTTGTCGTTGTTGTTGTTTAATATTCATTCCCAGATATTCACATGATATAGAAACCCTATGAACCTCTCCATTAGATTACAAGTGGTATTCATACCAAT